GCTCCCGTGCAGCCATGTCCATGCGTAACGGGCATGGTAGCTGCAGTTGACCAGGGGAGCACCTGGCACCTGGGACCTTTCACCTGTACCTGGTGGTACCTGGCGGTACTCAGGAAGGAGACTCCCCTGATGTTGGCTGCAGCGGCGGGACACGAACAGGCGCATGCGCGCGTGTCTTTTTTCAGCCGAAGTCAATGATCCAATCCTTGGGTTGATTTGGGAACAGGTGGCCCGCATGCTGTTGGTGTCTGGGGCCAATACGGCCGCAGAGGCCCGCGAATGTCTCGAAGAGATGAGAGGGAGAGCAGCATTTGACAGACCTTTTCAGGACATCAACGGCCACACCGCCATCATGCATGCACCCGCGCTCAAATGGCAAGGCCGTCTTTGCGCAATTTTTTGAAGCCTTCAGTGCCGAGGCTGCAGCGAGCAACGTGGCGGTGGTGCGGCACTCGAACTTTGATGGCTGTCCTGAAGCTTCCGCAAGTTGTTTTCTCAGGTCTCGGCGCTGTTGGATTTCGGAAGCAACCCTTCCGTGGTGAGCAAGGCGCGTGGAGAGTGAGCTTTTGCGTGAGCTTTTGACCAGTTGAGCTTCGCTTCTTGTGGGGTGGCTGGTCTCGGCTTCGGGTTTCCGGTAGCTCCGTGGCTCCATGGCTCCGTGAGTCACAGGGAGGTGGAGAGTCTCAGGTGAGTGTCTGGTGCCTTTAGAGCGGCTGCCGCCGGATGGGATGGGGGAGATGAGGGGTACGTTCTCAGCTCCGTGCTTTGAGATCGGTTCGCGAAGCAAGACGCAACTCAGAGTCGAGCACTGTCTCCGTTGTTTATCTTGAGGTTTTTCAATGGCCTTTTTTTCTTCCGCAATGGCTGCTTGAGAAGGGGGTCGTGCCAGCGAGGGCTTTTGATGGGCTCTAGTTGCGAAGTGCCAGATGAAGTGCCTATTTGCTTGCGCGCCGTTCTGCTTGGAAGCCCGAGGCCGACAGCCACACGCCCTCCACGCTCGCGGCAATTCACGGTCGGAAGCAGGCGCGGCATCACCGTGGCGCACCCGCATAACCGAATGGAGCATAAGGCCGCTTCATGATTTGTGTGTCCGCATCTTCCGCTTAAAGTTTGCAGCTTCGGGAGCGAGAGGTTGTGCCTCCAGTTGGCAGATTGATCTGCGGCGCTACGGCAGGTCTACGATCTCCTTGTTTGGGCCGGCGCGTTCGTGCCGGCGCTGGAGGAGGCGTTGGGTGAGCACATCGTGGATCATCTTGGTCTCCTTGAGAGTCTTGTCTTGGGTCTAGGTCCCTAGGTCAAACCTGGAGACGTGCGAGCCTTGTAGGAGAACGGACCAGATTGACCAGAGCGCTGGCAGCTGAAGTGATAATGCACAGCAGCCCTGGCAATTGCAAAGCCCGATTGCTATGTGCTGATGAAATGTTGCCGACAGTGCTCGGGATCCGCCTTGAAGAGATGGGTGGACGGAGAGCAACGGAAAAAGTTGTTAATGAACCGCCTTCCAGGTGGAATCATTCGAGTCAAGCTGCGCTCAGCGTGAAAGAAGCCAAGAGGCGACTTGCAGAGGGCTTGTGACTCCAAAAGCTTTGCTCAAGAACGCGGCTCCAAACTGGAACACTAAAGCTCAGAGCAAAACTGGGTGTTGAGGTGCGTGTGGGCTCCGGCGGTGCGAGTGATCGCGACCCTGAGGCCGCTGCCCGTAGTCAAGAAAAAATCAACATTCGGTCAACTCAAGATTTGTTTAGCCATTCCGGCAGCCATTCTGGCATCCGTTCTCGTCAGCAAAGCACAGCACTCTCCACACACTCTCCTACCGCAACGTGGACGCCCAAAGCTTTCGTGACACGATCGGCAAAATGTTCATGCGCAAGGCAAAAGCCCAGAAGAGGGCAGACTTTGCCTTCTGCCATCAGCTCGCCAGCTCGCAGTCTTTGTTCAGCTGAGAGTCGGTGCATGTCTCAACATAACCTGCGCGAATCAAAATGTCGCCTCATCTGGATGTGGAGGGCCAGCGCCGTTGCACTGACTTGTAGCTGAGCCACAAAAAGCAATGTACTCGTAGCTCCGCCGTGGCCCTGCCGGGCTTTAGGGCTCGGCAGGAGTCGACCCCACGCCGGATGCAACCAACTGAGGGCATCCCCCCGAGTAGAACCTCACACCTGGATGCGAAACCAAAAGCCTTTGTCTTTTTTTTACAAGGTCAGCAGAGACTTTGCCTAAGATGGGGGCAACTTCAAGGACGTTGGCATGAGCCACCACGACTGGAGTGATGAGACTCAGGGAATCTCGGGCAAGTAGACGTCGTGTGCATGGCCCTCTGCCATCGCGACAAAGCTGAAACGAACCAACTACAATGGGACCGTCGCGTATGCCCCGAACAGCGTGCGCAAGCGCAAGGAAGCCTGAGTGAGGAAGTTGAGTTTGCGCCGAAGCTACGCTTGCAGCATACGGTAGGTTGGAACAGGACGACTATCTGCACGGCTTGCAAAGCTGGTGCGCGAGCCTGGGGGACCTGGCCTCAATTATGGGCCTAGCGCAGGTTGCTGGAGGCTGGAGACGAGTCGTATCTCAAGTTCGGGAAGGCTTCGTTGACGAGTGGGAACGTGGCATTCGTAAGAGCTGGCTCGCATCTCGGTGTCCCTTCAGGACACCCGGCTTCGACGACGTCGCTGTAATCCGTGGCGTCTACGAAAGATGCAAAATATCGAATGTCAGACACATGCCACAAGCATCCCTCGTGGTGCCTCGCCACTTTGGCAACAGCAGCCACTTCTGCTTAGGACCGGACTTTGTTGGGCTCGAAGCGACTTCAAGCGTGCCTAGCTCCATTCTCTCCACACAACCTTGAAGACTGTCGGCAAAATGAAGCTGGAGCCGAGCTCAGCTGGCGTCATCCGCGCTGACTCTAGAAATTGCAGCTCGCCTCTTCCAGCCGGTGCTCTCCTTTGGAAGGGGCACATGGAGCTCTTCCTCCTGCAGCTAAAATGCATCATCAATAGAGAAATCCACGCAAGACACTCTCTTGGAGTTGCCATTGCGATGGCCTGCAGGGCAATAATGCTTGCATCTCCAAGCTGAGTTTCTCTGCGCAGCACCCTCCTCCGCTGAAGCACTTGCGATGCAGATTTCTTCCCGGATTCCCAGCTCACGTGCGTACGGGATCAGGGAAGAGGGGAATAATTGGAGTGCCGGGGGCGGTGGAGGGGCTGGCTGCGCAGGTGGCCGAGCTTGCCAAGATCGACCCAATTGTGCGTGATTTCGTACGTGCCTGAGCGGGCGTAGAGGCCTGTGAGACAAGCAGCAAACCCTCAAGCAGATGAGGTTCGGGATGAATTGAGGCGCAACTTGACTCTTCGTGCTCTCAACGGCTTCTTTTTTGCTTCTCCACCAACTTTGCTGACCTGTGCTTGAGGCTCAAAAAGAAGCTTCGCGAGATAGAGGCTGGGTTCGGAACGGCAAAGAAGTTCCAGCGATTGTTTCATTTCCCAGCGGCCGAGGCGCTGGAGGCTGCTGCCGCTTTGGGGAAGACCCTCGAAGCCGCCCAGGCACAGAGGATTGGGGTGCTTTCTTCCCCATGTGTAGCTCTTCTCACTCCCAGGTGGCCAAGCTGTCCAAGAAAGGCCGAGCGGGACGACGCCCTATAGGGCAGATGTGAGAGAGGAACATGTTGTGGAGCCTTTGAAGAGGATCCATGCTTAGTGACCTGGACCTGGTGGACAAGCAGATCAAGGAGGTCCCTCACTGATCAGCATAGCCTGCCACGGTCACTTATGTCAGCCTTCCTGAAAGCTTTCTTTTTTACTTCCTTATCTGTAGGCGCTTGTTGACTTCCGGAAGCGAAATCCCATGCTCGGAGCTCGCCTTCGCACAGAAGCCTCTTCCGGGGGTCCCTTTCTCCCGTCCGCTTGAGGCCCGCGCCTCCCTCGAAGAGTTCGGCGCCACTGGCTCCAGGTGCCCTTCGGTGGGGATGGCTTCAATAGCGGGCTTTCATACCATTCATACCTCACCAGGACTCGCGACGAGTGCGAAGGTGCGGTCACAGTTGCTGACTGTTACCCCTGCTGGTTCTGCGAACGTCGGAATTCGGAGTTTGGGAGGACTCCCTGCCGCGTGGCAAAGCAGGCAAAGCACCAAGCGGAGGCCGGGTTACTTCCATGCAGGCGGACAGAAGGTGAGCGGGAACGAGAGAAGCCAGCATCGCGTTTCTTGCCATCGTTTTCTTGACCACCCTCAGTGTCGAGTAGATTTTGAAACAGCAAGCCACAGCATGCCGATAGCTTGACGCCCATTCTCCGATAATGCCCGGATGCCAGTCTTGGGTTTGGGGGGCTCCCGGTCCAGTCTGATCACAGGCAGCGCGTGTGGAGCAAAGAAACGAAATGTGGTGTTTTGACGGCGCGACTCTTTGCTCAACCCAAGGAAACACCACCCACTTGTCTTTTTGAATGATGCTGGATTTTGTTATCTGTCTTGCCGGTCACGGTCAGATGCACTGCGGTTTACGAGAGCAGAGGGATATGAGAGTAGATTGAAGCTCTGACTGAGAGGTGCCTCCGAGATCTCCGGGAGGCCCAAGGCCGCCTTGGCAAAGCAACGAAACTCAACAAGACTCAGAAGCTCTCTCTCTCAGCCTTTCTAACTTTTCTCTCTAGCTCTCTCTCTCTCTCTCTCTCTCTCGCTGTGCTTCTTCCTCCCCCCCACCCCCCTCCCTTGCTCTCTTGGCGTCACGCCGTCACGCCCCAGGCTCGCGATGACGAGTTTTGGTGAGAGAGGGCCCGCGATGCAGGGCCCCCTGCCCACCACGAGGCTCGGAGGAAAAAGATGGAAAAAGCAAATTCTTCAAGAGAGCTTCTGGCACGGGACTTGGGGCCGTTTCAGTTGCTGCTTTGAAGCTTCAGAGTCTGTCTCTCGTGTGATACTTCGGCCAACCGAATCGTGACTTCGTGACTGCCGCTCAGTTTCATGCTCTAAAAGCGCTGACAAGAAACCCCACGTCAGCCATGCTTGGCGAGATGTTCAAGCTCACTTGTCACAGAACCTTCCTCGATGTCGAAGATGAGAAGGACAGATCCACGTGCTCGAGGCGATCGCAGAGCGAGCCCCCAGATGATCGAAGCACTGAGCAGACCTATGCTAGCGCCTTGGCAAGCCGCGCAGACCAACTTCATTTCTGGCTCCGAAAAAGGCAGCAGGGTGACTTCAATCATGCCGATGAGAAGGAGACGGGTGCAGAGGCCTCCACCGAAGCCGACACCCGAGACAACACGGATAGCCTGCGCATCTCCAGCAAGAACTCCAATGCATCGGAGCCTGAAGTGGAGATCTCTCAGGGAAGCCTTGGCCACCCGGAGGTTCCCATGGCTGCACTTCAATTTAGGGGGTTATGCTCTTGGGTTGCACTGGTCAGTGCATGTTCACTGGGTCAAAAAACATCTTCCTTATCACGAAAGCTCGCGTAGCGAAGCTGGAGTTTTATCTGCTTTAGCAGCAGGGGGCCGACCACGGCCAGAGAACAGCGTATTATTGATACTATCTTATTAGGGGGGGGTGGGGGGGGGGGGGGTAAATTGATATATCACACGAATTCCTTGGTTTTGGAAGGGGGGAGGGGGGGGGTGGGGGTAAATTGATACATCACACGAATTCCCTGGTTTTGGAGGGGGGGGGGTGGGGGGGGGGGGGTAAATTGATATATCAATACCTTAAGGGGAGGCGTTTTTACGTCAAGACCTGACTCCGTCGCGTGTTGACCGCAGCGCGTGAGTCAGGGTCCCAGCACAACATGCGTCGCCGCCCACTAGTGATGTGTTGATTGCAACAAGCTAGTTGATTGCAAGAAGCTAGTATCTACCCAACACTGCGACGGCTGAAAAGAAGACGCTGGCCCCTCAAGCATGCCTCCAACTGGGCCCTGCCCGCACTTTCTCTTGCAACTTTGCTCTTGCTTCCGGCCCCCGAGCTTTCGTCCTCCCTGCCTCCGGCCCTCAAGTGTCTATTTGTTGATGCGAGGTGTGCTCAGGTTGATAGACATATATCGTTGGCCCACCGGGTTTTTCCAAGCAACGCGCACGATTGTACTCGTTTTGCTCTATGCTTTCCGCCGTGTTCTCGGCAGGGGGGAGAGCGTGTCAGCGGAAATGTACCCGACGCATCTGCAAGTAACATTACAAGGGAAAGTTGGCCACCCCCGTACCTGCAAAGCATCCTGCTTGTGACTTGTACGCTGAACATGGTTCGCAGCGAGTCGAACATTTTTTTGCAGCTCCTGTGTGCATTTGTGCCTGCAGACAAGCAAGGACTTCTGCCCGCCACGAGCAAGCCATATCTCAAACCGGGAGATTTAGTTCAAGTTTCCGTATTGATGTTAGTGCATTGCTTTGTCTTTTTACTCCAAATTATTGAGCTTGCGAGTGCTTTTGTTTACAACCTTGTTTTGGGGCGAAGCGACTGGAGGTGACCTTCTACGGGTCACACCCGGGGGGCAGGGGGGCAGAGGGGGCAGGGGGGCAGGGGGCCAGGGGGGGGGGTCCTAGTTCGAGTTGGCTCGTTTTCGATCACTTAAAACGTGAGCCTGCCATTGCTTTCCATTGAAAAAGCCGCTGATGCGAGGTTTGCCACAGGCCCTGCGTGAACTTCGCGAAGGGATGGTGTGCCGCAGGCTCCTCCTGCGAGTATTGCCACCTCTCACATGTTGAGACCCCGCTCGTGACCGCGAACAAAGAAGTTCGAGCCATCTTGCAGCAGGCGAGCGAGGTCGATCTCTTAGCGCCTGCGATGAAGCATGCCTGGGCCCGTGCAGCTGACAAGGGCTTCCTGGACGCTGCCGAGGAGGTGCTGGTGATTCTGAAGACACGACTTCACGAGCTGGACAGTCTCCAAAGCCTTACCCAGAAGCAGCAGGGTAAGCTCGATAGATTCATGGCCAAAATGCCGTTCTCGGGCCTGATGGGCCTTGCACTACGCAAAACCGAGGACAGCAGCCATGCTGAGCGGGTAAAAGCAGCAGTGGATAGCTTGCGAAGCAACCTGTCCATGGCTAGTTAGGCTTAGGAAAACGGTGTCCCCCAAAGAAGGGAAGTTCTTGAGGCACCGAATTGTTTGTTTTTTTCTTGCGGAGAGAGAGCTAACCTCTCTCTCTCTCTAGCACTCTTGTGCCTAGGATGTCCCTTGTGGGTTGTTGCTCACCCCTGCAGAGCCCTGGGGACAGCCTAGGCCTTGCATTCAAAGCAATGCCACACCTGAAGCGAAATCCCACGCCGACGGTGTGCTTATCAGGCGAAACCCCTCCGCCGAAGGCGCCCTCTTCGCTGTCCGCTCAAAACGCTTCTGCTGCGCACAGAGTCTTGAAGGAGGCGTCCGTTGCGCAATCACCTGCGCTCAGTGACACTGAGTTTGTTTTGCACCATTGTTTCGCTCGATCGTATTCACGGAGCCAGGAAGAGGGGAGCATCTTCTTGTGGGAACCCACATAGACTCAGACAAATTCAGAGCATCTCTCATCCTTTGAAAGACTTGGCGGCATTTGACCTTGTGCATGGCCACTCCGCTGCCGACATGGCGAGCTGCCGCGCTGGCCTTCGTTGCATCCGGCTCGGTGTTCTCTGGGCCGCTGCATCGTTGCTCGTCTTAGTAGCTGAGAGTGAGTGAGTGAGCGAGTGAGTGAGCGCGATAGAGAGAGAGAGAGAGAGAGAGAGAGAGAGAGAGAGAGAGAGAGAGCGAGAGAAAGACAGACATAACATACATGCAGTCACAGGGAGCGCCCTGCACACGACCAGGCCCCAAAAAAGAAAGAAAGAACGAAAGAAAGAAAGGCAGACAGAAACAGCGAACGAAAGGAAGAAAGAAAGATGAAAAGACAAGAAAAGAAAAGAAAAAAGGATAAGGAAACAACACAAAACAAAAGAAACAAATCAAATAAGAAAATAAAAACATAAAACAAACAATGAAATAAATACTACAGAAAGAACGAAAGAAAGACAAGAAAAGCAAATAAACGGAAAAGATAAATACATAAAAGTCACACCGACCGCACAGCAAAGCTGCGGGCGGGAAACCCTGTGGGAGGAAGCCGGGAAAGGGCGAAGGGTGGACAGTCTGGACAGTCCAAGAGTCGAAGAGGTGCGCCTCTGCGCGAGGGCCGCAGCGGCCTCCCAGCCTGCGCCGCCCGCACCTCCCAGGCGCCCCGACAGGCGCCCCCCAAGGCGACCACAGCGTCTGACGCCCGCAAGGCCCGCGGGGGCCGGTTCGTCAAAAGAGTGTAGTGTAGGGGCTTTGCTCCTCCGCTTTCAGAGCAGGTCGAAGCGGTGGAGGAGTATCTCAGCCGCATCGGAGGTTCGGCGAACCTCCGTGCCTTAAAGAGCGCGATTGGTGGCCTCAGCCGAAGCCTTCTGTGTCTTGCCTTGATTCGGGGAGTGGTTTCCGCAAGCTTTGGGTGTCATCTCACACCATTGTCTTTGCGGGCTGCTGGCCTAATTAATTCTGCAGCTGTGCAGGCAGAAGCATTTCGAAATCACTTCTGATGATTTCGTCACGTCCAAGAAGGCGCAAATTCCCGTGCCATTGCTTGTTGATGGAGAGTGCGCAGTTATCTCTTGCAAGTGCAGGGACATCAGAAGCAGGAAAGAAACATCAGGGAGTGCCTCGCTGAGTGCAGTCCGAGTAGCGTGAGCAGTATCAGCGTGAGCTCGATGGAGGATGTCTCGCGTACGGGTGTGCCGTATCCGAGGTTCCTGACCAGCAGGGGGAGCGTTCCCCTAACACAGGTGATGAAGCTCTTCTCGGTGCCCAGAAGATGGCTGGCCTCGCACGAGGAATTCTTAGTGCCTGGGCATCATGAGGGGGCTTGAGGGGGGTTAGGGGGCCTTGATGCTGTTGGATATGTTGCTTTGCTCAGGTCCAGGGTGGACGCATCCGGCTGCGTGTGCGCCAGACAGATCAGCCTGAGGCAGCAGGAGAAGAAAAGAAGCACATTAAGACCAAGTAAGAAACAAACAAGGACGGTAAGCCGCCAACAGCCAACTGCGAATTGCCTGCCACAAAGCGTCTCGGAAAAGGTGCAGATTCTGGAGGATGGCGTGGGAGATCTCTTTCGGATGAGGCCCAGCGCGACGACGGGTGCGGCGGCCAAAACGGCACAGCAGGAGATCGCACGTTTGCGGTTCTTCCTTGTGAGCCAGGCCTGGTCACTTACGCAAAAGCTAGACGTGGCTTTGAACCCCCCCACCCCTTGAATATCCAAGCTGTGTTTGGGAGCTTCCGAGCTTCCGAGCTTCCGAGCTTCGCCCTTTGCTGGGGTTCAGGTCGCCCAGTTGCCGAAGTCTGTGCGGAGTGGCGTCTTCGTCTCGGAGCCAAAAAGCATCACCCCTCGAGCAATTGAGAGTTGACAGGAAGCGGAGTAACGGTGAGTCACGCACCAACGAACGAGGCCCTGCGGCGCCTCAAGGGCATGTGGCACCCCGACGTGCGGGACCCAGAGATTCAGAAGCAAAAGTCTGGAGAGCTTCGTCGAGCAGCTCAGGGAGAGAAGTATCCGTCACCGAACATGGCTTTGGCCTTCTCTACTTACTCTACTTGTTCCAACTTCTTGCCAAGGCGGCCCCCGGCCAGTACGTTGGACATGATGCAGTTATTGCAGAGGCTCCTGGGTTTGCATATGTTTGCATGCTCCAACGCCGATCTCTGTTGCAGAAGACGGTGCATGCAAGGGAATCCCAGTGAGGTCTTTCGCTTCCTCTGCTCCATCGAGGTAGCGCCCGGCGGTTTCCAGTTCCCGTGAGGGTCCCCCGGGAGGTCACTGCGGAAGGTCACAAGGAAGGGCACCAGACCCACCCGACGCGGCTTTGCTGCCAGATAACGAAGTAACGAGACCCGCGGCTCGCCTCGAAAAGTGTCGTATCGCTGCAGAGTTCACCAAGTGGGAAGGGAAGGAGGGCTGAAAGATGAGGAGAGGGTCAGTCAGCTTCATGATGTGCTGGCCTTCTAGACACCAGTTCACGCATTCATGCAAGGCTTTCCAGCTCTAGGCAAAAGTACCCAAAAAGGGCCCCGAAGCTGCCAGAGCACGGGGCGGTTCCCCAGATCTTGTACAGTTGAGGATTCAAGGGCCGGGTGAAGATTTTGGAAGGGGTGATTCTTTTGAGACTTTTCTGGGGAGAGTGGGGTTAGGTTAAAGGGTTTGGGCTACAAGCCTACAATCGTCTCACTTGACAGTGGCTGTGCGACGTTTGCAAGGGCGCGCTGGTGTCCACGGCGTTTGCTGGAGCAGCTTTGCTTGGACGCGCGAGACATCAAGATAATCAGTCATGGCGTGTCCTCTTGGCAGCTTACCCGAAGTGCTTTGCCGCTTTGCCTAACAGAACCCCTGATCTGATAGAAGTCGCTCCGAGCCATGCAGACACCCGCAAGTGCCCCACGTCCACCTAAGCACCACACCGACATCAGGGAGGGGCCATGGGCTGCCCTGTGCTGCACGCAGCCGGTGGAAGGAAAAGGCCAATGCTGGGCCATAGTTGCCATTCTTGCTGTCCATGCTTCAAATGAGCTTAGCCCAGACCAGGGCCTGCAAAGCCCCAAGGCTCCAACTCACTTCAACTCACTTCAACTCAGTTCAACAGGAGTCCTTGCCGGGCACTGCCGCGGCCATGGAGGAGTTTCTCGAGGAGAGAGAGCCCTCCCGTGAATGTCCCCAAAAGTTTTCATTTGCGAGCGTTTTGTGGACTGAGGAGTTCGGGGAGCAAATCTCGAGGAAGGACTTCCGAGCTGCCATGGAGCTCTGCAAGAAGCAGCTGCAAAAAACTCCGGATAGTCGATACGTTGGAACCCAAGGGCAGCCGAGGCACAGTGACTCAGTGATTCAGTGATCGCCTGCAGGCGCGTGAGTCGGCCTAAGGTGCTGGACTTGAGGAAGACAGTGGAGGCATTCCTTGACGCAGCTGAGGATTTGGAGGTGCTCAATGGCGCTGCGTTGCATTATATCGTTTGCGTTTGCATTTTTCTGTGGTCTGTGAGGCTCACGACCAAGAAGACTTGCAGGAGGAGGAGGAGGAGGAGCGGAGAATGGCGAATGCATGTGGTGTGCGACTCATGTTCTGAGGTTTGTTGCAGCAGGGCAATTGAATCCAGCCATGGTGCCCCGAAAGGGCTAAACTTGGCCGGGCCGAGCCAGGCTAAGGCCCACTCAATTGCGCGACACTTCATGGTGGCAAACAAACCAGCGATTGCAGCGCCTGGAGTGCTTGGCCCAAAGTACAAACCAGTGCGAAGCTGTGCGAACACCGCATGCGCCATCATCAGTACGGTCCCTGCGCAGGATGCCCTCTGCCTCAGCGATCTTGTCGATGAGGTCGTGCAGTGAAAGGGCTTCTGTTATGCAACAGATTCACACTCTGCTTCGGTGTTTTGTGTGGGGGCCAACTGGAAGGCGGCCGCGGCATGCGACAAAGGCTACGAGGTGCAGCAGCGGGAGAGGGAGAGATTGAGAGAGAGACGCACCTGCACGCAAGCGCACACACGCACACACGCACACACGCACATGTGCGCACGAGCGCACACCCACATACCCACACCCCGTCACACCCACCACACCCACCACACCAACCACACCCACCACACCCTCCACACCCACCGCACCCACCACACCCCCCACATGCCCCACATGCCCCACGCCGCCCACGCTACACATCGCACAGGCTCACGCAACTAGTGAGTGATCGTGAAGATGCCAACGTAGGAGAACACAGCTGTCTGTCGGTTTTCCTGTGTACCTGCCTATATATATATATATATAATATGAATAAAAAATAAATAATAAATAAATAAAAATACAAATATGTATATATATATATATATATGTATAATATACACATACAGAGACAGTAAGAAGTTTGTGTAGTGATACAACGTGCTGGTATATACATATGTAGGTATGTATGTATATATATATATATATATTTATATGTTATACTTCTGCTCTTTGTACATGTATGTGCACGCTTATATGTGGTACGTGTGCATGTGTGGTTTATATGTTTGTTTTCTGCACACCTTAGACCAGGCTGCTGCCTTTTTGAGGCCATGTTCCGCTACCTCGGAGACGAGGAGCGACTCTGGGCCCTGGGCGAGCAGGCTAGCTCAGAGCTCCGTGCCGCCTCTCCGCCTTTGTGACTTTGTAGTATTCGTCTTTTTCAGCAATGGCTTTATACTGGCTATGAAGAGTGCAGGCTTTGCTATTTGCGCTCCGTTTGGGGGCATGAAGAAGTCTGAGTCCAGGCGGTGGGAATCTTTTGGGACACCGGCCAGCTGGAGCCCGCAGGACCTCGTCGAGTTGCTCGGCGGCATGCGAGGTACATCACATGGCACCATCTTTGCATACGCTAAGCTAGCAATGCTAGCATCTTGCGCAGTTCATGCTTCTTTGTTTGCATGTTTCAAGGACGCGTACACAGTACACGCGCGCAGCGCAAAAAGGAGCGCCTGCGGTCCATGGCGGAGCAGCTGACGAAGACTCTGAGCTCTCGGCCCCTTGCCACCAAAAGTCGCCAGACTCGCAGACTTTTGAGGCCGTTTCTTCTGCTCTTAGAGAGCCTCAGAAAACACGGGCGTTCTGAGCTCAGAATGCGAGATACGTTTGTTTGTGAGGTTGGCCAAGGCCGACGGCCTCGACCGCAGCGCGCCGCGCTTAGTTTTAAGCGGGTTCTCTGTGTGTCACACTTTCATTTTTTTTGGTTTTATTTTGTTGCTCTCCTCAGCTCCTCTCCCTCCTGGAAGCCTTGTAGTGTTCTTTTGTTCTCAGCTCCTTCCCAGCTGTGGTCGTCCTTTTTTGCTTCAGCTTTCTCTCACTCTCATACTCTCATACTAGAGTTACGAGAGAGAGCTCCGAGGAGTGGCTCTTCGAAGGTCTGGGCGAGCTCTGGTTCCACCGGGACAGCGAAGTGGGGGGAGTTGTGGGGGGAGTAGTGGGGAGTATGGACTCTGAGTATGATGTAGAAGAGACCCCCAAAAAAGCACCTGAGAGCACACGCGAGAGCACGCGAGAGCAAAATCTCTCAGGAACTGGGCTGGGCTCCCGAGCCCTGGTTGCTGGAGGGCTGCCTCGAGGACCAACAGAAACGGCAGAAACATCCCTTGAGCGGGTTTGGGCCATGGCTCGAGCAGCCAGGCGTTGCGGCACGCGAACGGCAACATGGAGGACAGCGGGTGGAAAGCTTGAGATGGCAGCTCATTGGTGCAGAGCGCGCCTCCCTGGCCTGCAGTTCCCTCGAGGAGTTGGTTGGTCAAAGCTTGGAAGGTTCGCTCCTGAAGCTTGCTGTGCTAAAGGCTTCGTGTACTCTGTTTGCTTATTTACTTTTTGTTTTTCATTTTTTTGTTTTTCGGCTTTGGAATTTCGTGCTGAGGGCCTGTAGAGCCGCTACCCACACCCCCCCACCCACCCCCTCCCCTTTTGCAAGAGCTCGGCCGAGGCTTGAGAACGGCCTCTTGCGGGGATCTGTGCGATGTGCTCATGCAGGCGCAACCTTGTGCGGGGGGCAACCGATCTTTGGCATGTCTGAGGGTGTCTTCCTGTGCGGAGAGGTGTGGACGGTGGAGCGAAGCTGTGTTTGCGGCCTGCTCGACGACGCGCCAAAAGCTCAGAGGGCTGGGGCGGGCTGGGGAGATCGGGGTCGTAGGCTTAGCGGGCTTAGCGGGCTTAGCGGGCTTAGCGGGCTTAGCGGTTTCATCTTCCGGGGGAGTTTGCATCTGTGGCTTGAGAGGCCTCAGCTCGGGTACGGCGTCCGTGAGGCGCTTGCTGTGCTGTGCGGTGGCTCCGAAGCTTAGAAGCTTAGAAGCTGCTTAGCTGGCAGGTTCTCGCTGAGATCCGCCAGCGGCCTCTCATCCTTCCCCCCAAGCAGGGCTTTTACCACTGCTTCTACTTGATGACGCCCTTCGCCTCGAAAACAGGTGCTACAGCTTGTTCCCCAAAGCTTCGCATGATTCAAAGCTGTTGGGCAGACATGGTCATAGAAGTTGTGCCCCCGAGCAAAGGCACGTCGTGTACACCCTGAACTGCTTGCATCTCAGACTGGCTCAGATTCCCCAACACTGTCGGGTGGGATCGCTCCTTTAAGGTTTCAACGGCCATCTGCCCAACCGCCGCAGCGACTGCCCCTGGCCTGGGGTTTAGTGCCTTCAGCGACTATTGGGCTTGTTTGCCCCCTAAAAACAAGCAATACACGTAGAGCATGGGGCGAGGGCTCCATGATGCTTGGAGTATTCCGCAGATTCTGCTAGGCTGTATGCCTACCTGGAGCGCTGTTTGCACTTCTGGATGCAGGGGGCCCGGCTTGCGCCCCTGTGCTTGTTTGCCTGCCAAGCCCCGACGCAGTGACCCGCAATGACCTTCAATGATTCAGAAAGGACCACAGCCGAGTCCACTGAGACCGGGACGGCATTGCAATCAGAGGCAGCTCCTGCTTGTGGCTGATTATGGCAGCTTGCGGCAGAATTTGCTTTCACAGCAGGTGCGTCTGCTTTTTTCCACAATTCTGCTCATGGCAGCACCCGCGCGCCAGGCGGTTGATGCCATCGAAGCCCTGGCGTGCTTATCGCGCTTGTCACTTGTCGCTTGCCTTGCCCTTGTCACGTGTCGCTTGTCGCCCCTTGAGAAACTGCTCAGGCAGAGGCAGTCGATTGCTTGCGTGGACTCAACGAAGAGGGCACACAAGCAACTGTCAGGCAAGTGCATAGCTGCTTTACCCTCATTGTTGGAAGCATTCGGAACTGTGCAGCTGTCCGTGGCAGGGCATGCAGATGGCTCTTGTCCCGACAGCAGGTCCGCAAGTCTCGTGCTGCATGAGTCATTTGGCTGTGAAGTGGAGCTGGGTGAGCCTTGAGGCGGATGGCCTCTTCGCATCGCCGAACTCGAAGAGGCTTTGTTCCTTGTCGCTGCAATATGTAAAACAGGTGCCAATGGTTTTGTGCCATAGGCCCACAAGCGAGTACGACCACTTGCATCCGACCTGGACAGCGGTCGCTGCTTTGATCCGGCCTCAGCTCAATGGGTGGCCTCAGACCACCGGGACTACGGAGGTCAGGCGACGAGAATCACCAACGCTCCGAGACGGCTGAAAGCGGTGTTAGCTGCTCCGCCTTCCGAAGCCCCAATGCCAAAATGCGCTGCCACGTGTGCCGAGGCAGCTCCAGCGGCAGGCACATGCGGGTCATGCGGGAGTTGAGATGTTCTCTGAAGAGAAGGAAAGCACTGAAGGACCTTGGCTTCCCAAGCTTCCACGGAATCTGTAGACCACAAGACCTGTAGAACCCTACTTCTTTTTTTCAGAACGGAACCTCCCTCAAAGATATGTTGCCCGAAGCTCTTGGGGGCGGGGGACTTTCTTTGCTCACAACTAAGCAAGAGCTGCAGGCGCCGGGCCCCAGCCAGCTTTGCCGAGACTGGGCGCGGCATGCGCGCCAGGCCGCGGAGGAGGCCGGGGAGTCGCGGAGAGTCCAACGGAGAGCGTCCCCCCCCCTCCCCGCCCAAAAAAAAGGGAAAGCAATTTGAAAGCAACAAATACACAAAAGCAACACCTCCACCCCGGATTGTTGCGAGAACGCCTCTCGTGGCCCCGCTCTCATCTTTCGCAGGTGGGGTTCTCGCAGCCGCCTCCAGTGTGACCTCGTGCTGGAAACGCAAAGGAAAATGCTGGGGGCCGGGGGTGCCTTTCTGTTCGCTCAAGCAGCAGAGTTGTGCCGTGATGGCGGTGACCGGAGAGTTTGGTGGTCGAGGGCCAACAGGCTTTACGTGGTCTGCAAAGGTTTTAGGACCCCCCCCCCCCCAAGTCTTTTTCACTAATCTTAAGGCCGCTCCCCCTGAAGGCTGTTCTAATTGCTTCTGGGAAGGCCCGACCTCCCCCCCCCCCCCCCCGCACAAAAAAAAAGAAAGCAACACAGAATACAAAAGACCCTTGTTGCTTTTTGGAACGCAGCCAGAAAGCTTGCTTGCTGGAACACGCGAGCAGCATTTAGAGTTGAGCTTGCATGTGCAAACAGATCGGCAGACGCTCTTAACTACTGAGTTGGCACTCACCCAAAGCGCTTGCACAAGCTTGCTTGTCGGTACACGCAGGCGGCATTTAGACTCACGCAGGCAAATTGCGAACAGCAACGGTAGACACTTTCAAACGCGATCGGCAGACACACCTTCGCCACAAGAGTTCCTGAAACATTGTGTGCGCGTGTCTAGTTGTCGTGCCACATGTCAAGTTCAACCAACGGTGCTCTCAGTGCCATCTCGTTTAGACTTTTGGCCGCTTGTTGGCGATGCTGTGAGCAGACTACATGTTTCGGCTTCGACAGGCTGTCGGTTAGCAGCGGACACAGACCTTGAACGCATTCGGCACGCAGCATGGCGAGAATGTGACTCAACACATCAGCTGCACGCTACTCAGATAAGCTATACCTATACCGAGACCACATATGGTCAAAATAGTGAAGCATACGCACACACCCACAGAAGAGAGACGAGGGTGTACACGTTAATGCCTTCACGACAAAAGTGTGTATGTGTGTTACCGCATGCATATGCTAACACAAGTGAAAGACAAAACTTGCGGATGCAGAAGTGCTCCGCACTGCTAGCTCTCCTTTGTTCTTCCTGAGGGGGGAGGAGAGTTTGTTGGGGCGGGGGCGGGGCGGGGGGTTGCTCTGCTGTGCAGAGAGCACCTGCAAGTAGATGCTCAAGAAGCATCACGTGCGGATGAAGCAACTTGTTGTCTTTGCGCACACTTCTCTTGGTGCCTGCACCTCTGTTCCTGCGCCATCTCCGCCATTTGTTCCTGCATGCTTGGGTGCTATCTTTTTGTCCGCTCTCTCTTTGTTTTTCTCCCTCTCTGTCACTCGCTCTCTCTTGAAGGTGTGGGCTCCTTGTGGGGGGGTCCATGGGACAGTCATCTTGGCCCTCGGCCGGTTCGCAGGAACTACACTGCCTCCGAATGTTTCTGCAGGGACCCCTCTTGCACTGCTTGTAAAGACCACCTCTCAGGCCAACACCTCTTTGCCCTCATGGTTTGGTTGTTTCGGTTTCTGTTCTTTCGATGTTGGGTCTTTGAGAGCCTTGGGGAATGGGTTTCCGGCGGATTGGACTGAGCGGGGTGGCCGTGGGGATGACTCTGAACGCCCCTGGCTCAGGCTTCAAACAAAGTACCATTAAGATAAAAAATCACCAGCCGAACCGACGCTAGCGGCACGTTAACGCCTGTCTTTGCCGGCATCAGCGATGGAGACGCTGATGGCCTCGGCTTGCAGCTTGTATGCATCCTCGGGTTGGAGCGCGCCTTGACAAAGCAGTGGACTGATGACTGAAGCCCAGCTGTGTGTCATCCAAGGCTTGACGGCTGGTGGGCAGGCTTCCCCTGAATGCATATGAATGGCATGAAGGGAAAGCAAAAGAGATGTAACGATGTGCTTGCAGTGTCCAGGCATGTCGGTGCCGGCGCGAGCTCTGGGACTGCAGGAAGGCTACTCGCAGGAGCACTGCGAAGCACAGAGCACCACCTTGGATGGCTCAGGGCTGCTAGGGGTTTCAGGGGAGGCCGTGGGAGGCCGTAGGAGGAACTGGGAGACTTGGGGGCGGCGGCGAATCGTGAATTGGGATCGTGCTTTTCAGCATTGGGTGCTGGCGCTTTGGCTCCTTGCTCTCTTTTTCTCTTTTGTGCACACCTTCTGGTTTAAGTTGTTGCTCCGTGCTCCGGGCTTTCTCTGCGCGTCTGAGAACTGAGAGGGATATCGGATGAGATGGGGATATGGGGACATGGGGGCACCCAAAGCGAGGGGCAGAGGCACGAAGCGCAGTGACTTGACACGATTGCGGAGAGGAGCAGTGGGGCCCCTGGCGCAGCTTCGGCTTGCCCGGACCCTGAAACCCTTTTGCCTGTCTGGTGGGGCGCTGTCAGGAACGCCTCGGATTTCAGGCGATAGGTGCAGTGTAGGTGTGCAGATGGCCCCGAGGCTTGTCCAGCAGGCGGTAGCAGAGTTGAGTTGGCAGGCAGGGTGTGCGCCGGTGCCACTGTAAGTCACTGTCACTGTCTCGGAGGGTGCCGTTGTGCCATGCATGTGCGAACTCGCCGTGGACCGAGCGCATCTGGCTCCAGAGTTGTAGAGAGCCAGACTCCTGCGCCACTATGTGCAGGCCGTGCGCAAACGACTGTGCATAGAGACATGCAGACTCGTGCCGCAATGCATCAGCTCTCTTTGGAAGGCCCTTCTCCAACTCCCCTCTGAGCGAGAGAGCTACGGGGAGGTGTTGGGATGCGCTAAGCCGCTAGCGCTTCTGTCATCTCATCTCTCTGTTGATTCATCTGGGTTCGTCCTTTGCTGGGCCAACGGTGTTCTTGAAGGCTTGGAGTTCTTTGAGTGGGCTGATGGCTGACATGCTCAAGGTGCACCCATTCATGTACAAGCGCGCAGGGGGGGGGTGGTTTGTGGGGGTTGTGGGGTTGGCCCCCAGCAAAGACGTCCCCGGAAGAGTCTGCAGAGACAACGGAGGTCGCCCTTCGCAATCTTTGGCGGCGAGCTTGGACACCGCGCTCGGTCAAACGGGCCTCCATGGACAAAGCATCTTTGCGAGTGTGGTCATGGCTCGTCTCTCCAATTCTCCAAACTGAGGCTCTGCGGACTGGTCTGCAGCGCCTTAGAGGCTCTCAATTTTGCCTCTTGTTGCTCTCCTTTCCATCTCTCTCCTCCTTTCTCATCCTTTTCTCCGTTCGAGAGGACGCCCGCATGATGAGGGCCGGCCGCCCTTCCGAGGCTCGGTCGTCAATCACTTGCTAGAGTATGCCAGAGCCCCCTTCTGTGCGCGACTCTGAGAGGTGAACACGGCCGTGTCCATGCAGGCCACGCTTGCACGTTGTACCATTGGATATGAACACAGGGGCACCTTCATTGCTCAACGTTTTGGCCGGTTTGCCTGTTGCATGGCAGAAAGGTGCTTCCAGGGGGGTCCGTGGCGACTGAGTCGGCGGTGGCGCCCATTCCGAGGCGACGCCGCGGTCGGCACGAGCGGCTCGGGCCTCTGGCCAGCACGAAGCACTCCGAAATACGAAGCGAAATGTGTTTGCCTCGAAAGCCAGGAGAGCGGGCCGAGCGGTTTCACGGCACGGGCCGCATGGGGACCACGAGAGTACCCAGCACCACCAGGAGTGCAGAAGAAGCGTGGGACACATTCCGACATGCATCCGTGCAGGACTGTGCAGTTGTCGACTTGTGTGTTGTGTGTGTAGGACGCCCTCCACCAGATGGCAGCTCACCACAATGTTGTGAACTTAGGGCAATGGTGCTCTCATGCATCACCCGCGTCATGCTGTTGCAGAGTGCGTTTTGGCATTGTTAGGCACACCCTCGTCGAGACTACGATCCCAGAGCAGAAGAGAAGGATGGCTCGTTTCCGTTGTGTGAGTTGTGTGTTCTGGCGTGTTGGGCAGTTGCTGTGCTCCCTGGTGTCCAGGCCTGGCATGATCTGGAAGACAAAAGCAGCATGGGGGACATGCAGGCGCTGCACACCAGGTGGTGTCCAAGCCACCTTTCAAGCCGGACCAATTTCTTTCGGAGGACTTGCCGCTGATGTCTCACGACTCCTGGGATGGATCCCACGAAGGGTCCCGGCTCAAGCCGCACATCTTCGCCATGACCTCAGAGATTGCGACCTCTCGACCACGTTTCCACTTCTGCTCTTGGGTTCGCTTTTGATCACGCAAGGTGAAGGTGAGGGTGGGACTTGGTCACTTTGTCCTCCATCTTGTGACCACATCACCAAAAACCAGCAGCAGCCAAACCCCAACGACCATAGCAGCGATGACATTCCTCGGATTCCTCGGGTCAGATCGCATCATGAGAAAGTGCGCGTGTCTCTCGGTATCTCTCTGTGTGCCTCTTGCGTGTGTTGGTGTGAAGCTGCTTTGCTCTCTTATGCTCTCTTGCTGCTTCGGCTGCAAGGACTGGGACCTGACCTCCGAGAAGTGGACCTCTGCACTGTCGTCGCCGGAGCTGGAAGGCCCATCAGTTGAAGCTTCTGAATTCTTTAAAGGAGGCCGCGTGTCGCCCCTGTGTCCCTGAGAGGCGACCTCGCAGGGGGCGCACAGGACCCTGAGCCGGGGATCTGGGAGCATCCTGATGTCGACGCATGTCATTTTTCTGTCCCATGGGCCTTTGAGGACGAAGCCACGGAGCGGCGGGCCGCCACACGCCTGATCAGGTGCAGCCTGCCCTCCATCTTGCGACATACACCAGAGGAGTCCGATATGGCGCCGAGGAACGTGGACAACTCCTTCTTGGCCACGGTTGTGCGCGTTGGCGAGGGTGTAGGCGCGTGCGAAGTGGTGTGCCAAAGGCTGCGGGGGAGATGCAGTGACCAGGCCCGATCACCTACTCGAGGCCGACCCTCCATTGACTCTTTGGGACCTACTCTGGTAATAAGCCTCAGCCCGGCAAACGCAAGGCGTCTGTGGCAGCATTTTGCGGTATGTCCCGGTATGTTGTGCGGCTGGAAGGTCACCGGGAGTCCACCAAAGCTTAAACCGTGAGCTTCGGCAACGACTTGTGGCACAGGACTGCGGCTGAGCCGGAGAGGCAAGAGAGCACATGTGGCCCATAACATGTTGCATTCAGGACCTTGCTACCGTCGGTTTCCTGTGCGGACCACAGAACGCGCAGCAGTCACGGGTGGGTGCCTAGGGCATAGAGCGCATGCCCACGTGCCCGAGGCTCTTCATTCTGGGGGTGGCTGTTTGGGTGAGCTGTTTGGGCGTCTACCAATTCGCAGATGACCCGTCTCAGGCGCAGTGTAGTATGTAGCGGTACAGGTCCTTTTTGAGCAGATTGCAGTTGGCAAGAGAAAAAGGCGACCCCGGCTGAAAAGTGCAGCTGAAATGCAGAGAGGTGCTCTTCTACACAGACCCAAAGTCGGCTCCCCAGAAAGCACGCTTCGACATGCACAGTGCGGAAATGCACAGAGCGCACAGAGCGGACATGGGGAGATACGGGGAGTTTTCTTCAGGTACACACATCATCGGGTGCTCTGTACCTCGGCAGATCAGGAGTCCTTCCTGGAGGCGCATGATTCAGAAGAGCGTGGCTACTCACAGCTGGACACAGCTCGAGATCCCCCCAGCTACTTCAGTTCTGGAAGGCCTTCAACACACAGCCGCACCGTGCCACGAAGCCTTGCTGCAAATGGTTGTTTTTGTTCCTATAGGATCTCTTACGCTAATCTGATCCATCCAGTGTGGCAAAGGCTGCGACTGATTGGGAGGAGGCCTTCCGCAAGGACAGGCAATAACAGAAAGCACGTTGTTGGAGAGCACGTCGCAATTCCGGCTGTTAGGACTGGGCGAGGCTGCTTCGACCTCTTGCGAGGCGCCGAAAGAAGTGACATTGGCAACAGTGGCAACAGTGGCAAAAGCTTGGAGCAAAGCAAAGCGCTCCACACAAGCTCTTTGAAACAGCGCTCCGCGACCGCGAGGCTCCACGGCCTCGGCACTGGCACGAGCCGGCCGCCGCCTCCTGCCGGGCCGCAGGCGCACGCGATGCACGCGCGTGCCGACGCGACGTAGGGTCTCAAAAACTGAGTTACCTCCGTGGTGTCTCTGCTCTGCAGGCGTTATGATTTTTATTTTCGTTTAGCTGCCTTCCTTCTTTTGCTGTTTTGCTCTCTCTCTCTCTCTGTTTTGTTTTTGTTGTTTTGCTCTCTCTGTCTCCGTCTCCGTCTCTGTCTCTGCCTCTGTCTTTGCCTCCGTCTTCCCTTTCTTGTTTTGCTCTTCAGAGGAGGCCCGTGGCGGACGTCGACCTCGTGTTCGATGTCTCCTTGGACCTGAGCACGTGGGTGCCTCTGTGCACCTCAGGATACCTCAGGTGTCACATCTCATGCCTCGTGTCGAAGTCTGGCCTGTCTGATCCCAAAGCACGACGCAGTTGCCTGGAATTCCCTGCATGGCTGCTTCTTTGAAAACGCACGTTTTCCACCAAATTGTTCCGCTTCGAACGGTCCATCTTTCAACCGCACAGATAGTCTGCTTCGCTTCAATTCCCGTGCTGTTGCAGAAAAGCAAGTCCTCCTTCCTTGCCTCATCAATCCATCAATCCGGTATTGTCGGGTCGGATCTCGTCTGGATCTGACCACCGTTACGCGCTTTGGATTCGAGAATTTCGCGATGGCTCAGGTTCATTTCCGGCGAGGGCCACCTAGCGTCCCCCGAAGAGGCTGCAAGACATGACGTTGACTCATTGTTGAATCGTCATGCCTCCTTGAAACCAGTTCTCCAATATTTGCCTTGTAGGAAAGGAAGCTCGAAGATCACCTGGCAAACAGCAATCCGCTGCAAGTTTTGGTGCTCAGGCTTGGCTCTCATGTTTTGAGGCGCTTTTGATCCACTTGAGCCCTTGAAAGCGTTTGTCTGTGTGTGCAAGGAAGCGAGTCCTTTGGGTCCGCGGCTGTGCTTTTGGGTTCCGCCCCGTACTCCCGCGCTGGGCTTCTTCTCCTTTGTGGCTTGAGGCCAACTGGGAGGACATGGCGACGAACATCAAGCAGAAGCTGCGTGGAATGGGCGGGGCGTGCAAACCTGCGGCGCGTGTGTCAGAGTGTCAGTGTGTTCTTTCAACCCTGATGGAGGCTTCCGCGGTGAAGTGGAAGTGCGCTTTGACTCGCAGGACCGAGGGGTTCCTTCGATTCGGGGTCCCAGATCGCATTGCCAAACGTGGCCTGATGTTTTGCATTTTTTGCATTTTTCAGGAGGACATGCGGATTTACAGGACCCAGCGGGACGTGTTTTGAACCCGGCACTGCTTTGCTACCTTTATTTTTACGCTGACAGCAGTGTGGCATAGTCTCGTCTGCGCACATACACATAGGAATCTTCGATGGCAGAACTTTGTCCGCACGCCAATCACCCACATGCTCTCGGTGCTCCCGTGCAGTGCCGCCACAGAAAGAACTAAAGAACCCAGCATTCCCGTGCGGAGGTACTCTCTGGCGTTGGCATGCTCTTTTGGGTGCCTTACCTCTACTGCCGCTCTGATGTCGCCCCCTGGTGTAACGAGCAGGAATGCCTTTGCCATGTCTGACCTTATAGCAGAGTGAAGAAACGAACGTGAGCAGCACGAGAGCAAGCAGAAAAGGTGATTGTGGAAAGCAACTTTCAAGTTCAAGTTGATGTTCATCGGCCAGCTCCTCAGGAGAATCCAAACCCCTGCCTGAGCCTCCTGTATGTCCGACATCTGCCAGGTATTGGGAGATGCTGTCGCAAGGCGCAGCGCAGCTCTCTTTTGCATTCAATAGCTCCCAACTGTAGAAGTTCAGCTGTGCGATTGCTGCGCGATGCTGTGCGCATTCGCAGGGCTCGACATCTCTGAGGGCTTTCATGCAGGTCTCTGAGTCATGTTGGAGCCAGGCCTCGCAGTACAGGAACAATCAGACAATGCAAGAAACAGATCAAGAGCATCAGCGAGGGTTTCACAACAGGGGACCTCGCAGAAAGCCAGCAGGAAAAAAGGGGGGCACAGCCGGGATGCCTTTCGCATCTTTTCGTTGGCATGCTGCCACATTGGCTCATGCGAGAATGACACCTTCAAGAAGTGTGCCTACTAGGAGAGTGCCTCCCAGCTGATCCAACTCTTCAAAGAGCATGCCAAGAAGAAGGATGGCTACCTGAGCACCTGGGTCGAAATTCTTGCAGTGCAGGAGTTGCAAGCGTTCTCATCTGCAAGCTGGCAAGGCAAGGATGAGTTCATCGCCGTTCTGCAGAAGTGCGGGGCCTTTGATGCGTCTATTCAAGGCTTGCCTGTGCCCGGGTGCAGCGACAAGGTACCCTTGCTGCAACTCGGCCTACCACACGGTCTTCTTCGACCTCTTCGACCGGAACGAGGACTGCTGTGGAATGCTGTGCACGAGTGGTCGGCTCTCAACTCGACTTGAACCTTCGGAGGACGGCTTCTTGAGCGAATCAGACTTCTTGGGTGGCATGCTGGCCGTGAGCCGGCACCCCTGTGTTTCCGACATGCCCATGACGTGCTCTTACGTGCTCTGAGGGGTCCTCAAGTATTTGTTCTTGGCCACTAGGGCTAATGTGCTTCGGCCTGCAAGCTGTCGCTGCTCGTAGAAGCACATAGGACGTGTGACATATAGTTTCCCCAGATAGGAGGTGAGAGTGGCAGCCCAGCTTCTGGCAGAGATGCAGACGCAATCAGCACCGAGGCGTACACGCAGACACGCTTTTGTCATGTGGGTAGGATGACAGACAGCTCCATGACCGCACCCTTAAAGAGCGACGGTAGAGTGCATGACCGACGTGACACACCGCATCCTTCACCCTTCAGAGCACCCTTCAGAGCACCCTTCGGCAGCCGCTTGGCCATGGACCCCCCTGGCCAGCCGAGCGCCGAGTGCCGGGAGACTGGCAACTGAGAGCCGGCGACGAAACGACAGGGGTGAAGCCTGAGTCGGCGAAAGCCCGATGTTCGGCAAAGGGCGTGGCAAGAAGGGCAAAGTTCCCGAGACCAGGCCAAGCTCATGGGCCATCCAAGGCGGAGCAGCCGACAAGATCATCAACACGGGGCCTCCCAGCAAGAAGGCCAAGAAGGGAGAGAAGGGTGAGAAGGGTGATGGAAAAAAGAAGGAGGAGGAGCCCAAGATGGCCAACGAGCTCGCGAAGAATCAGGCCACCGAGGAGCAGATCGAGGGCATCTGCGAGCTCCTGCGTTCCAACAAGGTCGAGAAGGCGCTGCAGTTCGTCCAGAAGGAGTCAGCCATTGGGTCCACCACCTTCCCGCTTTCTCTGCTCTCACCCTGCTGTGTCTTACCCATGTCCAACCGATGTTGACCACGTTTCACGTTTGAAATTTCCATCCTTGGAGATTCTGTCTGATTCTGTCCCGAACGTTTAAAGCAGGAGCTGGGCGACGTGTCCAAGGCCCGTGCATTCCTTGGGAGAACTGAAGCTCGCTGATGCTTCAGCTCATCTGCGCTGCGACACATTTGGTCTGCAACATCCCTTTTTTCCGGTGCCTGAAACTCTTTGAGCTGTTGAGAGCCCGGCGGGAGGCCAACTCCATGTCGGTGAAGCAGCTTGGCCAGTTGGTGGGCGCCGTCGGCCTGCGGACGCCCCAGGCGTGAGGGGTTCCTGCCTTCCCTGAAAACCCCAACTCGAGCGCAGTTTTAAGCGCAGTTTTGATTAAGCGCAGCTTGTAAGTGGGAGGGTACGAACTAAGTTGCGAAGGGGAGACTTCCTCCTCTTCTCTTGGTGCTTCAGGAGCTGGCGCTGAAGTTCCTGGATGCCTTGGATGCCCTGGGCCTTCCCAAGTTCCCATCCTTCGGGGCCCCTCGGTCCAAAAAAAGCATCACCCGTGAGGACAGGCGGATGTGTGGAATTGCGTGGATCTTTTGGCCATTCGTGTTGCGGTGTGTGTTGCGATTTTTCGACAGTCGCAGAAGCCGATGAGGCGCACGCCTACTTTGGGCGCTTCGCCAGATGGGCCTTGAGGGAGTTCCTGTCCGAGGCGGCGTCGGCCGTCGACCAGGCGCGCGCTGCGCCGCTACTCTCTGCTCTTGATTGCGCGCTCTCCTGCCCGGTGAGTTGCTGAGAGTTAGGCCACGGCCACTCCGGCGCACATCTTGGAGAGGCTGGGGGTCTGCATTCCAATGATGGAGGCCCCCCCTTGGGGAGATCTTGCGGGAGGTCTTGGGAGAGAGTCCAATCTTCATGCTTTCAAACATCTTCACCTTCTGTTTCACGGACTTCAGGCCGCTCCCTCGGAGAAGAGCCCGTCGCACGTGATGCTGAGCCCCTGCGCTGGTTTGCTCCCACAGAGCCATGGGTTTCAGCGGGGTGACTGGCTGCTGGTCACCTTTCCCCCCACAGGGACTCCGGGCATCAGCGTCACCACGCGGGGCGACGTGAGTGTGGAAGCCGAGGTTGTGAATATCACACCGCCCCCAGGACAAGGCATTCTGGTAAGGATGGTTGGTGAGCTGGGCAGGAATGCAGGCGCAGGGCCGGAAATCCAAATGACCTCCGAACTGACTTGGAATAAGTCACATGTGACTCTAGCAGCTAGCAGCAGCTCCCGCGGGCTTTGCGCCTTTGTGCCTGCCTATCATCTCCCCCTCCCTGTACGCCCTTGCCTGGCCGCCCCTCACCTTTCAAAGGTGAGAAGTTCAACAAGAAGACCTGCCGAGTCGATCGTGTGGCGAACCATGTCACTCTGGGCCGCCAGCTGAGCGCCCTCGTCGCCTGGCTTCTTAGGCTTCCGTGTCCTCAAAGCAGAAGACGAGCCCCATGGAGTCTCCTTTAGAGTCCCATAGAGTCCCATGTAGGCCGATGAGGCCATCGTGTCAGTCAGGTCACTCTTGGCGGGGCGACGGGAGAGGCCAAGCCGGCTGAGCCTGAGGGCGGCAAGAAAGGGAAGAAGGGCAAGAGCAAGAGCAAGGAGTCCAACGCTCCCGCCTGGCTCAAGGACGCCTGCGTTCCCCCCCCCCCCCTGCCACTTCCCCGTCCAAAAACATCGCTGTGTTGACAACTCTCACACTTTTCGAGAGCGAGGTGTCGGGTGGAGCGGTTTCTTTTTTCTCGTCCATTTTGGTGACCCGCTCTACTGCCAGGACGTGCTCCTGGCTGCCGACAACGGCCTCATGGGCCGGGAGGCCGGCCTTGCTGCTGTGGAGTTCCAGGGGGCCGGCATCTCGCACCACTCGCCCCTGGTCAAGGCAAAGGGGCAGTCATCGCTTGAACAGCTGTCCGCGGTTTCCTTCCCGCTGAGTTTCTGACACCGGAATGGGTTGAGTTGAGATTGGACCCTTCATGTCTCCAAGTCTCCAAGGCATTGTGCAGGCTTTGCCTCCTTTTTTGATGGGGCTGTGCGAAAGACGGAAGGCAAGAGACTGTTATTAAGCGAGGCTGATGTCATGAGTCATCGCGGAGTCGCACAAAAGCCTTCTTTTTGTTTTGCAAAATCAAGGGAATTCAAGGAGATCCTGGCAAGCCTTACGATGACAACCTTCTTTGCAGGAGTGCAACGACTCTCAAAGAGAGGCCTTGCTGGCGGCAGGCTGCAGGCGAAAGATGCTTGTGAGAGACACACCTCTGTTCAGAGACACTTCTCTTGAGGGAGACTCTGCCCTCTGAGTGGGCTGCTCTTTAGTGTTCAGAGTTCCCAGCAGGCGGCTCACGCTCATCCAGGGCCCGCCGGGGGCCGGGAAGACGACCACCGCGCTGCTGCTGGTCCGCGGCTGGTGCCTGGGGCCGCGAGGGGACTTTAATACTCGTAGTTGGGATAATAGGGGCGCATACTGTATAAGTATAAATAGCCTTGTGTAGGCTATAGGTTTTCGTGTGTTTGGCCTCAGAGTAAAGGACGGCTGCACGGCGCGGGCCAGTGCTGTGCTGTGCAGACAGCAATATTGCGGCAGCTCAGCCTACTCAAGCGGCATAACGTCCAGCCCAGTTCCACTCGCTTGTTGCGCACGCCCCTCTGGTGATGTGTCTGGTAGAGCCGAAGAGACACTTAAGGTGGACAATCTGACGGCGGGCTGCGCAAAGGCTGGGCTGAAAGTCGTTCGGATTGGCCGGCCAGAAGCCACGCGCTATGACCTCGAAAAGTTCAATCTTCTCGAGATGGTAAAGGCAGAGGGAGCCCACACCACACAAGACCTTCAAAGGATCACTTCTATATTCGGGGCAAGGGGTGCCTTCAAGTCAGTCAGCGTTTCATTTTTTTTGGGTGCAGTCTTGCAGTGCTTCAGAGTGCTTCCTAGTTCCATGCCCCTGTGGGAGGATGCCAAAGCCCAGGATCCGAATGCAGAGGACAGGGGGCACTTTGCTCACCAGAGGGCCATCCTGGAGGATGCCGAGGTGGTCTGCAGCACCTGTGCCGGTGCAGATCACCCGGTGCTTCAAGGCAAGGACTTTGGCTGCGTCCTTATTGACGAGGCTGGCCAGACAACCGAGCTGGCCGTCCTCGTGCCCTTGATGAAGATGCGGGCTGATGGCGTGGTGACCCTCGTGGGTGACCACCGGCAGCTGCCCCCGACCATCAGCAATGTCGACGTCGATGTCGAAGGCTTGGGAACTTCCCTTTTCGAGCGCCTGTCATCCCATGGGGTGGAGCCATTTATGCTGGACGTGCAGTACCGGATGCATCCTGCGATCGCCGCATTTCCTGCTGTAGCCAGCTACAATGGCAAGCTGCGCTCTGGAGTATCTGGCGCCATGAGGAAGGCCCCACAAGGCATTGCCTGGCCTTTGCCTGAAGCCCCCGTCACCTTTCTTCCTGTTCAGGGCGCCGAAAAGTCTGAGGGAACATCCTGGTTCAATGAAACAGAGGTGGAGGCTGTGGAGGCATTGTTGGGCAGTGCGCTTGCATGGAATGACATCGCACCGACAGAGATTGGCGTCATCACACCCTACGCTGCGCAGGCCCCCGTTTTGAGAGCCTGAAGCTTCCCTCAAAGCCCACACCCTGCTCCGCAAGCCAGTCCCACGAGACCCTAGAGGCGGTTAGCTCCGGAAGTCCGGAAGCCCCGAAAATCACGAGGAAGTCTCCAAGTCACTTGTGCTGCTTCTTTGGTTTCTTGACATGGTGCATATATAGGAAGGGGTAGTGAGGCAAGAATAGGAGCAAGGTGCCTGTGGATCTTTAGCGGACGTTCAAGATGAACCACTGGTGCTTCTCGGTTTTTGGGGGCGAGTTTAACCGTCTTAACCGTGTGTCTCAAGGCCCGGCTCATCCGCCGCCGCCTGGGCTGCCCCCCGCCAGGGAAGAGGGCCGCCGCGGGGGCCGTGGGCGTGGCCCTGGTGGAGGTCAGCAGTGTTGACGGCTTCCAAGGCCGTGAGAAGGACATAGCTGACATAGCTTCTTTTCTGTACAGCACATCCAAAATGTCGACCCCGCAGTCGCGTGCATCATGGAAGCGTCCGCGAAAAACCCAACGAAACTCAGGGAAACTCAATGCGAAACTCAATGCGAAACTCAATGCGAAACTCAATGCGAAGCTGTGTGAGGACCTGATCATCGTCTCCACTGTGAGAGCCAACACATCCGGGAAAGTGGGTTTCTTGGGCGACCCGAGGAGACTGAACGTGACCATCACAAGGTCAAGGCGGGGTTTGGTGGTGGTGGGGCACTTCGACACCTTGGCGTCGGACGAGCACACCTGGCGGCCTTGGCTCACTTGGGCACAGGAGAGAACTCGCCTTGTGCAGCACCAGAGCCTTGTGAGAGTCTGCGTTAGGTGTGTGCGCGTGTGCGCGTGTGTTTTACAGATTTACAGATGCACTGATTTTTTTGAGCTGTGCAGGAGCGTGGTCTCGTGGCTGGATGCGAAGCCAGCAACCCCACGGCCGTCGGAGCCCTGAAGCAGTGGCCCGGCCAACACCTGGGGAAAAGAGGGGAACGCATCAGGGCTCGACGAGGAGTGCCGGTCCGTGCAAATTTGCAATGGCAGATTTTTGTTCTGATGCGCGTCGTTGGTGACTTCATTTCAGACCCTGGCCCAGGTTAGAGTTGCTCACGGAGGAACAGCTTCTGAAAGCGCTTGATGCAACGTACACGACACAGAAGCAGTGAGCTCTGAAAAAACCAGAAAAAGGGGGGGGCTTTGAATGCCTGATGTGCTTTCGTGTCCTGTCAGTGTCTTGTTGCTTTTGGCATCAGAAGCATTCTGCGTGAGGCCCACTGACGCCGCACAAGCTGGATTCTTCCTCCGGCCAGCTGAGGATTCTCAGTTGCACCCAACAAAGAAACCAAAATAGAGCGACGCCTGAGTTTCAACGTGCAACGCAGCTGTGTGAGGATGCAGTTCATCTTCTTGTACTACGATCAGAACCGCAATGGCCGCTTGGAGGTGGAGGAGGCTCCGAATCCTCTGGGCTTTGCCGTGCGCGCTGTAGATTTCGTTTGGTATGGTTCCGGTAAGATCTGAGAGTGCTGGCCAGGTGGCGAAGATGATTGAGCACATTCAGCAGCTGCGGGGCGAGAGCCACGCAGATGCGCTCGCCAACGCCAAGGCACTTCGGAGAGCGTGCGGCAGATCTGCTGCAATCTGCGGCGAGTACGATGTCTCACTCGTACTCTTGCCATTACTCCTACTACTCCGAACTACTTCTGCACTTCGCAGCACAGGCCCTGGTTTCATACTACTCGGGCTCCTTCGGCTTCGCAGCCTTCTACGATGCAGCGCAGAACAGGATCGGCATGCTGCATGCTGGCACCATGTTCATGCATTCGTAGACATTCTAGACAGACTGGAGGGCACCTTGGCGATTTGCATTGTTCACAATGCTCTTCACACTGTCGTCTTGCCAATCTGTGGTTCTTTGTGTCAGGATGCTGAACGGCACATCCCCACTTCTGCGCACACAGCAGGCACCTGCGATGCATTCCATTGCTTTACAGCCTTTGTGCTTCGCAACAGCTTCTGCGATCATTCCCAGGACCTCCTCGAAGTCGTCAAGCAGCAGTCTGCCCCGCATTCTCGAGCAGCTGGGTGGTCGTCTCAGTTGCGCCGCTACGGCGCCCCGCCGCCGCTTTGGGACCCCACTTCCGCAACGTGCCAAGGTCTGACGACCTGGCATCGCTCGCCTCACTCTCCGGCCTGGCTCCACAGAGCGATTTTCAACTCAGCATGCCATGCTTTTGCCATGCTGTTGCCATGCTGTTGCCATGCTCTGGCACTGCTCAGAGGCCCTGCCGCGGTGAAGGTGGGTCGGGGAGTGTCCGGGATTTGGCCTTGACCTCTGAAGTCACACCACGTGTCAAGGCGAGCGGCAACCTCAACGCTGCTGGAGCTAGCAATGGCATGTGCGCCTCTCAAGGAGGGACAGACTTCAGCATTTTGCTCTGAAAAGCGGATTCATTGCCTGAATCCCAGTCTTGTCCTAAGGCCTTCTCTGCCTTCGAAGGCGCTCTCGAGGCCAGCTGCCACACCTCGGGGCCTGGTTGCATTGCGTATCATTCTCCTCCATTTGGAGGTCTCGGGGGCTCTCCGAGCGCCTTGGAGCCGAATCAAGATAGTCAAGCAATGGGAATGAAGGAGCATCGGTGTAAAGAAGACGAGAGCCGCTTCGGACAGACACTGCTAGAGGTATCGCTGGGGCGAGCAAGGCTGGGAAAGCTCGCATGTGGCAGATGTCTGAAAACTTGCCCCCAAAACCCTCTCACCGCCGCTTGCTCCAGGTGCCGTGCAGGCCGGCTCTTGGGACCACTCTTGACCACTCTTCTCCCTCGCTTTTCAGACGTTTTTCACACATGATACACATGCAGTGTGGGCGCCTTCCCCGCAAGTTTTCCCCACGAAAGAATCGATTCCAGGCCCTGGCTCTTCGAGTGGTGAGGAGCCTTATGGACATGCAGCGGGCCAAGGGGCCCTGTCAAAAGCTCTTCGGGCAGCGAGCTGCAGCTCCAAGAAGGAGCAAAGAAGGAGAGTTTGCAATTACTCGTAACAAACCCTTGGCGGCTGCCCCCAGACTTGAGGTCCAACGAGAAGAATCAGCCCATGGCTGAATGGAGGTTCGCAGCATCTCGCAGCTTTCGAAGCCTTGCGAAGAGGATTTCTTGCAAGGCAAAAGCGAGGGGCACTGTGTGCCAAGTCGTCCCTCCTGAGGTACAACCTCCAGCTGGTCAGCACGCGTGAGTTCTACCTCCTGTGTCAGTGCCCGAGCTCCCTCTCCTCCTGCGTTTGTGTAGAAGTTTTCCCGGGGCTTTCCCAAAGGCGACACCGTGGTCGAGCTTCTCCGTCAGGAAGATTCCTTGGTGGAGGCCCTCTTTTGAGACAACCCTCTCGACTACGGTCATGTTGCCACAGAATCGCCAATCAGAACCTGAAAAGAGAGATGGAGAGAAAAGAAAGAACACAGTGGCTGAGTTGAATAGGGGTTAAGTAGTCACTTTCTCATTGCAGCAACTCCCACCGACACCTCGATTTGTTTCATAAAGGAGCCCGCCCTTTGGGGGGCGGCCCCTTGGGGCCTTAGGGGGCTATGTGCAGAGGAAAGAAGGAAGAGAGAGAGAGAGAGAGAGCCCTTCTTTGTTTGGGCTCGCTCTGTCTTATCTGTAGGATGTGCTTCTTTTGGCGTGGAGAGGTGCGCTTCCCCTGCCGGGTCTACGGAGACATCCATGGGCCCCTCTGGCCTAAACAAGCAGAGTGCGAACGCAGAGTCCGTTAAACTCCTCACTTGAAGCACGACATGTACGAGTCCTGAAAAAGGCAAGAAGTATCCAGAAGCATCATTCATTCCCTTGGGTGGAGACATGCTTTTTCTCTGCTTTTTCGCGTGCTCCCCGCTGAGAGCCTCAGGCAGTTGCTGGACCTCCTGGAGTTCTTCAACGCCTTCTCCTGGCCGGCAGCGATGCTCAGCGATGCTCAGCGATGCTCACTCTTCGTGCGCCTTTTCACATGGCCCCCTTTCAGAAGAGGACAAGCGTCGCGGGGACATCTTCTCGATGAACTATGCCAGGGGCTCTCCGTATTCTAAGTGAAAGACTATACACCTCCTCGCTGTCGGCAGCCAGGTGTTCTTGGGTGACTTCGTCGACCGAGGCGCCTATTCGTGCGGGACTTACCCGGGCCGGCCTTGGTTGCAGAAGCAGCTGAAGCAGCTGAAGCATCTGAAGAGCGATTGAGGTGTGACGTCGTCTCCCTCCTCTTCTCGCTGAAGATCCTCTACCCCCAGCGAGTCTTCCTGATCCGCGGGAATCACGAGGAGCCGGAGACTCCAAACATTCCCAAACCCACTCAAACCGCCTCCGAAACGAAAGCCCAAAAGACACCCCAACAAAGCCCAACAAAGCCCATCAAAGCCCAACAAAGCCCATCGAAGCCCATCGAAGCCCTGTGGCCCGTTTTTCGCATCTCGAGGATCGGCTGATGAACGTGAACTACGGCTTCCACGCCGACTGTGCCAGGATGTTAAGAGAAGAAGCGTTCCCGATGTTCCCGCAATGCTCCCAAATGACCCGAAGCAGCCGCACCCCCTACAAGCCTGAAGCCGCCTTTTGGACTCCGAGAGGAAGTTCGGGCGGGATGGCGACGCCATCTGGGAGCGCCCAAACCTCAGATCCTTGGGGGGCCAAATCGAGCCAGTAGCCATAGTAGCCGTATGCGCGGCCGAGGGGTCAATGACGTCTTCGAGTTCCTGCCCATAGCCGCCTTGGTGGAAGGATTGGCTGATTTGCTATCATCTTTGCAGCCTTCATGTTGATGGGTCATGCCCTCCACGAAGCATGCTAAATATGCAGAACTGGGGCTGGGTGGGGGGGGGGGAACATATCTCGCTTTTCCGATTGTATGGCCTCTTGGCGTGCCTCCCTGGAGCCCGCGAAATCTTCGACGATGTTTTCCGGCCTTTGCCTGCCCTTCAAATGAAGCATATCGAGCCGGCCGCCGGCGAGCTCTTGATTCTGCGACAAAATCCTCGTTGTCGGAGTTCTTCTATGCACAACTGCTTTGAGCATGTGTATGAGCTTGAATCGAGACCTGAGGGCACTGAGGGCAGCAGCCAGAAACTTAAAGAAAGAAGTTTCAAGAACACTCCAGAACGGCTCTGACGTGACTCTAAAGAGTGTCATGAAAAAACGGCGCGATGAAAAAATCACTAAAAGACGATTGCCCCGAAAGCATCGATTTGCCGTGTGTTGCACTCGAACTGTACGCCCTTGGACGAGTGTATGCACTTATATGGTTGCACGCTCACTTGTATACTGCACTTGTATGCACTTCAACTGCATGGCATTCAAGTGTGTTGACTTGAATGCCATGCACTTGTGGTCAACTCTACACACTTCATTGGAATTCAATACATCTGAAGTTAACGGACTGGAACTCGACATTTTTCAACTTAATACACTTGAGCAACTGTATGAACTTCACTTGTGTGCACCCGACTCGGCTGTACACGTCCAATCCACGCGAAGACATGAAAGAAAAGACAACAATATCCAACGCGAGAGCCGTCAGCCACAAGCATCATCGGCAGTCGCTCTGAAGTCCAAGTCCATAGCGCCTTTCAGGAAGCAACAACTCAGCATGCACGCATGTAGAGCGTCCGGTTTAATGTGTGACGGTACATACGCTTTCGTGCTGCAGGCAGGATTCTAAGCAGTGATGTTTCTTTTTTTGTCTTGGGCGGGCGTACTCCAACTCGCCTGTTCGCAAGACAGCGTCGAGGTGCTTCTGAGACATGTCCGGGGGAAGTGGAATTGCATTAGTCAAGCGACTCCAAGCCTCCTTGGCTCGAAAGAATGTAGGAATTCAGGCAGTGAGTTCGTCCCCCAACTTCCGTTTCAGGTCTCCCCTCAGGACTGAAAGCCCAAACGTGTAGTCCAGCTGGATTTTGTTCGATTGTGTCATTGCAAAGAAAAGGACAGAAGAGCGAGGTTGGCAAGAAGACCTTGAGCTGAAAAGAGCAGAGAAGCACAGTGAAATCTGGCCGAAGTGAGCATGTCGCAAGATCAAGGTCAGGCACGTACGCATTCGTGGTGCAGGCAGGATTCCAAGCAGCGACTCTTTTTATCTCTTGGGCTGGCGCACGCGCAAGACCTTTTCGCAAGACAGCGTTATTCTGTGCATTGCACTTCTATGCACTTCAACTGCATGGCATTCACACTCGAGTCCAACGCCCCGGAATTCGAGTCCCACGATATTTGCGAGGTTTTCGAGGCCCCGGAATTCGAGTCCCACAATGCTTGCGAGGTTTTCGACACACCGGAATCCAGCACCATGATATTTGCGACGGTTTCGACATCCCGGAATTCGAGTCCCACGATATTTGCGAGGTTTTCGAGGCCCCGGAATTCGAGTCCCACGATATTTTGCGATATTTTCGATGGCTGTCCTAGAAGCCCGCGCCGGCCCTATTCAGTACTACTTTTGTACTGCAGAGGAGCATTTTGATAGGAGGGCGTTCCCAAAAGCCCTACTTTTGTACTACAGAGGAGGATTTTGAGAGCCCAAGAAAAAGCGCGCACCGGCCCTAGACAGTATAGACACTGCTATTTCTAAATTTTGTACCAGAGAGGAGGATTTTGAGAGGGGGGCGGTCTTCAAAGCGCGCGCCGGCCCTATACAGTACTACTTTTGTACCACAAAGGATGATTTCGGCCAAAAACGCAAAAACACGAGGGATTTAGCACCTCTACCACGCGGAAACCCGCAGAGGGGTTGCGTTTGTATGTCAAAAAAAACAAAAACACGAGGGTGTTGGCACCGCGATCACGCCGAAACCCGCAGAGGGTTGACGCGCGCGCAAAAAAAATGCGCGAAAACCCAGGGTTTAGCACCGCGACCATGCCGAAACCCGCAGAGGGTTGTCTGCGGCGCAAAAACGTAAAAACACGCCGAAACCCGCAGAGGGTTGCAATCCCGATCGATGACGACAACTCTACCCACGGCCTTCAAAAGATGAATTTTAATTAAACATGTATGATTGGGTACGAAAGTGTACAAAATTCCAGTACAATCTCGTAAATTCTACTAAATTGTATTGAAATTCTACTAAAATCTCGTAAATTCTACTATATTGTAGTAAACTCTCGTTAATTCCACTCTCTGCACTTCACTCTTGCACTAGACTCTGTGCACTTCACTCTGTGCACTTCACTCTTGCACTAGACTCTATGCACTTCACTCTATGAATTTCACTCTCTACGCACTTCACTCTGTGCACTTCATTCTATGCGCTTACCTCTATGCACTTCACTCTATGTTCGCGATGCTTTCGGGAACCAAAGAAGCGCGCGAAGTAGCAGAAAACTTGTTCCTCGAGGCCCGGGCTTTCTGACCAGCAGCAGTGCCTTCGTCGAGTGTGCAGAAAGGGTTTCTGTCACTTTGATGTGACATGTTCGTCAAAAAAGGAGGAGAGGACAGCGGAGGAGTCTTTTCTCCGAGTCGTGTCTCTCTCGACCGGGCGGCTTCTCGGGGCTCAAGGCACAGCACAATGACCATTGGCGGCTTGCATGCGCATCTGCATTCTCACACTTGCCCCATCTTGCCCCCCCAAATGATCTTCAACCTAAATGCCCCGGCGCCCTCATGTTCCCCACAGGGAGCGAAGGCCCTCGGACTTCCAGCCTGAAGGGTTTCCAAGCTTCCGGCGCCATCGGGCAGCCAACACTCATCACCAGCACAGAGAAACGGAAGGTAAAATGGCTGCCAGATCACTTTAAAACTTTACACATGCCGCTTACCAATCGCTGCAAAGCCTTTATTCGGGGTCCGAAATCATCTCTTGGGCCAGGAATCCTTCACTGTTCCTTTTCGTGGGCACTGGTACTGTAGCGGTTCTAGCTCAAACTCCCCTCTCCCCCTGCGTAGCCTCGTGTGAAGGAGCCATCCTCTGCATCCATGGCGGGATCGGCGACTCCATCATGTCCTTGGACGACCTGCGAGGGATCCCCAAGCCGATTCAGGTGCCGTGACGAAGCAGAAGAAGCAATAAGAATAACCAGAAGGTGAAGGCGAAATGAAGTCGAAATGAAGGCGAATGAAGGTGAAGGGAGTAATGAGACAAGGGGAGCTACAAGCCTACAAGCTGTTCTTGGCGCAGAGATTTTTCACGGAGCAGGGCCTCGGGATTGCTGCGTTGTTGCGGCCCTGCGGCAGGTGGTCGGTGAGATCAACGAAAGGACGCTCTCCTCATGGAGGCTTGGGGCCCCTTTGTTTGACCTTGTCTTCGCCAGGACCACACGTCGTGACCGCATGGTGCTCGATGCGCTCTGGTCCAGTTCCCTGGTTTGCCAGCTGCTTTCGCCCATCTGGGCCATCTGCCAGCTGCCGCTCTCGGAGGTCGGATCCCACGGACAACGACCAAGTCCTGGGTGTTCATGCCCTCAGCTCAGCTCCCTGCCAGGGTGCGTTAATCGGCTTCGCAAGGGGTGGGGGGGGGGGTCGATTTGTGAAGCAAGGCAAAAGCGCAGCCTCTTTATGTTGTGCTTGCGCAAGTGGCTCGTGCAACTCTCAGGTCTCTCCCAGGGGCAAGAACACCTGCCGCTTCGGCCCAGATCGTGTGCAGGCACGAAGGGACGAAGGGTGAAATCAAGAGTCCTTAGCCCCAAAGACCCTGGGCTGGGAAGGCATCTACAGGAGCTTTCTGAGAGCGTCAATGGCACGTCTTGAATGCTCAGGACTTATCTTTCCAGAGCCCGGCGCCCATGTGTCAGGACTTCAACCGTCGGAACTCCTTGAAGTTGATCATCCGCGCACACGAGTGCGCCGGTTCCTCTTCTTCCGCGACAGTGAGAGAGAGAGCGTGAGTGACAGCATCAAAACAAACCCTCTTCCTTTCTCCCTCAAGTCTCTTTTTTACACCTCTCTCTCTCTCTCTCTCTCCGTCTCTCTCTTTCGCTCTCTTTCTCTCTCTCTCTCTGAGATAAGGTCCAGCACGGCTACGAGTACTTTGCCGCTGGCCAGCTCTTGACTGTTTTCTCAGTAGATGCCTTAGCTCCAACATTTCCCAGTTTTTGCAATTTTTCGAGGCCGCTGGAGTCAAAACGGCTAGGCTTTGCACTTTATCGACTACCTGTGTGACTACAGGCGACGAACTACTGCAACCAGCACGACAACGACGGTGCCATGGTGGTTCTAGTGAAGGCGGTCCTGGCTCAAGTCCGTTGCAAGCTACAGTGCAGCTACAGTATGCCACAGTTGTCATCTTCAGATTCTTCGGATCCCAGTTCTCTTCCTTGATGCTGGGCAGGATGACCGTACAGGGGAGGTGGTCGAACACGCTCAGGTTATCAAGAGCGGCACGGCAGTGATCTCAGCAACGTCCTCCCACCCTGATTAGCATTGTTTTTCGCTGCCACAGCAAAGCAAGTTGAGTGCAAGCGGCAGCTTATCTTGTGCTTCTGCAGGCCCATTGTCTTTGTTGCTTGTGCTGTAGTCGGGCTGCCAAGGTGGACACCTCCTATGGTTGGAACGACCAGCAGTTTCGGGCGCAGGGGTCTCGTCCTCTGTTCCCAACTCTTCAGACAATTGGCTGCAGACCGAGGCCATCGCCCATGCGACGGACGGGGCGCTGATGCTGATGGCGTCTGAGATCTGGTGAGCGTATGTACAATATGTGGGAGAAACGCTTTGAACGTGTCACCCACTCGTTAATGAGCCTCGAAGAGCTTGGGCTGGTGCCCACGCCTGGAACAGAAAAGATTAAGGGGCTTTTAAGGGGCTAAGGAGGCGGCAAAGAGGCAGTGTTTTGTAGTGTTGGAAGCGGAAGCATGCAGGTGGCATTCCTCTCGGCACCCTCTCGGCTTAACTTGACAGTCGCTTCTCATGTCAGCACAAAACATGTACTTCTGAGAGCTGAAAAGGTGCTGTATCGTACGGAGTCGTGCTCACTCCAAGAGCTCCCAACGGCCCCCAGTTTCAGCTTGCGCCACAAAAGAAAGCTGCCAAGGATCGAGAGAATCTATGCCAAACGCATCCAGGCGCTAAGAACCCCCCTCCCACCCTCTCTGTCTCGGTCCCGGGCTTCGGCCTGGCAGCGCCGCCGCGGACATGTTCCCCGTTCTGCAAGAAGTGGAACAGAGCGAACCACTTGAGATTTTTTCTCTCTCTCTCTCTCTCTCTCTCTCTCTCTCTCGCTCTCGCTCCCTCTTTCCCTTTTGGTGGTGGCTCCTTGTTGGGTTCTTGGGTTTCAAGGAGCGAAGAAGTGGACACCTCCTTCGAGGAGCTCGCAAAACGGAGCCCGGAAGATCGCTTCCACCGGCCACGGCCTATGCAGGAGTGGAGAGCCCCATCAACTCTTCATCTCTAACCAGGTTTCGTTAGTGGCATGATACGGGGGCGTGGCCATCGAGGTTAATGCAGAAGGACTCCCGCCGCTACGAGCTTCTCGTCCTTGCTGTAGAGGTGAGGGCCGAGTGAGCCGAGTGGAGACCTCCGAGATGCGATCCACCAGAGTCGCCGCCGGTAGGTGTGCTACCTGGTTCTGTATTGGGCGGTCTCCTTCCTCATGGCAGGCGCATCTCTCCCTTGTTTAGGTTGCATCTGCAAAAGCACCTATCTGAACACACACCAAAGCCGAAATCGTCCTGGCAGGATCCGTGGGTGAAGTATCCGTGGGTGAACCGGAGCGACCAGGCGTGGGCAAGCCTCCGCCTCCAAAGCCGAGCCAGAACGAGGTCTTCTACCAGGAATGCGTGGGGGCCTCTCCCTATCTCTGCGAAATGTGACGCCATGTATATCTTCTCGCTCAGGTCGACGAGCTCTGGCGCAAGGACGAGAAGCGCCTGGAGAGCCTGGCAGTTGAGAGCTTCCTGCGGGAGAGGCGCGCAGTTACATGTGCGCCTGCAACGATTAGCAGTCGGCGAGATGCTACACGGGGCGAGATTGAGCTTGTGCAAAACTTGGGCCCAGGCTCGCTGACTCTTTGCAGCTGATGCAGCACTGTGACGATAGTCTCACGGGCAAAGAGGCAGCCGGAGCTTTTCTGAGTGTCGCTTGGCATCCGCTTGGCATCCGCTTGGCATCCGCTCATGCTTCTCGGACCGCGCATGAACAGCACCGGGAGGTGCCCGGAGTCTGAGGCAACGCGTTTGAACCCCATCCTGCCCATTCTCGTTGTGGTTCTTCGTGCTTGGCGACTTTTCGGTTGCCATGACTGGCTGCAGAAGGCTGCCAGATCTTGATGTCTTAGAGTCTTAAAGTCTTGGCCGCTTAAGCCGCTTTGACACCATACGTTCTATTCTCACGAAGAGGCGCAGTGCCGCAGCGAAGTTCGATGGGCAGTCGACACGGCATTCCACACCGCCGTGCTATCATGGCAACTTCTCTGCAGCTTTTGAAGCTGTTCTGAGCAGAAGGGGTTTGAGAGGATGTTGAGGCATTGATGGTGAGAACATGGATAAGCCTTGCATTAGCAATCACCTTTTTTTATCTTGGAGACCACGCTTCACTTGGCAAAGGTATGGCTTCATGGCCGGACAGCTTTTCCGTGTTTGGCCCATGGCTGGCTTGTTCTGCTCTTGCCACCGCCGCCCGCCCTTGTGCTTTGTGGTGCTAGGACTCTTCTCCACCATGAGCTTGACGCCTGGGAGTAGCGACGTCTTCCTCAGAGAGATGTACATCGGTAAGCGCCTTATAACTTTATTTGCCAGAAAGATCCCATCGCCATCGACTTTGAGAGACCTTGAGCCGGGCGAGCCCTTGCGAGGCCCCACGGTCTATGTTTTCCTCCTGACGGCTCTCTGCCTCACTGTCCTGGATCGGCTGCAGACGCTTGTCGCTTCGACGGTTTCCTTTGGCAGCTCGGCAGAAGCTGTTCACAAAGCACAAGCCAAGTCAGAGCACAAGAAAAAGCGCCAACAAAAGGGCGCCGCTTCTGTGCCAAGTCGACCTATGCCATCTCAGGCTTCTTCGGGGTCCCGATTTTTGCCTTCTCCTTGGGCCTTGTTGCGTTGGCTCGCTGAAAAGGCTTTGCGGGTTTGCTCAAGCTGAGGCCGCCTTGATCCGGATCTTGGAGGAGAAAGGAAACGAACGAGGCTATTTGCTCGTCCTGATGGAGCAGCCTCTTGGCTCACCAAAGTGACCATATATGGCACGTTGCAGAAAACATCAAACCGCAGAGAGCACGAGATGCAAGAAGCTAGAGCACGGCCCTGGGGCCAAGGCTCACGCTGCTCCTTGCCATAGTGACCCTTTGCCTGGCAAGGCAAAGTCGGTTCATCGGTGAAAGGGTGTGTGATGTGTGTGATGTGTGTGATGTGTGTGATGTGTGTGATGTGTGTGGCTGAATGGCTGCATGGCTTGGCGCAGGTGGTCTTCGTGGCGTGACCGCATGGCCGACTTTCACAGGGAGGAGAAGCTCAAAACGGGCATCATCGACGAGAAGGCTGCCTTGCGACATAACGAGCTTTAAGTTCCTTTTGGAACAGCTCAGAGGGAGAGGGAGAGATTCTGTCAGAGAGAGAAGCTCTGAGGTCAAGCGTTGCCAGGCGGACTGCGGCTCAGCACCACGAAGCCAACAGAGGGGTTCCAACAAGCGTAGCGCACCTGTGGGGGCACCTGTGGGCAGAGAGCCGCGGTTACGGAGTGAGGAGTTTACAGCTGAGCGCTTGACCGAGTCGGTGGTCCTGAAGGCACCTGCTGAAATTTGGGAGCCTCATGTGAGTGAAGTGAGCAACTTTCGCTTCTTCTTCGGATCGGTTTTGCCCCGTCGCCAGGTTGGGGTGTTCAGGTTTTTTCTTGGCATCCAGCTCTTGCTCTGTTTTTTCCCTCCACCTCCTCCCATTCCGGACTCGAATCCTCTTTTCCAAGCTTGAACCTTGCGATCCTTACGTGAATGTAGCTGCCATGTGATCTTTTGCATTTGGCAAAGCTGTCACATCAACGGGGGCTCGGCTCGCAGCGCAGGGGTGGCATTCTTGGGTTGACGAAGCAGAACCAGTGCTGATATTATTGCTGGTTGGCACGCCCACACACACAAACATGTCATCGCATGTCCATTTTTTCTTGCTTCCTTCCTTCTTTCCAGCCAACTTCTTTGGCTTTCTCTCTCTTTCCAGTCCTTTCTCCCGTCAGCAGATGAAACTTGTACTGTCCTGACATGGCATGTGCTTAGAGTCTGCAGAGGGGTTGCGAGAACGTGGCTCGCTTTGGTTCTTCCATGGGTCCTGCACGAATCGCTTGTCAGGAAGATGGTCTGGATCTGAGTGGGGGATGTTTCCCGGGACCGACGGTTTCTTGAACCATCTTCAACCTACCTGTGCTGCCTTCACGCAGGCGAAGAATCGTCCTACCTCTACACCCCTTATGCAGCCCATGGTGTTGCTCACGCTTTCCCCGGGCCGGTGGCAGAGCCATTGCCTTGAGCACGGCGGAAAGCCAGCAGCGAAGCGGAATGTCTCATAGTACATGTGTCCTCCTCACTGAAGGGAAGCCTTCCGGCCGCCCTCCGCCCTCAGCGCGCCCCCGAACATGGACAGGCCTCCAAAGAAGGGTTTTAAAAAAAGACGTTGAGGTGCAGTCGCATAGCGCAGTCGTATAGCGAGTGCCGGCTGCGGGCGACTCCCAGGCTGGCCTTGCAGAGAGGGGGAAACGCCCCCCGCTGCGACTGCCTGCCGTTGTCTGCGAAGGTGGGGGTGGAGGCTGATCTCCAACATGGTCTTAAGGCTTAAGCGCGGCCGCTCATGAGGTCTTCGTGGATGGCTGCTCCAGCGCTGGTGGAAAGCCGGCATCGCAGCTTGCTGTCGGAGAGCGAATCTTATGCTGCCAGGCTGCATCTTATGCAAAGTGCTGCTGTTCGAAGCACTGCGGTTGCGCATGTTGCTGAAGCACGAAGAGAGTACAAACAGCCTCTCCACGACCCAAGCCCTGTCAGAGTAGAGTTACATCGAGCAAGCAGAAGAAGGAGGAGGAAGAGGAGGGGGAGGGGGAGCTCCACACCCAGAAACAGGCTTCGACCGACACAGCAGCTAAGACCCCGAAACCGGGGAGCTGGCACACCTTGCCCCGCGAAACAGAGAAAGAGACGCTCCTCCTTTTTCTCTTCTTCCCACATGATGCCCTCCAAAGAGAAGAATTAACACCACGCGTTTTAGCAGTCCCACCTATCCACATTTCCGGAGCTTTCACATCCTCTGAGTTGGGAGGCAAGCCAAGATGTGCTTCAGAGTTTGGTGTCATCTCATCGGGCATCTGAGGTTATGACCACCTTGCAGGCAGCATCAAGTTCGTGGATGTTGAAGACTGTTCGCGAGGGCCACAGCCTGCCAGAACTTTGTGCAAGCAGCAGAAGCACTAATGCCCTACTGGCAATGCCTAAGCTTTTGACAGGCCCTACAGTAACAGACGTCTTTGTGCTGAGGGTTGTCACTGGATCTTGCAGCTGGTCTCGGGTGACGATGGCGGATGGCACCCATATGCTTCTTGCCTTTTCCGCCGTTGGGACGCTTGGGACGGCCCCAAACTCTCCCGAATGGTTCAGCCTTTAAGGTCTGTAACTGCAGACCACCCCGTGCGCGTGGTGGGGGAGGCACAGCCAGAGGATGGCACCAAAGGCACGGCGTCCACATCGTTCACATCGCAAGTATATAGTAGCTAGGTCAGCTAAGTGGCTCCTCTCGTCACGGTCTTGTCTTCCAGGTGCCTGGGGGCTCGGAGGTGGAAGGGTGGTGCGCGCAGGAGAGCTCAGGCCACAAGCGCCACAAGCTCCCGATGAAGTCTTCAGTCAGTCTAGTGATGTCAGGCCTGGCAACAAGCTGAAGATCTTGCGATTGGGTGCTGTGCCCGTTCAAGAGAAGCTTCTTTGCACCTGGCTTTTGCTTGCGGCCCACTATGTTTGTAACATTTCGTAACCACTTCCTTGAACCCGCCCCTCCCCCCCCACCCCGCATATGATGTTTTTGACCCCTAGACCGGTTTCTACTGCACACCAGCCACCTTTGCCACCCCCACAAGCATTCTGTCTGATCCCCTGAAAGCCATCCTTTGTGCAAGAGTCCTGGGAGCTTGCTACGAGAGGCCTCCTGCTGAACTCCAATCAACAGGGGTTCGGAAACATACCTTGGGGTGTCAAAATGTGTTGGGATCAAGAACATGCAGGGCGCGGACAGTATGTTGGGGGTTTAGCAAAAAGTTGCCCTTTGCTTGCTCATGCCCCTTTGCTTAGATCCTCTGCGCCATGAGGATGCAGATTGAACCTGACCACCAGCCACGTGTCCGAGTGAACGTGCATCAGAGCTGGCACTTTGCCTAAGCTTGTGGCAGCTTGTGGTTGTGTGCTTCGACGTGATTTTTGATGTGGGAGTGTGCGGGTGATAGAATGACAGTTGGCCCAGAGGCGCTACTCCCTCTTCTGCTCCCAGAATGAAGGCTTGGGGAAGAAGTGTGCTTCTGGGGATCTGTTGAAGAGAGGGCCTCCCCCCCCCCCCTTTCTTAAGTCTAAGAGAGCTAAAGCGAGGCCTGGACATGACGGCCGTGGCTGTGGAGTCCTCTGATGGCCTGGACGGGCGCCAGGAGGAAGTCTTGCAGGTCAGAACCGAAGGAAATGTTTTCAACTGAAAGGAAGTATCACATGGTGACTTTCAAACCCCTCCTCCCCCCCTTCCTCCCCCCTGTCCGGCAGGTTCAGAACACCTTCATCGGGGGATTCGCGAACACTCCGGACGGTTTCTGCAACAATTCTGGAGTCGCTGTTTTGCTGCGTGGAGCGGTCGAGCTGGCTCAGGACATGAAGGTTGCTCGCAAGCCGCATTCTGCCCCAGGACGTTGGGCCGATGGGCCATTCAGAGTTTTCTCATTCGGGCTCACACCTTCTTACTTAACAAGGTTCGTGTGTGATGTATAACATGGGAAAAGTTTCAAGATTTCAAGAGTGTATTGTGTGTTAAAAGGTGCAATGTTCTTGAGAAGTGCATTCTTGATAGAATTGCAAAAAAAGGGGGGGGGCCTAGCTCTCTCTCTCCCTCTTCCCTGGTCCCTCGTCCTCTCTTTTCCTCGCTCTTTCTACTTTCCACTTTTGTCCTTACGCGACACAGAGTCCCGTGTAGTTGTTTCGTCCTCTCCATGGGCCTCTGTTTGTTTGCGAGGAGCGGTTGTGGGAGCTCCAGAAGTCCTTGACACGGAGAAGCCTGCGATGGCCACGCCGCCTCCTCAATTTGTGCTTTCGTGGGAGACCTCCCTCGAATGTGTCCCAACTCCAGCCAAGCACTCGAGTTCTGGGGACTCAGGCCGGAATGCGTGGAGGACATAGAGACTCAGGCTGGAGAAGACTCGGATGCGTGCATCACCAAGTCGCACAGCAGTGCTGCACAAGGAAAAGCACTTACCACCTTTCCTAAGGGTTGGCGATGCTCGAGCTTCAAGCGCCAGTGAAGATAGCCCTGACACGCAGCATGCCAAGGCCGAAGTGTGTTGTCGTCTTTTTTGGGTGCATGTTTGGTAAATTGTGCACCTTTGTGCTCCTACGCACGCTTGCTGCTTCGACACCTGCTTTCGTGACTAAGTGCTTTGAGTGTGGTGCAGGGCTGCTGCCAGCCTTGCCTTTTTCAGACGAGGCTTGGGTTGAAGTCTGATTCATGAATGTTTTTTCAGTGAATGTGCGGACCTGGTTGAGGTACTTTGCCGATCCTGAGAAGTACCCAGCGTGCGCGAAAGCTGATTGCATGGTGCGGTATTGTCACCTGCCACACAGCGAGGAGGGAGCTGCGGTGCTAGGGGGCTGCAGTGCCAGGGGGCAGTGAGACTTTGTGAGGCTTGCCCGTTGATGGAAGTGAATCCTGGGCCCCTTTTCGGGGTTCCATCTTGACAGGAGTACCTGGCCAAATACAAAGCGGCGAAAAGACGCCGCTCCCTCATGTTGCCCCAAGAGTCCCCATCAGTCGAAGCGCAGAGCTCTGCCGAAAGGCACATGAAGAGAACACTTTGTAGGAGCCCTATGGAGCCCTGTCAGGATACGAAAAGAAGAATCGCAGCTCGATGCATTGAGCATGAAGAGTCATCTGGCCAGATTTTTGCCTGAGCGAAGTTGTTGTGAGCTCCCAGGTATCGCATACCGCAAGAAGCAGGGACTGCAGGACCTGCGTTTCGCCCCACCCTACATGGCACACCACTTATGTAGAACTGCTACTCTCGTCGCGGAGGAAGAGGAGGACGACCCAAAAATGAGTTTGTGAGCAGAGCCAGCACAACTTCACTCGATGCTGTCTCAATCGGTGCTTCTTGTCGTGGCCCCGACTGTGTGCCCTGGAAATCTGGAAACTGCTCGCTTCTGCTGTGAGCTGAGCCGCGATCCCTTCCCTGAAGCGGAGTTCTTTGGGGAGGAGATGTGCAGTCTCTTTTCAATAGTCGAATCGAGAGTTGTCATGATGTGTCCTGTGCGTGTATCCCCGAAGGAGTGGTAAGTTTTTAACACTCCTTCTGCCGTTCTGCCGATTTCCTTTTTTACGCCGCGCAGAGCAAGGCCAAGCCTTCAAGCTGCCCGGTCCTTTCGTAGGTTCCGTCGCTCCCCCCGTAGCCTCCGTAGCTTGCGCCGTTCCATTTCCCCCGAACTGTACAAAGATGCCGACGCGAGAGCGGACGGAGGGGTGGAAAGCACGTAAAGCACGTCAAGCACACGAGCCGGCCCGGGGCCGAGAGCCGAGGGCGGCCATTCGGCTTGAACCTCTGTTAATCTTGAGCCTCGCGTATGCCAGTCGCCTTTCATTTCCTCTCGGCTTTTGGCTCGAAAATCTTGACTTGGGTGACAGATATTTTCAGATCAGAGCCATGTCGAAGCTCCCGAGCTTCCGAGCCTGAGCCCATGCCCCAAGATCTGCAAAGTCGAGATGTGCCAGTGCCAGTCAGTGCAGTGCATGCCGCTGCCATATCAGTGCCACACCGCGCCACCTCAGGGCGTTTCTGGCTCCCCTGCAGTGCCCTCCAACATGCTGGGCCGCTCGACAGGACTCGAGAGCACCCGAGAGAATGGAGACCCTGGAGTGGCGCGAAGGGGGACATGAGAAGTAAACAAAACTCACCAAACTCACCAAACTCAGGGTCTGAAAAGTGCAGTCAAGGCACTGTGCGTGTCGACATGCAAGATCTGCAGAGCCACCTGCAGCAGATCGAGCAGGGAATGCAGGCCTGCGGGGGTTGCAAGCACCACTCCTACTTCTTTTGGAGTTTTAGAGAGCCCTCCCCTTCCGTCCCCAGGTTCCCCCCGCCCCCCCCGGAGCGGTCTGCAGAGCAGAGCAGTCCAGGCGGTCCAGACTGCGGTGGAGAGCCTCCAGTCCATGGCCGACACTGGCGTTTCTGGGGAGCAAGCCACGTCGGAGGCGGCCTCGACGGAAGGCACGCAGACACCCAAGCCGGGCGCCCTTCAGGCAGGAATGTCGGACTGCCCCAGGGGAAAAGTTGATGAATAGGCCTCTAGGCCTTCGTCGGATATCGGAATCTGTCCTGCGCTGCAGTCCCTGGCGGGCGGCCAGCTCTTAGACGAGAAGCACGTGCTTCGCTCAGCCTCGCAATGATTCTACGCTTCCAGCCTTGCTCAGTTCGAGTTCGAAACGCTTTTTCTTGAAGAGTACAACTTCTGTCTAAGCTTGTCAGGACCGCTTCGAAGTCCAGCCAAATGGAGTTCCCATGACAAAGACGGCTCCGAGAAGGCACTCGATGGTCTCAAGCAAGAGTACCGTCAGCTCCTACTCCGTGGGTGAGGCACGGGGGGCCAAGAGCAGTGTTGGATGTTGTTTTTATGGTGTTGTTAGGTGTTTTGCCCAGTTGCTGTGGCAGCAGTACCGTGTGGCTGCATGTCCGCATGCCTGCTCAGGAAGAAGGTGGTCGCTTGGAGCAAGTTTATACGACCCCCCAACAGGAAGCCCACTTTGAAAATTGAAAAAGTCTTGCCACTCTGCAAGTTCGCCCAGAGGCGCGGTCGGTCACCTGCTCGCTTAGGTTTTCGCCTGCTCGCCGCCGCCTCGGATCCGCGCACGCGCACGCGCGTGCGCTGATGCCCCAAAAACTTGACTCGCGAACTGGTCATATGGATGTCTGTGACTGTGTGAGCTCCTGAGGACGAATGGGGGGAGGCCTTTGTGCTGTCTGAACAGGAGGCCACGGATGCTTACGACACTCTCTATCGCTTCCTGGCAGCACCAGGCAGCATTCCCAAGATGAGAAGACTGGCGGCACGAAGGGTCTTGTTGAAGATGCATCCCTGAGCAGATCCGAAGCATGTAAGCAGTAGCCTTCCTAACTGACTGCAGCTTATCAGCAGACATGCAGACCGCAAGACATTGTAAGAGAAGGAGCACGCAAGAATGCCAAACAACTGAAAGGAAAGAAGCTTTGCCCTGCTCATCCGGAAACCGTCAGGAGAGGAAAACTCAGGAACTCAGTAGCCACTGGAGCGACCCGTCCAGTTCATGCAGAGCAGGCTAATTGAAGCCCAAAAACCCAGGGCCATCAGTTTCGCTCAGATCTCAGCGTTTTGGGCTTGCGTCCCACCAAGAGCAGCAGATGGCGCTTGGGGTTTCAAGATGCGGGTGGACGAGAAGCCCCAAGAAGTCCAAGCAAGGCCGAGGCTCATCGAGGCTCAAAAGCACATCTGCAAAGCCGAGAAGAGTTGTTCAGGAAGCGCTTGGCCGTACATGCAGTGTAGGTGTCGCACATGTCTCATGTTGTGGAGAAAAAAACAGAGCCACCCGAAACTTGCGAAACGAACGACGCTATGAAGTGAGCGCAGATGCGTCGGGCCATGAGAATACTCATCGCCGCTTGCGACCGTTGCTGCCGCTTCGCGAACTGTTCTTGCACGAGTCTTGAGACAAGCAAGAATTGTTTCGAGTGGCACGGCACAATGGGATGGGTTGGACGGTTGCATGATTGCGCAAGCTGGGTGGCTCTTCTGAACACCTCGGTTTTCCTTCTTCAACAGATGTTGTGCCGCAATCGGAATTCCTCCTTTTTGACAGTTTTGCGGCGTGGCTTTTGCTGTACATCATTTTCCTTGCGCAGCTTCTTTCCGTGACAGTTTCGTAGTGGCCCGAGTTCTTTTGCCAACCACTGCTGCTCCTTCAACTCCCCCCGGAATCGTCTCTGCTGTGCCCAGCAAGTCTTGATAGGACTACAGTGACTACAGCAGAGTAATCTCGGCAGTTCTCACCAGGACCATGATGCCCTGTCGTTTCTTGTGGCCTTCTTTCAAGGTGACAAGGATTCACCTGCGCGCGTCAGTCGCAAGCGGCCCAGCCAGCTGGGCATCGCCAAGTTCGAGTGCCGGAGCCGCGGCCCAAGGGGCGAGGTAAGCTCAGAATCCCCTCATCACCCGGTTTTTTTGCCTCTTAGTACCGTGTTCAACCGCTCTTCTTCTCAGGCTCGGATGTGTCGGAGCAGCTGCAGGTGCGGAGAAATGCGGAGAAGCTCCCGCGTTGACCCGCCCTCGCCCCGACTTGCCCTTCCCCCAAAGCCTGAGACGAGAAGAAACCACTCCTCCCACAGCCCCTTTTTCTGAGAGAGGAGAAGGTGACTCTGCCCTACCTCCCTCTGCTCTTAGGCTCATCTGCTCCTGTCCTCCTGCAGGAGATGCTTCGGTGGTGGCGGTTGGTGTGGGACTTTTTGACCATCGTCCTGGTGGGCATCGACTCGGTGATGTTGCCGCTCCTCTTGGCATGGCCGGCGGAAGACGGCAGCAGGTGGGCAGACTACTACAAGGCCTGCGCTGAGAAGCAAGCTAGCCCCCAGTAGGCCTACATTGCACGAGTGCTGATTGCACGAGGGCTGATTGCACGGGTGCTGAACGGTACGAAGCTGCGCGCGTGCATCTGGCGGCGAGGCAACCCCGGTCTTCTGGGTGACGGACATCTGCATGGTGTTCCTCCTCGCAGTCCTCGTCCCCGAAGGCTCACGGATGGCTGCCGTTTGCCACTACATCTGCAGAGGCCTCGGCAATTGGCAATTGCTCTTCGTTTCTTGGTGGGCCATGACAACCCCGATGATGCGGGGGAGGGGGGGGAAGGGGACTTAGTGCTTAGTCCTGGGATGAGTCGCGGAATTTAAGGCACCTGGTTTCCCTTGGATGCCTTGGTGGTGGTCCTGGATCTGGTGCTCCTGGCGGAGCTCGTTCCGGACGATTTCAAGGCGCTGACCATGATGCGGCTCTTGCGGACGGCCAAGTTCAGACAGGCCAGCTCTGCCCAGCCATGCCCAGCTCTAAGAAGAAGTGGCACCCTTGTCCAGGGTGCAGGGCCTGTTATGTCCTCGGCCCACATGCAATCTGTTACAAAGGCAACCACTCTCTTTGCTACATGGAATCCGCTTTGAGACTTATGATTGTGCTGCGAGGCGATCACGGCAGTTGAGAGCAGGCTGGCTACCAACGGGCTGCTCCGCGTGGTGAACATGTCCACCATTCTCCAGTGCGTGGTTTTCATCTTCGGAGTGAACCACGCCTTAGCTTGCATCGCCATTTACATTGGGCGTCGGGAGCAAGAATCCGGGAACACCAAGAACTGGCTGAACGAGTACCTCATTCAGGACCAGCCCCTCCCCTTGCAGTACATGATCCTCGGTTTCTCTCATATTACGCTTTTTTAAACACAGAACGTCCTTTTGGCACTTCGTCAGAGAGGGCGATGCATCCGCCAAGCGTCGCTTTTATCGTAGGAGACGTGTGGTTCCTTTCCCAGAACCAAGGATTGCCTTTAACTGGGTCGCCTGGCTTGGAGCTTCAAGTCCCTGCGCCCGACGTGCAGCCTTCCCAAAGTAGCCTCCGCCCACCTTCCCCCTCCCCTTCCTTAGAAACCTCAAAGGGCATCCTCCTGTTGCCTGATAAACTCCTGTAACCGGTAGCACCGTTTGAGCCCCTGAGCCGCCCTCCCCGAAAAACCCAATCCGAGAGCTCCCGGAGGTCATTGCGCAGTACACGCCTGCGCCGTATCCCTTCACTGCCCAAAACGAGCCCGAACAGGCCTTGGTTCTGGCACCTCGCCTCAGCAGAATTCTTGCCGTCAACCCTTATAAACCCTTTAGACTCTAGACTCTAGACCCTAAACATGTTCAGCTGACTGAATTTCTGGGCTTGACTGCAGGGGGCTCTCTGAGTGGGGGGGAAGCCTAAACCTCTCGGATCCCGAGGCCATCATCCTCACTTGCCTGCCCATGCTGGGAGCACAAATCGGCATCATCAGTGGCGTCGGCACAGAAAGCGCTGACCGTGTCCACCCTTCTTTCGTTGTTTCCAATGACAATCTCGTGGTCGGTTTTGTCGTGTTTGAGGCAAAAAAACAGCACAACACGGAGTGATCCCTGATGTGACGTTTTTTGACAAGGTGGAACGCTGAACCTGATGATGGAGAAGGCGAAGGTCCCTGACGAGGGTTCAATGTAGAGCAGAGGCGAAAAAATCGTCCGGGGTGGAGGTCTCCCTCTGTTCTTCCGTGCTCCCAGTTTGTCTCTTCTCTCTCCTTTTCCGAGTCGCCCGGCTCTTTGGAAGAGGAGCGGGACCACGTGAAGCGTGACCTCCAGCGCTGGCTGCGCAAGACGCACATAAGCAAACGCCTGAGCCAGCCGCAGCCCCAATCTCCTCGCGGCAGACGGTCAGACAGTCAGACAGTCAGTGTCTCACTCTTTTCTCTCCTTCCTTGTATTTGCTCGGAGCTGAGGCGCGTGGTCACTGCCCTGGACGATGTCCTCGGCTCCCAAGAGTCTCCCCTGGAAGTGAAGGATCCTATGGCCCTCGATTTTCTGCCAAGCACACTCATCGAACAACTGCGTGTGGTGAAGACGGGCGAGACGCTGGCAGATCATCCATTCTACAGCCTGCTGATGGACGAATCTTGCCTCTGACAAGATATTCGTAGCTCTTCTGCTTCGACTTGTAGATTCTGGAGATTCGACTTGACATTGAACTGAACGAGTACGATGGTGATCGGTGGGGAGCTTGAGTGAAGGTGAAGGCGGTGAAGGGAAGCCGGGTAAGTCCACGAAGTGCCGAGGATCGCGTCGACTTTGGTGGGAGGATGGCTGCCGCGTTTCACCAGAAAGCCACACTCTGAGTGCACACACGGTCTTTGGAGGGCTTTGTGGGGTCGGAAGGGTGTTGAACGCTCTTTGTCCAGCTGTGGGCAGGTGGCTGTGCAGGGGGAGCAGATCTTCGCTTGCGGTCGCCGAGCGGAAGGCATGGGCAACCGGGAAGTGAGTTTTGGGAATTGCATCTGCTTTGCAAGGGGTCTACATCAGCATCCACGGCAGCTTCATGCTGAGACCTTCCAGAGTCACTTCGATATGATGGACACGTTGGGGCCAAGTGCAAGGGCGATCGAATGTTGCATTGCTTTCATTGCTTTCCGAGGATATCGAGACCACACACAGCGTTTCTCGGATTCGGACGACTCGCACCACCGTCTCCAACATCAAGCTTCATACGGATGGCTGGTTCGCAGACGCCTGGACTGGCTGTAGTTCGTCAACTTGTCCCTGGATTCTGAGGGGGCAAAGGGGGCAACTCCAGGGTGTGGACATGGCATCTAAGGAGCTGGCTCTGTACACCAACAGGACAGCTGAAATTCTACTTGCTTCGTGAAACAAGCAGAGAGCTGCAGGGCAACTTTCATAGGGCTGTGCACAGTAGGAACCATGCAGCCACGTTGACTTCGGCGACTTACGCCAAGTTGCTCACCTTGTCTGCCATGGATTTGATACAGGCGCTCCCTTTCGCATCACACTGCATTGCCCTGATATGGGGTCGAGGGGTGGGACCTTCCCTGCGACCGCCAGGCTGTGAAGATGTCACCGCCGATTGTGGTCGCCATGCATGAGTGGCTCAATTGCAGGTGAAAGGTTGTCCAGAGCAAGCCCCGCTCAGTTCCCGCTCCAAGTCAGCTCAGGTATGCACTGGCCTTGATTCGGATGCACCAGCGCCTTGGAAGCCTTTCAAGCGAAAAAAAAAAGTTGGGCATCGCCTGTTCAATGTGAAGCCTCTGTCCCATTCGGGGTTTTCTTCAAAGGAAAAGGGCCCACTTCTCTGAAGAGAGCTGGGAACTGCCACCGGACTCCTGGGCCTTAGAGGCAGCAAAATGAAGTCAACAATCCGGGCTCTTGGTGCAAGGCTTCTGGTGTTCGTTCTAGGCCCAGTGGGTTTATTCAGCTACCCGTTGCGCTCGGAGACAGAAGGTTTTAGGCCTTAGTTGTCTAAGACCCGACTGAGAAACCATGGTTCTGCGCTTTGAGACAGGCCGTGACCGCAACGCAGCTGGCAGAAGCTTGGCTTCAGCCGGCGAGTGTTTCTATGCAACGTTGCTACAGCGATATGGCTTCATCTCAGGGCTAGAGGCCTCTGTTGCGCAAGGAACTCTTGAATCCGGGCACGAGCCCAATCCATGCTTTCAAGCTCACCAGCGCGCCTTCGGCAGAATTGTGAGTACGTCCTGGCGCAACTGACGCACGTCGCACGGAGTCTTTGAAGGTCCTGGCCCTGACTTGACTTGAGGCATCAGAGAAGACAGTGTCCCTTGACCGTCTCCTCAATGAAGACATGACCTTGCTGGTGCCGCAGCGGGAAGTGTATGAAGTCATGCATCACTTACGTGGCTGCTCCAGTTGTGCCGTACCTTTCAGTACCGGTCAGATCAAATTTGTTCTGCTGAGGACCAAATCGACAGCGTGAAGGATCAGCTGGACGAGTTGAATGGCGAGACGGGCATGTATGAACTGCTTCGGATCAAGGCCTGGCTTCGACTCTGAGAAGGGATCTCTCTCACCTGGTCTCACCTTAAATGCGCTGCATAGGAGGAGGCAAAGCGATCCATTCTATCCGTCCTCTTCGTGGGCTGGCTGGTGCGAGAGACTTGTCCGTGACGAGCCTGTTGACTTGCCAGATGAACTTGAGAGAGCTGCTGGAACTGGCCTGACTATGCTTGACTCTCAGGACAACTATGTGCAAGCCGTCGCGTGTCAGGACACGCCAGCATTCGCCAAGACGAGTTCCCTGTGACTTGATGCGAGGACGGTCCGAACAAGCTGACGAGGACAACCTGGAGCGCCCTGCGGGACGCTTTGAGAACATTCGTCAATCAGTCACCGAAGCCCATGTTAATATTTGGGTCACGTCGGAAGTTGCATTCAAACCCGCAGCTCAGCATGAGCAAGTATCTGAGCCTGCTAGACCACGAATCTAGAACGTGCCGCTGAGGACTTGACCTACTGCCAGGACATGTCTTTCGAGCAGCTGAATGCGGCCATGGTCTTGCTGGGCATACGTGGCTCTCCAAAACCCTAGACACGACAGGCATTTGAAAGTTTTCAAAGGTTTTTCCCTGTGAGCCCGAATTGAAGTCTACCTTCGATGACGCGATTTGCAGTGGTACAGACAGCTCAAGTGAGAAGTGTGCTCCTGAAACACATCATGAAGCCCAAGCAGGTGGCCTCTGCAAGAGCAAGGAGTTCTCAAGGCTTGTACCTCCCAGCGAACGGAGGAGTTTGGAGCAGGTCCCACGAGACTGGGCACGGGTTTCCGGCTTGGGGGTTATGGACGCTATGGACAAGCTCCCTCCCCAACAAGCAAGACAGAGAAGCGCGGACATCTTGTACATGCCCTAAATGAGCCCCCCCCCACCCTCCGTCCCAACAGCAGCAAACACATGGAACAGCATTTGAAGATCTGTGAAACTGTGCGCGAACTACTCGGAGGCTTGAAGAGTAGTGCCCACGCCTGGAAGGTGCTTCTGCACACGGTGGATCACCTTTCTGCCTACGTGCCCTCGTTGCAAGCACTGCCCAGCGAGTGCTACCACCACCTGGGGGATGCGGTGCCTCGGCAGAAGTTCAGCTCTTTTTTTGAATGTTTTAGGCGTTCAGGAGTCACGAGCCATGGCGCTCCCTTCTTTGAGGTCCGGATCATGCTGGATTTCAACTTTGAGCACCTGCTGAATTCAGTGGGAGGGCGCCGTTGACTGTTCTTTCCGGAGCATTTCGGTGTGTTGTGTCTTGTTCAGTAGAGTAGACTGATGTCAACACTGACTAGATCCCTCTGCTTCAGGCCCAGTTTCTGCAGGGCGAGAACAATCCGAATGCTGTCTGGTTGCTGCAATGTGCGCTTGGCAGGGATGGGATGCAGGCCTTCAGGCCCCCAGCCTCAAATTCAAATAGCACAGCTCAAAGAAGCTCGAGCCAGGTTTCTGGAGTCTCTTCCGGCTCTTGAACCGAGGTTGTGCTTGCTGGCTCAGGCTTGCATGCTCTGTGGTGCCCTCCCCTCAGTGTCTCTTTCTTTCAAAGGGGGCTCAGCTTTAAGAGCAGTCCTGGATCTTTAGGATGACCTAGGTGAGTGGCGCATCCACGGTAAACGGATCGCTGTTTCTGAACGAGCTCAACGGCCGCTGCATGGTGAGGGCCCTGTCGTGCCTCCAGCACGTCGAGGATCGCGGGAGAGAGACCAGGGAGAGTCACCATTTAGAATTGGCAGAAAGAGGTTCTGACTCGCTGTTGACAATGTTTGTTCGGTCTCAACTGTCTTGTTCGGTCTGCAGGACTTGGAGCCTCAGGTGGTGTACTGGCGCTACATCGGAAGCCGGGCGGAGGCGCTCTTGCACGGTTTGCAGACAAGTCTCCGAGGCTTAGGAAGTCCAGATCCTGCCTTCGAGGCCTTGAACTTCAGCTTCCTGACGCCGTGGCAGCTGCATGTTTCCCTTCTTTCGACTGCGCTGTTGCTGCAACTCTGCGCGCACGCGCCCGTGCGTGCGCCTCTCGCGCCTCTCTAGATCCTGTTGCTGCCCCATTCCGTCAGCTGTCTAGCGAGCTACTTTCAACAAGGTGCTTCGTAGCATTGCGAACTGAAAGCCAGGACACAACTGGTCCTTGCCCGCATCGCATGCTTGACCCGCCGCTCGTTTTTGCATGTTTCGCAGCTGAGACTAGCGCAGGCTCAAGGTTGCTTTGAAAAGAGAAAGAGAAGAAGAAGAAGGAAGAGGAGGAGAAGAAGAAGAGAGACAGGCCGTCGTGGCCGGGGGTCCTTCGGGACTCTCTTCGCTGAAGAAGAGAGATAGAGAGAGACACCACACATGAGACCACCGCTTGACACAGCCCAGGAACTTTGGAGCCTTCATCGATGCTCGAAGTGCAAGAGGACTGGCTGCAGCTGACGGACCGTGAACGCGACGTCCTGCACGATGCCTTCCTCCTTGATGGCCACGAGCACAAAGCCTTCCTCTTCCTGTACCTACCACTCCTGCTCACCAATGCCCGCACGAACCCGGACCTGGGACTTCAAGGTGGATGTTAAACAAGTTTCAAGAAGCTGAGGGCCACCACGTTGGCTAGACCATTCTTATGGATCAATGCGCCCGTTGCTTGCAAGTCTGTACTTCAATGAACAGCTGAAGGCTTGGATTGAAGGGTTTTCGAAGGAATCGGCGTGGATAATGAAATACGCGGAGAAATCATTACACGCAGATGAAACACTTGGGACGGCGCAGCACGCTAGCCGTTCCCAACCAGGTTAACCAGAAGCGGAAACCTATTCAGGCCCATTGTGAGCGAGGAGTTACTAACATTTGCTATCAGCATTGCGGTTTCTACCGCGCTTGCAACAAAATAAAATCCTGTTGGAATTTGGCGCAGCAACTCCATCAAGTGGAGTTCCAGGTTTTACATGCCGCTCTCCGAAGGAAGCTGAAAATTGGGCTAGAGACTTGTACAGCTAATTAAGCAAAGCAGACGTGTCATGTCATATGCAAGTCAGATGAAACGACACAGAACAATGCTTCAAGCAACTGAAGCGCTTGGACCTTTAGTCAGCCCTTCGTGCGCCTCGCAAATACTGCCTACTCAGATGCCTGCTGCTCACAGGGACGCTGGCACATCCTCACGCCTCAAGTTCTTTGATTCGTTTGCCTTCTTGCAGTGCTCTGAAACGATGAATGCTCGAATCTCTGAAGTCCTGCGACCCCAGAGCTGTTGACCCTGGGTGGCTGCGGAACAGCTGAACAAGCAGCAGGCTGCTTGCATGAGGCCTGACGTCAAATGACTTCAGAGGGTGATGTTTTGTGTAAGTCTGCTTGGTCGCGAAAAGCGTGAGACCACACAAAACATGGCAAGCAGCGTGCTCCCTGCACGTTGCAGTCCTGACTCCTCTTGAGACGTCAGCTTTGGAAGTTTTCGGAAGCATCAGTGGACAAGTGCAACAGCCGACTGTTCGGTCTCTGGACCACCGGAACTGAATGCCTCCGAGCGGCTCCCAAAACCTTCCATGAAAGAATTAGATAGAGGGCTCGCCTTTGATTGGCCCGCGTCAGCTAAAGTCCGAGGCGCGCCAGTGCGCGATAGTTTCTGCGAGAGAGCTCTGGTTACGAGAGCGCGCGATGGCGCGCGAGAGGGTAGGTGTTGCTTATCAAACATGGCTGGGTTCAGGCTGTTTTGAAGGTTTTGGGGTCTTGTGTTGGAAGTTTTTAGCTTCTTCCCGCGATAGTCCGCGTCAGTGCAACCCCCAAAAAACACGTCCGCGTCAGCGCACGAACAGGTCTGCACAAGGCCGCGCGAGAGCCTGCGAGAGCACTTCCATAGTCGAACAAAAAGTTCAAAGGGTTTTGGCCACTGCTCTCCTGCGCTCTCAGCTTCAGCTTTGCGAGAGCTGGAAGATGGCAGTTCTTAGAGTGCGCACGGGGACATGCATGGCCCCAAGAACACGCCGTCGTCCGAAGCAAGGCCGCATGAACAGTTCCTTTCTGATGCCCGACCTTTGAGTGCAATTGGAGTTCATTGAGCCTTACGCCATCCTTCGCCCATCTAAACCCTCTGAAGGTGGACTGAAGTTCCTTGTGGAGCTCTACGACAAACTGGTGAGGCACAAGTGCCTAACTCTGCCTGGGCCAACGGTGAAGGTCGTGCCTCGTCCCTCATCATCGGTGTGACTGAGTCAGTCCCTACAACCCTTTAAACCAGCGACGTTCAAGCCCATTTCAAGTATTTTTAAAGAGTGGACCTAAAACGTCTTGAACGAATCAAAGAATACCCCACCCCTCCCCCAACATCCTTGAAGCATCCCTTTGTCCTTGTCAGTCGAGGATCTCTCAACTCTCGCGGTTGTTGCCAAAGATGTTGAGGATCTTCCCACCCTTCGTTTCTTGTCATAATGAGCTTGCAGAGGCTGCTGTTACAGAACGGTAGGGTTCACAGAGGTTTTCTAGGGGTTCCGGTAGAGGTTTGAGAGATCTCGGGGTCTCAGGAAAATGCCTGGACTTTGCGAAGATCGTGAAGCACGAGAAGGGGGTTACGGTTCTGCTGACCAGCGCCAGCTACAAAGTGCTCACGGGACAGCGGAACTTCAAACCCTGAGAGCACAAACGGTCACTAACGCCTAAAACCTCAAGGCTTTGCGCTCGGAGTCTGCGATGTCGAGTAAGCCCCTACTCTACCCCACTCCCTTGACCCTGCGCAGGACAACTTGTGCATCACACAAGAAGTGCAGACATGCTGGAGCTTCTGACGCAGCAGCAGCTGCTTGGCCAGGGTGAGAGGCTTTTCAATGGTCGATGGCAGGTCAACGTACGCGGCGCTTTGGGCCAAATGGCGTTTTTGTTGGTGCTCTCCAGTAGGGATTCGGGTAGTGAGTTTCATGCGTTTTTTGGTTTGGTCTTGGGTTGAGATGACGGCCCAACATAGCAAGCTTCGGCACTTTTGACTTTGCGCAGGCTGCAAATTACAGCATGTCAGCCTGCTGGATCGAAACACACGGTACATCTCATCATGTCTGACCGGCTTAGGCTGAGAATAAGAACAAGCGACACAACGAAGACAGAGATAGCCAAAGAGAAGCACAATTGCCTCCACTGAGAACCAACAGCCAAGCCAACCAAACCATGCGCTCAAATATGTCCTTCTTTGTCGCACAAGCATCTCTCTTGAATCCAGAAGCACCTGGCAAAGCCACAAGCATAACCTGGGGGCTGCGACCCCCCCGAAATGGAGCCAGTGTAGCTGAGAGTTCAGACACTCTGCTGCCATTTTCGGTGAGAGTTTCAGCATTGCGACCTTAGCCCTCGTGCCTGGTTGAAATGGACATAAAGAGCCAATGTATTGCCAAATGTTCAGACAACATGCGATGTTCTGGCTTGGCTCAATGTTCTGGATACGGCACGCACTTTGCCGCTACAGTGACTGCCTTGCGACTAGCAATAACACAGTTTCACCCCCAGGCCACCTCCCGCATTCGTGTCAGCCCTAAGAAATCTGTGAGTTCAAATACGCAGCGCGGCAGACATGCTTGGTTCGATCTCGGAAACAGCCAGAACGAATGGAAAACACACAGGCGCACAACATGTAAAGGGAAACAACTTCTGGGGCATTAGGGGGTCCTTCAGTAAGGTTCCTGGGCTGGTGGTTTAAGGAACAGGCCCTTCATGTGCCCTGGCAGTCCCCGCACATGAACAAAATCTCAATTCTTCCACGCAGACACGAAACGAGGGAACCTCGGGCCTTTCGGCCGAGGCCGAGGCCGAGGCAAATGGACGTGCGTGCTTTGTTCCTGTCTGCGTGTGTTGAGTGCCTGGGGGGCGCGTTCGCTCCCGCGTTCGCATGCGCCGTGTTGGTCGAGGTTTCGGCTGGAAAGTGCCATCATGTCCAAAGCCCTGGGGCGACCGATTCGTGCCTCCATTTCACTGGACAACCTTCAGATGGCACCGCGGCTGCGGTTAAGAATCATGGAGGGCTGGTCTGCACCGTGGTCGGAAGTAGAGGAGTTGTATGTCAGGGAGCAAGGCGTAAAGTTCGAAAAGTTCGAGCATGTTTCTTAAGGTTTCATTCTGATAACTTGCGGCGCTTTCTGAATGTCCGGGGTGGGTGGCCATGGACACTTGTGGACACCTCTTGCCTTGCGCTTGTCGGCCGGGGGCGATGTCTTGCGACACTGAGGAGTCGGAAGCAGACCCACATGCCATCGATCAGACTTTCTTATGAGTTCTGCGCCTTCCAGGCGTGAGCTGAGCATGCAGGAGCAGAGACTGGTGCATGCGCCGGGGTGAGCACTAGTAGCGAGCGGTTGTCGGAATGACTTACTGGTTGTCACAATGTGCCTGGCACTCATCCCGGAGCTACACGTCAGCATGTCCACGGAATAGGTGAACTTGGCTAAGCCAAGTGTTGCCATCACAGTTTTCGACTCTGCAACAATTTCCGAGAGTCTGTCCGAGAAAATTGTTCCAGACGTCTAATGCCATTCGCTGGCCGAGCACTGCAGACTGAGCCGTGGGTACTACATACTATACATGGTTCCATGGTACTTCTCCTTGCATGTTCCGTTTGTCAGCACTTTAGTACATGTGGATCTCTTGCTCGCATCAAAGAATGTGAGGCTCAGGTACCGTGTTCCAGCCGTTTTCGTTGAACTCTTGATGCCGCCTTTGGCGGTGTCTGAATAGCTGTGTTGGAGATCCGTCTCGTACCAAGAATGCGGATGTTGGAAACTGTTGGAAGCAGAATGCCCTGACACGTTTCACGTTCGACTCGTGCTTTGTGCCGGCTTTGTGCCGACAGTCTGACCTGCGATTCGCTGATTCGCAGTCTTTTGCAATGCGGACAAGGCAAGAACAACCTCTGGACAAATCCAGCACACACTTTTGCTCGCACCATGCAAGTGTAGTTGATGCACAGTCAGAAATGAATTCGCCAAAGCTTCCGAACAGTTTCCGAACATGACACTTAGCTACCATGCAGCGACTACAAAAGCCTAAATTAATTCGAGCTGCCATGGCGGCACTTGTGCTCCAGCCTGGCGAGAACGGGTACGCGGACTTTGAGGACTCTGAAAATGGAGACTGTGACCAGGACGCTTGCCATGGCACCTGTGCATATCACTTTCAGTGGCGCAGCGACACGTAGACCAAATAGCAAGGATTAGTACCAGGATTAATATGACTGATTAGTGGTGACCTCGTGGCCGCGCAAGGAATCAGAAGACGACCAGCGCAGGTCGTGCTTTGGGACTTCGACTTCGACAGGGCACAGGGAGACGCCGCGCTTCACAAATGTAGGCCGTCACTGCCTTCTCCTCTCGTGCCTTTGAAAAAAAGTGTAGGCATTCGAAGGCATCGTAGTGGGGGCAGGGCACCCTGACCCCGCCAGGGCTGATCGGCGAGACGTCCCATGACGGGGCCGAGCACGTGACGGATGAAGTCTTCAATGCTGCTTCACACCTCATGGGTGGAATGCTTTCTGTTCTTGGCCGGCAACTTAGGCTGCTCAGAAGCTTCCAAGCCTTCTCTGCAAAAACTACTAGATTACAAAATGACCTTTGTGCCCATGGCGAGGTTCGGCCGTACTCATTACGGGCGCAGCGGCCCACTCAAACCCTTGGGGCGTCATCTCGTTGCTCTTCCACAAGTCGAGGGTTGTTCATCTTGGCGGGGTTCTTGTGCCATGACTACGAGGGCGCTTATCGAAAGCTCGGTCGCCGCGCGACCCGCCTCGGCCTGGCCTCCCGGATGGGGGGCTCAGCATGTGTAATCGTCCTATGACCTGTCGCCCTGGTTGGGGGAGGAGCTTTGAGGTGAGGTGCTTGTTTTACCGAAACACCGCGCGAGCAGTGAGGGTGGGTCGGGGTGGGGGAAGGGGGTGGGTTGTCTCGCGCAAGAGTGAACGAGAGCTTTGCGGGGTTCCTAATAAGGACATCGAACAGCAGTGTCGCCTAAGATCGCTCATGATCCGCTAAGTCAGGTTTTCCTTGTATGGTGCCTCGCTGATGTTCTTGTTCTTTGCCAGCTTTGCGTGCCGCCCCCGGGCGCCGAAAGAGACGGACCGAAGTGGGCAAAAAGCGCTTCTCTCCCCGGAATCCCACGAAAACTCCTCACAAGGCACCACGCCATCAAGGGCCCGAAGCCGCTGATGGACCTGCTGCGAACCTTGGACTACGTGGCGATCTACTTCCTGATCCCTGGCACCATGGTCCCGGCCGCATGCCCAGGATGCCCCGGCAGGGGTCCAACTTCAGAGACCTTCGTCTGGGACTTTTTGCGGACCCTTCTGTGTCTTTTTGTTTTATGCGAGCTCTTTTTGTGCGAGCTTGCGCGAGGTCTGTTTCGTCTGCCTCCATCAGACCTGGGTTGGTTGGGTGTTCTTCGGAACCACCACTGGGATTGCCATGCTGGGAGTGCAGGGCCCAGCTGCTTCAGAGGAGCTTCAGAGGAACTTCAGAAATACTTCGGGGAGCTCAGTACTGTGCTGGGCTGTGCCGGGCTGCGCTGCGTTTGTTCTGTGCATTCAGAGGTCTGGTTCCAGTCCTTCTGCCCCCTCGAGTTCCCGATGTGGGCCAGCATGACCATGTACGTACAGGGCCCATAGCAGCCATAGCAGAATTGCCACATTGGTCTCTCTTGGAGCTTAAAGTGCCTTAGCTCAGCTTAGCTCTCAGGTCACCTTAGGCTGGTTCGGTGCCTTCCTGGCGATCCCTGCCTACGAATGCATCGGGTTTGGAGGCTTGTCCTACTCATTTCTGCGGAGGGCCTCTTTAAGACCCCGGCGAGGTTCGCTGCTGCTTCTTCTCGGCGGGTTGTCGTACACCTTCGGGGGAGTCATCTTCACTATGCAATGCCCTCCGCCTCAGTCACGCTTTGAGTCCTAGTTGCTGGCACTTGTTGCCTTGTTGCCTCGAGCCTCCGAGACATCTCTGAGGCCCGAATCCTGTGAAGGGCAAGTTCGGCTTCCACGAGATCTGGCATGTGCCTCCAGCTGATGTCTTGCTTCTGGAGCATAGCTTCACTGTTGTAGAGTATTGTAGAGTGAATGTCAAAGGGTGGTATGCTTTTGCTGTGCCATGTCTCTCAGAGAGTGTCTCCCCCGCCAACCCAAGATCTTTGTCCTTTTCGGGGCCGCCTTTCACTACGCCTGCATGCTGTTCTTCGTGTTCCCTCACGTGAAGTCCGACGTGGACTCCTAATGATCTGCCAAAAGAGACAGAGACCTAAGAGAGCCACAGCCGCATTCCGTGGCTTTGAAGCTCAAAAAACTGTTTAACACATGAAAAAGTCGAAAGGCCTCTGCTCCTTGCTTCCATGAAGAGGGGGAGAAACCCGAACCATGTAATGCCCACATGGCCCCATGGGAGCTTCACGCGCCTTCACGGGACATTCTGGGGCATCTCGGCTCCCAGTTGCCTTGTAGGGGACCTGGCCGCCGGGACAAGGACAAATGATGCCTTTGCCAAGTACGGAGCTGCCAATTCCTAAGAAGTGAGACCAGAGACCGATTTGTTTCAGAGCATCTCTTGTGTGTGCGTGCGTGCATGCGTGTGGGCGTGCGTGCGTGCGTGCGTGCGTGCGTGCGTGCGTGCGTGCGTGCGTGCGTGCGTGCGTGCGTGCGTGCGTGCGTGCGTGCGTGCGTGCGTGGGTGTGCGTGGGGTGCGTGGGTGGGTGGGTGGGTGGGTGGGTGGGTGGGTGGGGGGTGGGTGGGTGGGTGTGTGTGTGTGTGTGTGTGTGTGTGTGTGTGTGTGTGTGTGTGTTTTTTTTGGCACTTCTTTCGCTACTTGGATGTCCCCTTCACGAGGTACTAAAGGGTTCGCCACATGGGCAGCTTTTGGTCCAGCATTTGGGAGCCCCAGTGCGGTCAAGGTGCTGCTGGGTTTTCATGGGGCTGCCAATTTTCCCGAGAGCTGCTTCTTCTGATCGCCTCCGCTTGTTCAGGAGGTCGCTCTCTGCTCGGCGGAGATGACGAGTCCTCGCTGAACGATAGGTGCACCAGCCCATTCTGCAGGAGTTCGCATCTTTTCCTGTACTGTCATACTGCTTTAGGCCCCGCGGCACGGGCCGTCCCCGCCCCTATAAAACATCGAAACCTTAAACCGGCGCGCAACAGCATAGCGCTTTCAGTCTCCCTTGCCCTCTTTGCTTTCTCGTACATCTTTCTCTCTTTCTCTCTTTCTCTCTTTCTCTCTTTCTCTCTTTCTCTCTTTCTCTGTTTCTTTCTGTCTTTCTTTCTTTGAATCTCTCCTTCCCAGGCTGTCGCGTGCGTGCGCATGCGCATCATGAGCACCAGCGGTGGCTCCGGGAGCTCTATTGAAAAGCAACCAAAGCATGCGTTTTCCTCCAGCAAAGGGCTGCTAAACACGGGTGCTTTATGTTTGTCGGCCAAAGGGAGCATCCTGAGCATCAGCGGCCTGCGCCAGACGCCCCATGCTCCCCAAAACACGCTGACTTTACTGAGCGGCATCTTCACCACGAAGCCCCGAAAGTAAGAGGTAACACTCTTCGATGTTTCGCGGGCAAGAAGCCGTTCAAGCGCGCAAAATCAGCGTGTTTAGGGGGGGGGGGTTTCTGCAGACCCTAAAACCACCTCGATATTTTGCGAGGTTCTGGGAGGCCACGGGAGAAACGATGCGCGATGGATGATGCTCCAGCCCTGTGCATCAGGAGCATCAACCCCCCCCTCCCCCCCCATGGGTGTCGATGATGCTCACTGTGGGGGTGGGGCGAGGGCGGAGAAGGGGGGGGGGTAAGGAGCAGGGTCGGGGACCCCCCGCGAGAACATCGTCGGAATTCTTGTTCAGGTATGAGATGGATCTCTTCCCCCAGAAGATTGGCGAAGGGCAGTTCTCAAAGGCGTACGTCTGCTGGAGCAAGGGCGACACGTCCCAGCGCTACGCCCTGAAGGCTCGGGGGGAGGGGCGAGTTGGGGGAGTTGTTGTTTACCCCTCTTTACCCTCACCCTTGTCCCTCCCTTCCCATTCTTTTTCTTGAGGTGGCCCTCCCCTCTAAGGTGTTCACCCCGGATGAGGGCGCCGAGCATGCCACGAATGCAGGGGGGCTCAGGGATGTCGGATCGGAAGGCCGAGAGGTGTGGCTCTTTTGTTTTTCTTCTTGTGACGGAAGGAAGTTCGAGTGCTGCTGCTACTAGGCCTCCGCTTGTTTGGCGCTCTCAACAGTGCAGCTACAGCAGAATCTACTTGAGCTCATGGAGTCTCATGACAGGCCAGCACCCCCGAATCATCCGTCTCGTTGACCTCCACAACGAGGTGCGCCGGCGCGCCTGTGCTGAGTCTTGGTGGGCACTCGCTTCCTCTGTGCCAGGAATCTCGAAACATGCGCCTCGTGCTGGAGCTCTGTGCAGGAAATCCTTTCGGCTGTTGCGTGCTCTCGATGTCCCGCCTACACTACAGCATGACTCGTACACGGTCACGCCACGTAACGCCCTATCATGTTGGCTGTGATGGTTTCTTGAAGGCGGCCAGCTTTTCGATCGGCTGGTGTCACTTGGCCGTTACAAGGTCGAACACGACTTGGCATGCGTGAGGTTGCTGAACAGCTTTGCGCGCAGGCAGCGAAGGCTGCATGTGTTGTCCAGGAGATTTTGGAGGCAGTGGGAGAGTTGTTTTTGCGGCTACTTGGGGCAACTCACTTCCCCATTTGTCAGAGAGGCTCTTGCTTACATCCACGGCAAGGGGGTGATGCACCGAGTGACGACCACAGAAAGCATTGGAAACACTACAGACCCCGCCCCCAGACACATGGCCACAAGGACCTGAAGACAGAGAACATCCTCCTCGTGTCTCCTGACAATGATATCGATATCAAGGCCAGCGAAGTCCACTAAAAGTCCACGGGCCATTGCAAGCTGCACCTGGAAGTGCTCCACAAGATGAGGTCTGTGATTTCGGAATCGCGAAGATGGCAGAGCGCCTGGATGGCAGCGTTGTCATGCCAGCGCGGGTCATCCAAAGTCGACTGCCTCGCTCGTGGCCACGCTCCACCTCCTTCAAAGGGTCGGGGTTTGGTCGAGCATGACAATTGCAAGAGATGTGGGCCCATGTGTCTCAAGATGCGCTGGGGAGAGCAGCCTGCTGTCAAGATTCGCAGGTCGGACTTCTACCTTGCGCCGGAGATGCTGCGACAGGAAGAGCGGCCTGGCTTGAGAAGGCTGATAAGAGAAGGCCTTTGTTAAAGGGCGACGTCGTGCGCTGTAGTAGCTGATAGGCCGGTAGATGCCTGGCCTCTGGAAGCCCAGGTATGGTCCTGAAATCGATCTCTGGGCATTGGGCGTGACGACCTATTCGCTGCGCTGGACTCAGAAGCCTCAATCCCCGAGCGCAGGCGACCTTAAACCTTGCTTGAGACCTTTGAACATCAGTCCAGATTCCGCTCATCTGCAACGATTGGGGAGCCCTGGGGAGCCTCTGAGGATCAGCGGCTCGCTGCCCTTTGTCGGTGAAGGTGGCTCAGAAGACTTGAGAGGCATCTCGGGAGTTGTATCTTCTTGCATCCCTCCCTCTCCATTCCACCATTAAAACAAAAGGAGGCAGAAGTGTCCAAGCTCTTTCACTCTGCATCCCTTCCACTCACAAGACTTCGAAGTCCCCGAAAGCGTTGTCCAGGAACCTACAGCAAGATCGTGCATCGAGACATAAAGTTCGACGGGCAGGCTCGGTCGGGAAAAGATGGCATTCACGTGAGCATTCAGAGGGCATGCAGAGGGAGCCTCAAAAAGGGGAGGAGGGGCACATAATATGACAAAAAAAAGAGCCTACGCGACAGGCCTGGGAGGAGGCGCCGCCGCTGGCCGCGGGCCTGGCGGAGCGAGCCAGAGCGAGCCAGAGCGAGCCGCTGCGTGCTTTTCGAGCTGCCCAAAGGCCCCCCGCCTCCCCCCTGAGTGAGGCGACGGATTTCATCCTTCAGCTGCTCTGCCTCGATCCCGCCCAGCGCCTCAGCGCTGCGCAGGCCACCTCCCAATGTGCGTCTTTCGAGGTTTCCACCTCTCCAGCCCGCATCACATCACATGGCTCCTGCCAGGCGCTGTCCCACAGCTGGGTGAAGTCGGCGCGGGAGTCACTTGTAGATACTGAGAACGAAGACGAGGACGCGGATGAGGAAGAGGATGAATCCGATCTCCAACTGGACGAATTAGAGTCAGAAGGGGGATTGCAACCTGGCTGCTTGTCAGCGATACAAAAGATCGACCTCCGAACTCTCATGAACCTTCGCGACAAGTGCAGCTCGTTGCTTTGCATACAATGAGACTTGCCGAACACAGCGCGCTTGTGAATTTATATCTTTCGGGGCCTTCAAATTCTGCTGGGGGGACACGCATGATCCCAGCAACACACGCACTACGTCACACTACTTTGGTCACCTGAGAGTACGGATCCGGATCAGGAAGCGGAAATGCAAGGGGCTTTCACAGCGCACAGTTCAGCACATCGACCAGCCCTGGACCCAACTGTGCGGAGCCCGAACATGCTGGGCAGGAAGCCCTACGCAGACTCCAGACCCTACACCTTCAGCAGCTCAAACCCCCCCAAACACATCCCTTCTCATCCGTCCACGATGCCTTGGTGGCGATGTCGCAGCGCCGCGCTGTCTATGCCGCCAAGTTTCTTCGGTGCCCGGGGGTTTGGCGTTGACTTCGGTTGCAGCTTGGGGCTTGAAGTTTCCATATCTCTCCATGTGCCACCGTCCAATCTTGCTCACGATCCGAATGGTCCTTTTTTTATCGGCTTTCCTCTGTCTGAGGCTAGAAGAGCTTAAGACGAGTGCGCGCTGTGCAGGCCCCCGAGCTGGACGAAGCGGCTTCTGCTCCGCGAGAAGCCCCGGGTCCTGACAGGCCTTGAGAATCATCCCATGAGGATGTTGGTCAACATAAGGCAATAAATCAATGAGGGTTTCGGTGGGATTTGGGGGCTTAGTTCGGGTGTTTGGGGGCAGAGTTCCTTTCGAGCCAGAGCCCTTCAAGGCTCCTCTATGTGTTGCCTGCGGCAGGCCCTTTCGAGAATCCCGTGCGCCGCTGGGTCCGGCTGCGGGAGAAGGCCTACTTTTCTTCAGCAGGAAGTTCTTATAAGAAAGTCAGAGGAAAGAAGCTCATTGAAATCCAAAATTTGAGCACTTCTTTGTGAACACTTGAACAGACTTCGAGACACGGAGAGGCGCGGCAGTTCGCGGAGCTCCCGCCCCCGCGACGCGTCCCGGTGCCGAAGCCGGCGCGGCCCAAGCTCCTGCAGGAGCCACCAAAAGGGAGTCCTTCGGAGAACCGCTCCACTTGTCTCTCTTCCTCTCTCTCTCTCTCTCTTTCTCTCTCTCTCTCTCTCTCTCTCTCTCTCTCTCTCACTGTCTCTCTTCAGCTAGGCGGTGGAGGGCGTGCCGCACGTCAGCCCCGAGGCTGGGCCGAACTTGGGAGGAGCTGGAGACGGTCATATTCTTACGAAAGCTCCGCCCAAACTTGAGGGGAGCTTTTCGCTTAATACCCAGCGTAAGCTGTGAGGGGGGGGAATCCCAGTTTGGTGGACCCAAGTCGTCTGGATTTCGAGGCCAATCCCGGGCAGGTGCTGGTTTTTGAGGGGTGACGGAATGGCAGAATGGAGCCTGTTTTTGGGCTGTTCTCGCTGGTGCCCGGGAGCCGATCTTGATCTTCGGAGGCCCGATGATGCTGCTGATGCTCGGGTCCTTGTGGTTCTGGGTGGGGGCCCATGTCGGGCGGTGGCTGTTAGTCCTATAGTGTTTTGTAGGCGTTGACCGCCCGCTACCAGCACATTTTCGACCGGACCGCGACCTCGAGCGAGCCGACCCAAAAGGAAAGCCACCCACGCCCGGGCGAAACTGTCTTCAGCCCGCAACCCTCGACCCTGGATTTTCAGCTCCAGCGCGCGCATGCCCTCCCTTGCTGCACCTTCGGTGCCTTCAGCTTTCGTCCCCCTCCCCCCCTCGTGGGCGCAAGTTGATACGCCGAATCTCATCGACATGTCATCTGATCTGGGAAGGCCCTGCAACGTCGCCTGGACTTCCTCCTCTCCGATGCGGCTGTGCCTGCCTGAAGACTTGAAGCCTGCTATTGTCTGCTATGTGCGCCTTTTGTGCTTTAGGAACTTTAGCTTCGGGGGGCCATTGGGCTGTCAGGTCAAGCAGCAGCTGGCCGCTCCACTCCGGCCGGGTTTGAGCCCGTACTTTGTGGAGTTCCAATGCTGGAGCAGGACCCTGGCACTTGACGGTGTGAAATTTTGTTTCCTGACTTGCATGCCATAGAGCAAGACTGCCACCAAAGCTCCGTCACATATCGGACACCCCATAATTGTAAGCGCTTGCGCGCGCCGCCTCGGGGGGGTGGAGGGGGGGTGGGGGTAGGTTTTGAGGCACTCCCCCCGTAGGAGCCACCAACAGGCGGGACCCTCCACGGCATCAGGTTTGCAGCTCCTCCAAGCGATTGGGGGGGGTCCCACAGGGCGGTGGGGGGGGGGGGTGGCGTCAGAAAATTTTGCATGGGGGGAAGGGTTGGGTTAGGGGGAAGGATGCCCGATCCGGGTCTGCTTGTTCCAGACGCTTCTCGGCAGGAAGCCGAGGCGCTGTTATGTCTGTTTTAGAAGTCCTGCGCCGCAATGTGCACGCTCCTTCATCCTCGTTGCTGGTTTCGAGCACTTCTTTTTTCTTCATGCATAAAACCGGTGGAGCAAGTGGCTGGAGCATTCGTTATGCTGTTGTGCCGCGAGTGGCGACATGCCGGTGTGGCTGCAACATGCTGCATGTGCAGCATTGAGTGAAGCTTCCAAAGTCATAATTTGCATATCGTCCAATGGCTCCATCGTGCTCGTCGCTTTCACCAACAGCAAGCTCTCTGACCTAAGATGATGGCCTGATCATCGCGCACGTCTTCCCAAATTAGCAGCTTACAAACAGTGTCAATGTGTGTCTCCCTGTCTCTGTTTGTGTGTGTGTGTGTGTATGTGTGTACCTGCACGTGCCTGCAAATCGGACTCTGTCTTCCGTGCTTCCAGTCTTTCCGAGTTTGCCACCCCATAAGTTTCATAGTAATGTAGTTAGTGCTTATCGTTGTACCCCTCTCGCCGTCACTTTCGCTCACACCTTTCCTCTCTCACTCTCTTCTTCTCTGCATTTATCTCTGTCACTCTCCTCACTCACTCTCTACTCTCTCTCTCTCTCACTCTCTCTCTCTCTCCCCCTCCCTCTCTCTCTCTCTCTGTCTCTCTCTCTCTCTCTCTCTCTCTCTCTCTCTCTCTCTCTCTGTCTGTATGCATCTATTCGGTCATGCGGTCTGGGTCGAGGCAGCTGCGGGAGATTCGGCGTGTTTACCGGGCACAATACCTCCAGAAGCTGGCGGAGGCTCGACCCGCGCAAAGTCGCATGCAACACAAACAGGGAAAAAGCCATTTTCTGAGTCTTGCGATGTCCTCGTGCTCACGAGAAATGACCAGGTCACCGAGGTGGAGCGAGCGCGGGAGGCCTGCGAAGTTGGGGAGTCCATTAAGCGTTGCTCTGGCAATCTTTGGTGCTATTCAGTTCGCAGCTTGGCATTTTTCGAGTTGTTTGGCAGTTGGGCAAAAATCTGACTTACAGTACCAGCCCGCTGAGTCTCGTGTGGGGGCATCCGCAAAGTTCTCCTCGCATGATTCATACACGTGGGCCGTGTGCCTGGAAACTCATGTACCTAGTGACATGAGATGAGGAGACCCACAACCGATTATGAAGTACGGCGTCCAAGTCGTCGTGCATTGGCCAGGCGGAGCTGTACCAAAAGGAAAGGCAGCAGCGGCAAGAAAGGAAGCAGGCTCCTTTGGTGGTTAACTGCCAGCAGTGCGAGAATTACAGCTTGCAGCATGCAATGGTGTCATCGTAGAGGCGCATCTGCAGCGCATCGGTGAGGCGCTCTGCCAGCAAAGGGATTTCTCCCCTGACAATTGCTCGACATGGACCATCCCTGGGAGGACATGAAGCGCCGGGCGATCCTCCGTGACCGCAAGCGCATCGAGTCCAAGGTCAACGAGGCCCCCCAAACTTATAAGGGAATAAACGTGACGATCACCGCAGGCTCCAAACAGGCTAACAAGAGGTTCGGTTTAACGGAGTGGCTGGGGCCATGGGCGTGCGAAATATCTGTGGAATTCTGTGAACTTTGGCACAATTCTGGCCGCGCAGAAGTTGGACCAAAGTAGCCCACGCATTGTTTCCTCATGAGCCCGCTGAGCCATGGTGTATGGCTTAATGATCCATTCGGTGTTGCCCCCAGCGCTGGCGTGTTTAAGTGCTCTCCGTGGGCTCCCTTTGACCTTAAGGTTGATTCCAGCCAGACGCTGCACTTTTCCATCTTCTACACACCCGAGGCCTCTCCGGACTCCGAGCGACAGGGTTCGAACGCTTGTCGAAGGTTCGTGTGCGATGTGCAGGGGAACAACGCCTACAAAAAAACCCGGCAGCAGACCATCATGCGCCGAATCTTGGAGGATACTCCTTTGCTGGCATATGGTGGCACAACTGCCATGACTGTTCTTTCATTGAAGCGGATACTCGTAGGGTGAACACTTGTAAATTGGAACAGATATGCGGGCAAGACATATGACAGCAGGTAGGTGTCTGTGGTCTCTTTGTGTTTGTCGCTCCCAGAAATATGGAGAGAGAGAGAGAGAGACACACATTTTGGCTCAAGTCGCATCGGGGGGAACCCGCCCCCCCCCTAGTGTGGCTTGAGCCCCGCCGCGCCGCTCCCATCAAGTTGCAAGCTCCAAGTGCCGCTACCTTACAGCTTAAATAATTGTTTTCGGGGTGAGTGTTCTTCAGGGTACCAGGCCTCTCAGTCTTGTCAGGACCGGGGGAAGGGGGACAGGGCGTGCCTTAAATCGCGGCCTGAGCTTGGAACTCTAAGAGACAGGTAGGCTCCTACGCTCCAGCACACTGCTGACTGCTGGAAGTGCATCACTTGGTCAGCGGTGTGCTGAAGATCTGTGTGCGCACGGCCATCCGGCGAGGCAGAAGCTGCCCTAACCTGTCTGATCCAGGGCCCGCGTTTGACAACGCCGTGTAGCCACATAGTTCTCGCTGCGCTGCTGGGAAAGTATACGGGGGGGGTCGTTTGGAACTCCGGAAGTATGGCACGCTGTTGCTACATCTATCCCGAAAGATGACATTGAGAGACGCCCCACCCTCATTTTGGTAGGAGCCCAAAATATGGCAAGCTGTTTCCACAGTTACCCAACAAAACTCTAACAACCTAGCGGAGTGCGCGCCCGTGGGACGCGGAAAGGGGAGTCTGCCAAGAAACCTGGTAGCCCGAGATATGGTAAACTGTCCTCACAGTTGCCCCGCAACAACGCTAGTCCCGCCAAACACGTCCCAGGGAGACACAAAAGGGTGCACGCTAAAGAGCAAGACTTACCGATAAAGCCGGGAGCCGCGGCCCGGCCCCTCGCTGGGACTAACGCAGCAACACCGCCTCTTTCTGCCCAAAGTATGGCAAGCTGTCTGCGCATTTACCCCAGCAACAATGTTGACAGCCCAGCCAGGAGGGGCCCGGACTTGTGAGGCAACGCATGCTTGGCCTGAGTGCAAACCTCGTCTCTCCTCCCACCCCGAAAAACCCACGACAGGACCTACAAGGGGTTCGCATTTCTGATCGCTCATCACGTCATAAGCAGCCCGTCGTGGAAGGGGTCAGAACTAGGTGTGCCGGGAGCAAAGCTGGAGCCCGCTGGGTCACCATCATCGTTGCAGGCGGACGTGGTATCGAATTCGGAAGCATGGCAAGCTGTTTGAATAGCTACCCCAACAAATCAACGGCCCGGACGGGAGAAAGCTTGACAGTTTTGGGGAGAAGGCCACACAGCTTCACACGAGAACACTTAGTTTCACAGGCCACCCTGAACAGCCCACGACAAGACCTGCGTAAGGAATGTACTTTTGGGGTAACCTAGAGTGCTTGCCATAGACTGCTTGATTGTGGGAGGACCTTGGGAGAGCAGGTCTACAAGTTGTGGAGGGTGAGGGGAAAACCAGACCTTACAGAGGGTGGATGGATGATAACAGTCGCATGCTATACTACATATGCTGTAAAACAACGTCAAAGCACGTGGTGGGAAAACCCCCGCCGTAACACGCCTGGTTCACACAACAGACTCGGACTCGGTAAAGCGTGCCCCTACGGGGCGCCTCCCCCAGCGGGAGTCACACGCTCTGCAAGCAAGCAAGCAAGAGCACTTCGCGCGCGGAGGGTGCTTGCGCTCCCTTCATGCCTCGAAGAAGAAGAAGAGAGCACTTCGCTGGGTAGAAAAAGAAGAAGAGAGAGCACGCCCGGCAGAAGGAGAAGAGAAAGAGGGAGGGAGGAAAGCAGGCAGGAAGCAGGAATGAAAGAAGTAATGAACGAAGGAAAGGAAGGAAGGAGAGAGGGAAGGAACGAAGCACGCAGAAACCGAAGAAGAAGAATCAGAAGACGAAGAACAACACGAAGAAGCAAGGGAGACAGAAAGAGAGTCAGCGTGAATCAGTCAGTCAGAGGAGCACTTGTTTCAAACCCACTCCGGCGACCAGCACACTGCCGTCAAGTCGAAGGTCCCAGCTCTACGTACTCTTTGCTCGCAGAACTGTCTTCATTCCTCCTGTTGTTTTCGCAGTGCTCTCTAAGTCTCTCTTCTGTCGTTGTCTCGCTCTCCCGCTGCGTTTCTTTCTCTCGCGCGCTCTCTCTCTCTCTCTCTTTCTCTCTCTCTTGCGCCAGGCGTCTTCGTCACTGGACGATGCAGACTGGCTCTGACCTCGCCTGTCGACACCGCATCCCACAAAGCTGATGACACAGGAAAAGATAAGCAACACAAAGGCTCTTCCGCTTCTCGTCGGACACGAAGCCCGTCCGGAGCCTGAACGCGAGAGACTAGCGAGCTCGCCTGAAGGTGTGAGAATCTCCCCAGGAATTGCCGGAAGGAAGCTCCGAAGGGCCGAAAAGAGCGAGATGCGAGAGATCCGAGGCGGCCTACAAGGCTCAAGCCGGCTTCGACTACACCGAGGGCATCCTGCGGTTGCAGGACCCGGGGACTCCTTCCCGTTGCAAATGGCACAACTGTGCAGCTCCAGGCTTCGAGCCTCTTCGAGTACCCCAAGCTGGTTGTATGGAAGCACGTTGACAAGGCTTGAACGGAGCTTGCAGCCTGAACTCTTGGTTGTAAGACAGAAGCAGCCCTGCTGCGAGGTTGTCTATACGCTTATCTGCGCTGCCATCATGTTTAGCAGGTTTGAGGGGCACATGACTCTGCGTGCTTTGACTTGTTGAAGGCAGCTTAGCATGAGGCGAACCTCTGGATAATCCCCTGCTGGCTTCCAGCTTCCTCACGCTCTTCGTGCACGAGGCCCCACTGCGAACGAATCTGCGGACGTTGCAAGTGCTCTGCTCCTTCTGCTCAGTTGAGCGACCACTTCCGAAAGGCCCGCAATCTGAGAGTCCTCGTCTCAATGCACAGAGTCACGGAGCTGCAGTACAGAGCTGACATGGCTGACATGGCAGGCTGGTAGCCTCGTGGAGGAAGTCTCTGCTCGACCCGATGAGGTGTTGGCCATCCTTGCCCGCACCTGAAATCCGAAGTTGAAGTGTCTTGCGCAGGCGTTTTTTTTGGGTCTGCGCTGTTCATAAACTCTCGCCTCTCGCTGCTTGTTTTCAGAACTTCATGCTTCCTGGCGGCCAACTGCTCTTCATCAATTCCAACCTTCATCGCTTCTTGAAGTCTCAAATCTCGCAGGCCCGGGTCATAGCTTGACATGCGGTCGCCACATCTCGCCACTGTTGCATTGGACAGGTGCTGAGCCAAAAGGCTTGAGATTTGCCAGCCAACGCGGGGGCTCTCCGGCTCCAGCAACTCTGCCTGCCCACAAGCGGTCGCGAGGGCTTCGGAGCAAAAAGGTGTAACGGCGGTCCTTATTCCCTATATGCCATCTCTCGCAGGTATCTTTGTACATCGAGTCGCATATGAACGGGAGGCCATCGAAATGGCTCGTCGGTCCAAGATGAAGCGCCAGCGTCTCTACTGGTTTCGCCGGATGGAGACGCTCTCCAAGCGCGGACCTTGGGTGACAGTTCCGCCCCGCACTCCGAGGGCCCCAAGGGCCGGGTGCGACCAGTTTCGCGCAGTTTCGGATTGGCTGCTGTTTCGGGGCTTAGTCGGTGAGTTTCACGGAGCAGCATGCCGAGCAGTTTCGGCTCGCGCGTGGTCCGTTTTTTTTTTGGCCCCGGCAGTCTCAGTCAGTCTCTGTCTCGTTTCAAGCGGTCTGTCGACTCTAAGGAAGGGGGCATATGCGGCATATCATCGATACCTCTTGTGCCCCAGAGTCCCCAAGCAAGGCTGGTGGTGTCGTCGGAGAATCTCGAGGAAGCCTTCGCGACCTTTCCAGATGGATCTGACAAGGCTCACAGAAAGTGATCGATTTTTGAGCATATTGGAGTCCTTTGCAAGCTGATATGGAGATGACATGCCGTGCTGCTTGTGAGAAGCGTCGCAGGCATCCTCCAGCACTTCCAGCCCCTCGTGCGCCCATCTCGTCCCCTTTTCATGCGCTGTCAGCTGAAACAGGAAGCCTCTTTGCCCGCTGCAGGGGCGTTCTTCTGAGCCGCAACGTCTCCATTCCCTACTTGCTGCGCCAATTCGGAGGTTCCAAGGTCCGGGCCTCGAGCTGCTCTGTTGCACTCCCCGTGGCCCTGCGTAGCCCCGGCGTAACCCCCCGGCGCAGCCCCCCCGGCGTAGCCCCCCCGGCTCCGGAGGCTGACCCGCAGCAGAAGAACCGACGAATTCCGGGCATTGACAACGTCAAGCGCGAGGCAAGTCTCTTCTGAGGGCCTCTGCGAGGGGTCCTCCTGAGAGGGGTTCTCATTTCTGTTAACGACCCTGTAAAATATTATAAAACCCCTACAAACGCGCGGGCGCTCAGGTCCTGCAGATGTCCTACGACATCCTGGGCGAGGCCGGAGTGTGTCGCCTTGGGACTAGGCAATGATTCAATACCGACTTCAGAGAAGGACCCAGAAAGAGGGCCCAAAGAACGAGGACCCCTTCGCTTTTTGGGCTCTCTCTGCTTCGCAGGATGAGGAGCGGTACGAGGCCGAGGCCCCGCAAGAGTCCGACTGGAGGAGCCGCGCCCATGAGCGGGCCACCTCAGACGGGGGGGGGACTCTGCAAAACATCGGAAGAGGGAGGAGGAGGGAGGCATTGAGGGGTACAGAGGAATTGAGGACCTTTATTTTTGATGTTTATGCGCCCCAAGGCTCTACGGGGACGGCATCTTCAGCCACGACGACAAGATGCGACTTCTTGACGAGAAGATCGCCACGCTGAGGGAGTGGGATATGGAATTGTGTGGGATTAGAATGCACACTGAGAGGCACAGGCACACACAGAAGCTCTTTCCCTGAGATGCAGGTTTCAGCGATTGGAGAATGAGAAGGGTACCCCTCAAGTGATCACGGCAAAGTCGCGTCCCCAAAAAAATCCATCGTAACCGTTGATAAGTCGCCTTTTGATCTTTCGAGGCTTATCGATGAGCTGGAAGCAGTCAAGCGCGCCGAAGAAGAGAGGGCTGTGGCGAAGGAAGTTAAGGCCCTTTTTTAAGCTTTCCCCCGACCGATATTCTGCCTCTTCATGGAGTTGCACAAGTTTGCCTAAAGCTTGCTCAAAAGCGCGCCCATTTGCAGGCAGAAGCCCAAAGCAAGCGAGGGGAGGACCCGAGTGAACTTCCACCTTACGATCCTTCCCGGACCGGCTCGGACACTTGAGACCTGCGCCCTCCGCGCCCCGCAGCGCCCTGACTCCTTTCAAACGTCAAAAAAGGGGCCTCTCAGAGCTCACGGTGCACCCCCAATGTGGCCCAGATCTAGTTGCCTGAGACCCTGCCCCAAGTTCGCCATGTTTTTGCCAGAGAGTTCCCCCCAAACAAATGTTCGGCCAAATCCTGCAGTCGCCCGTTATTTGGGGTGACGATGCAACAATCTTGAGAGTTTCAGGGTGGCCAGAGTGCAGAGCAGTGCAGAGCAGTGCAGAGCAGTGCAGAGCAGTGCAGAGCAGTGCAGAGCAGTGCAGAGCAGTGCAGAGCAGTGCAGAGCAGTGCAGAGCAGTGCAGAGCAGTGCAGAGCAGTGCAGAGCAGTGCAGAGCAGTGCAGAGCTTCAGGTGTTGTTGGGATCTGCGAATATGCTTAAAGAAGGGCGACTTAGGAGGCGGTTTGTTGCGGATCTTGTTTGTGGTGTTCCGCCACGGACTCTCACAGCTTTCCACAGCCGGGGGGATCAGAGACACGGTGAACGATGGTGAACAAAGACAGACGGAGATTACCGGGGATACATGGGCCAACTTGATACGTTTAGCGGCTTTAGCATAAAGTGGGCAGAGTGTCTTCAAGGCAAGGATGACACCACAGAGGTGCAGTGCTAAATAGTGCTAAATAGGCTGAGTGGCTAAAAGCATCAAGTCCCTGGAGCCGAGCCACATGCACGGCTGGCTACATGCCCGCGCTCGGCCCGTGTCTCGCAGCAACATGAGAGACCTTCAGACCATGTTTGTGCCCGTGTATCTGATCATCTGCCCGCATTTGTGTGTGTGTGTGTGTGTGCGCGTGTGTGCGTGCGTGTCTGCCTGTTCTTCTTTGCTGTTCTTTCTTAGTGCTTCTCTTGACAGAATAAGGACACTCGGGCCGGGTCACTTGTCCCAGCCGCAGCCAGATCCAAACTCCAGCCCTTGCACGCCTGGCGTTCCTGCAGCACCGCACTCTGCGCAAAAGCCGCGGGCGTCCGGGCCTTTCGTCCGTGGTCAGCGTCCGACGCTCAGAATGATGGCTCTGAATCGGGTTGCATGGCAGGGATTTGTAATACGCTGTTGCTTTGCAGCTAATCCATGTCCCTCCATGTCCCAATGCACCTTGAGCTCACAGTAAGAGACAGCTTCCTCGCAGAGGTGCCTCCTTGGCGAGGGGCGATGCGAACTATTTGCTGATGGGGTGCGCGCCCCTTCACATTCGAAATCCTTCACAAAGCCCTCAAAGCCCCACAAAAGCCCATGAAGACCCCGGCCTCGAAAGCGTGCGGAAGCTTTTTAGAGGCCGCCATCCCCGGCCCCGCTGATCGTCTGCGTGCACGGCTTAAACGGCTCCATCTCCAGCTTTGAGAGCCTGGCGCCGGACTCTGAGCGCTTCAGGGTTGCGCTAGTACAAAGCTGGAGAAGCGTGTGGACTCATGCATGCACGTGCGTACGAAAACGTGGTGTGCCGTAAGGAAAGGCCGGGGAAGGCAAGGTAAAGCAAGGTAAGGTAGTCTAATACAAGGTATGGTAACTTCGAAAGGCCCACACAAGCTCACCTACAAAGGTATCAGAGCCCCGTAAGGTCAAGTATTGAAAATCAAAACTTTTATCTTCAATCAACAACAACATGCTGAAAGCCCCTATTCTTCAAAGCTCTGAAGAAGCACAGGCAGCCGCCGTGTAATGGTACAGAATGGTCCTGCGCACATGTGCATATGAATAAGTCTAGACATATATGTGTGCAAAAATAGAAAGAAGGTTTTTAGGTTAGGGGTCGAGGCTTATGCATTTATGTTCATGCGCTCGCGGTGTAAACGGAGCCAGGCCCCGCTTGGCAGAATTGGGCTTCCGGGTCCTCTGCTTCGATTTGCCAGGGCCTTGGCGACAGCACGGCCTTAGGGAGATGAATCGAGAGATGACCAGCCCCCCCCCCAAAATGAATCACGAGGGGCGGGGGGAAGGGGGGCCGAATGCATAGTGTCTCTGGAAAGAAGAGCAGAGGCTAATGTGGAGCAAAGTTTAGGCATATGGGGCATAGAGCAGGAAACGAGCTCTCCGAGTGCTTCTGCCCCCGAGAGGTACGGGTTTGGGCTGAGCGCCGCGCCCTCGGGCCGCCTTGACTTGCAGGCCTACGTGGACCAGGCCCCGGCTCTGCTCTGTCCTAAACCAAAGAAGAGAGAAGAGAGGGAGAGGGAGAGTGAGGGAGGGGCCTTCTCTCTCTCTCTCTCTTTCTCTCTCTCTCTCTCTCTTTCTTTCTCGTTCAGAAAAAGGGGGGGGGGTTGTGCGGTCTCGTTCTGTTTGGCCACTTCAACTTCTCACAGTTCTGTTTGGGTTTTTGTCGACCTCTGACCGGAGGTGTCGGCACTGCTGCAGGCGGTGAAAGTGCCGCCCGCGGAAAAGGCACCTCGCACATACTTTCCGCGACTAAAGCAGCATGTTCTTCGCGGCGAACATTCTGCTGTGTTTTGCTAGATCCGCGGCGTCTGTTCTGGGACAGGGCTTAATGCTGCACCTTTGCAATAACTTCAAACGGTGAAACAAATTGTGGGACCACGGCTCGTGTGCAGGAGCTCTGCTTAACTTGGAGTGTCGTTAACCTCCCATGTGCCCTTGGAGGTGCTTCTACTTGGATTCAGCATGGGTGCCTTGCCTCAATGAGCCGCTTTCGGATGCTTTCAGCCAACTTTCAGCCTCACCAAAAGGCTTTGCATGGGCAACGCAACTGAGGCGGGGTCATCGCCGTGGAATTTGCACTTCGTTTCCCAGACAGGCTGGAGACAAAACTGCCCGAAAAATCCCCGAGAGCAGCCCCCTTCCCAGGGTGGCGAAGCTGCTTTTGGTTGCTCCGGGTGGCTTGCTGCAGAGGTGGGGGCTCTTCGGGCTCTCGGCAGCCGAGGGGTCAGTGAGGCTGTGCGGGGGATGCGACACATCCTACATGAAGGTCGAAGACACCTTGTCAGCCGCTGCTGTTCGGTACAGGCCTAAGGTACCAGCAGTTGAGTCTCACACATTCACACATCCGCGGGGAAGGGCCTGCTGCTAGCAGCAACCGCCTCTTTCCATGTCGAGCTGAGGATGCTTGCGAACTCGACTTGGAGGTCGTGGGGGGCGGGGGGGCAGTTGCCTATCCTGGCCATGACAGCACACACATAGCAGCTGGCATAGCACCTGGCTCCGACAGGACTCCTCCTGGCTTCGGCCACCGCCCTTGCGTGCTGCTGCAGCTGCCCTTTCCCTACCAAACATAGAAAACCGCGCTTGGTGCTTTCTCCCAACGAGCTCGCAAATCTTGCAATTCACATGCCACCTGAAACCTCGCGGCTCACGCCCGAAAAGTACATCCCATGAGCCCTCTTTCTTACATCAGTTCGAGGCTGTGCCCGCCGAGCTCTTGCTGGGGACAAGTTGGCAGATCGCTTTGAGGCATGCTGGGATCCGACAGCTTGTTAAAAAAGTCCCAGGCCTTCATAGCATTGTCAGTACTCCATAGGGTTACTGCTTGAATAGAGCAGAGCAGCTGTGCTCAACAGTAGTGGCTCAAAGCATGTAAGCATGTTCTCAGCTGAGCCGCCGTCGCAACCTGTCTTACAACAACCCCAGCGGCTTCTTTTCCTCAGGGGTGGTTCCGTCGAGGACGGCCCTGAACTCTAAGCGGCGCTCCCCAAATGTGCCCAGGCCATCATTCAAAGGCCGCCGATTGTTCCAAACTCTAGACTCCAGACTGCGATGCGGCGTGTGCTGATGTGACCGACGTAGGAGTCGGTTCGACGTGAAGCTGACAATCACTAATAAAGCTCAGGTGTTCGGACTCAGAGGTCGTTCAGTGTCCTTTTCGACCAAACAAGCGCAAGACATCAGCTATTGCGGGACTGTACATCGCAGAAAACACTGCCAGGAAACTTGTGAGGCCAAGCTGTGGAAATCTTGGCGCAACGTGAAACCAAACAGATCTATCTGCCGAGCATAGCCGCCTCACGTGAAGAGAGAATTAGTGCCTGGCAGCTGGATGTGCGGGAGCCGGAAAAGTTCAAGAATGTTGCAAGACAAAATGGCCCGGCACTAAATCCAGACTGCTTCGTTCCTGTTTCGGCTGTCTGCAACAGTTCAGGCCGTCACAGCCTGCTGTTTGATGCTGGTGACTTTTCTCAGGTGAGCGGTTCCTCTGGAACTTCCGCCGTTCTGCTGCTTTGGCATGTTTGGAGTCTGGAATTGTGGCATGAGTTGGTGCCTAATAAATGCTTCCTTCAAAATCCGCTCCGCGCCTCTCAGCAGCCTGCAGGTGAACTCCTACCTCCGCGTGCTGCGGCGGATGCCTCTTTGGAGCGACGACTTCCAGGCCGTCGAAGACAAAGATCGAGCATATCAGACGCGGACACGCGCATTCGCACGCGCACGCGCACGTCCGTGGTGCACACACACACACACACACACGACATATACACATTTAAATTTTTAGTTTCATGAATTACATATATGCGTATATGTATATACATATATACGGGGAACCGGTTATATATGTAGAATAATTATCTGGACGCATACAAAGTATGTGAACACGACACGTCAAAGCTATATCCATCAGTGCTACTGCTCGCGATAGCTAGTAGAATAGCAGTAAAAAACCCGTGATGATGACGCTCATGCAGAACCGGTTAGAAGCCTGGGACTTCACAGGGCTTTGTGGGGCGAAGCCAGGACTCCTATGCGAGACTGGCGAAGGGAAGCGTTCCCACCCTCTTCGTCTGGGGCGACAGTGTCGGCCCTCAGCGGCCCCATGAAGCTCTTGGTTTCTGTTTTGCTGTGCGGATCCGGTTCTTTTTGCGCTGCAAAGGCGACTGCACCGTGCCCTTCAGCGAGGCAGAGCACGCAGCCGTGACCCTCAGTGTTGCAACTTCCAGTGTCTGCGGGAATCGCAGCCGAATCCCGAGGTTCGCGACCTCTTTTCCCCAGTTGGCGTCTCCTGCTGCATGCTGCCCGAATCAGGGCACGGCTTGCTGATCGAGGACGGAAAGATCTGCTTCAGAGAAGGGGAAAGAGAAGCTGCAAATTCGAGAGGATGCCGAGCAAGTGTCTTCCATTGCGTCAGCTTGGTTTCATGCCTGGCCCTCGGGCGTCAGAGCCGCCAACTACCAGTGACTACCGGGTTAACTACCGAGCCAATTAGCATGAAATACCAAGTACATGATCCATTCCATGCGTCATTCAGTTCTCACTCAGATTAGATTCATCCCTTAAGGACCTCAAGGATCCAGCCTGGATCGGCTTCTTGGCCCGTTGGAGGTGGCGACCTCCAGCCTGCCTCCAGCTGTCTCCAATGAAATGCCGTGTGCCTTAGACGTGGTGTTGAAGGTTGACTCCAAGCTCCGCAGCGCCCACGGTTCTCGGCGCTGTCTGAGCCGTTCCTCTAGATCAGATGACTTGTAGAGTCCAGTCATAGAGTATCTCTTTCAGGCACTGAAGACGGCGAAGTGTCGTTTCTCATGTCCTTTCGTTTCTAGTTGCACGTAGCTGGTGCAACCCGCACCAAGGGACCAAGATCTAATGAAGGCATTAGGCTCAATGCAGGCCACGCGAAGAACGCCTCTCGACCCCGTAAAAGATAGCTTGGCTCTTACTTGGGTGACTGCTGGATGCTTCTCTGGTGTCTCGTGTTGCTGGTGCTAGACGGAGCTGCTAGCTCGGCTGCTCGCTCAGATCGGGCTCTAGCAGCTCATTCGTCCTCATGGCCTTGCGCCATTCCCAAGTGTTAGAGGCTGTCATCTACAATCTAGGGAAGCCTGCAAAATACATGTTTGCGTGCTGCCAGCTCTTTGTTCCTCACGTGCTGATGCTGTTAGTTGGCGGTGTGTGCGCAGATGTCATGCAGCAGCGCTCGCCAGCTCGCATGCTCGAGGACGCGATGAACTGAACGGGAATATACGGGAATCACCTTGGGATCGAGCACAGGCAGACACAGTTGTGTGCACAGATGCGCTTTTCTCCAACAGATGCGTGGCATCTGCAGCTCAAGTCAAGCGGGAAGCGAGGAGGCGCAGAGTCTGAGTAGAGACTAGCAGCGACATGCAGATGACAAGCAAGCAGCTGGATGACAAGGCCATCATGGTGTCAGTGTCTTTGCTCAACACGAAGCTGTTGACAACTGTGATTGCAAGTGCCAGCACCATGAACGCGTGGCTTCTGAGGCGCGGGCCAAGGAAGACCCGATGACCGTGGTGAACACGGAGCACAATTTAGGCCGACATCAAAACTTCGTTGTCAACTCTGACTGCGATCAAACTTAGCTGATGTTGTGAACTTCCAAGGCAACCCGATGCCTCTGCCTTGCATACTGGGTGCAGCCGGTGCGGCCTTCAATGATGCTAAGAAGTTCAAGGCGCATGCACTCTTTTTGCAACAGACGGCGGCATTTGTTGATTTTGTTGTGCTGGATGTCATTATCTTGCGTCTGCTTTGCCCTCGAAGATCCCCTGCCTTCTCTAGGTTCGCACTGCTGTCCGAGCACACGCACACAGACGAACAACAAAAGACGGGAAGACTTCAAGAAGAGCCGAAAACAGGAAGCCGTCTGAAATTTTGAACAGTTCAGCAACACTTTATGATTATGGCTACCGTTCCACCACGTCCCACCCGAACGATATCTCGAAGTCCGCTGCACGTGTGGCAGAGCATCAGAACAAGGGGCTTGCTGTTTTGCCTGCTTTGAAGGTGGCGATCTCCCGTAGAAAGTCGCATGCTTCAGCTTTATTAGCAGGTATAGTAAGTGGGAGTTGTGCAGGCGCAGCTGAGCAAGACATGGCTCGAATTTGCTTGTCGCTAACACGTTGAGGCGTGCCAGGATGTAGAGCTCTACTCGCTGGACGAAACAGCTGACGCCACCGACGTGACTTCACTCAAGTTAAACTGGCACAGGACGCAAGCAAGTACAGGCTTTTTGAGGTTGAGGCACTGGTGGACGCTTGGAATCAAGCCTTGGCGAACCGATCAGGGAAGATCCTGGCTGGACATCGAGGACGTGTGTGCATGCTGAGGTCACTAGCCAATTCAATGTCTTGATGGGGGATGAAACAATTTTTCACGTCTTGGTGTCACCTTTGCTGACGCAGGAGCAGTACCACTTTCACGACTTGGGGCGAATCGAAACTTGTCAAGAATGGCTTTGACGGCCAGCATGAAAACGTTTTAATGTGGAACGTCGTCGTGTTTGTGCTGAGGGTTAAGGGATTCGATGGTGTGACGTCGCGCCAATCTTTGGGCGGCCCGGGGAGCTCCAGCTGTCTCTGTTTTCGAGATCCCGCGCAGTCCTCGCAGTGATGCCGCTCGCGTGTTGATGGACCAGCAAAAGCTGATTAGGAGGAAGGTTGCAAGGGAGGCGCTTGGTGGACATTTGGAATCCAGCCTTGGCAAGCCACTCAGGGGGCACTATGGCCAGATCTTGAGGACATGCGATCATGCGAAGATCACTCGAGTTGCAGGCCAAACAACTTGCTTAACTTGTTTCCTGCATCGTCGCAGGAGCAATACATGTTTGAAGAGTTTGCGGCGCAAAGTGAGGAGGAGCCTTGGATGTCGTTGCTCACATCCGCCGCCGTAAGGGGTAAGGATGTTTGCGGCATGTTTTGAGTTTATGAGCGCTGTCTTCTGATGGGAAGACCTTGGCGCAAGTCGCCGCCCTAGATGGGCGCTCGTAGCCTGATGCAGTGCTGGTCCAAAGGCCTGCCAGGTCTTTGGGTCAGCAACTGCGGACGCGTGCTATGTACTTTGTTTAGCTTCCCTTGTATTTGCTCGCTTTTTGGCCGCCATGCTTAGGCCAAGCGCGACATGCAATTATGGCATCGGGTAAACCTGATGTCATGTTTCGTGGCGTGCGTGTCCTGTGCCAAAGGCTGGGGGAAGTCTTGGCTTGGGACTGGCGCAGGGACGTGTGTGCCGATGGCAGGTGAGCCCCGCTGCAAAAACATGTGCGCACATTCGCAAGCGTATCTGTCATGCTAGAGCTCGCAGGTTCGCAACTTGTCAGCGCATACCTTGACGCTGCGAGGATCAAACGGCTGTTCGAGTCAGGGTCCAGGCCGAGTTCAGTTTGAATCACGCATCGCGCTTGCGCGTGTGAAGGTTTTGGAGTTTTGAGCTTCACAGGCGTCGCGCATCAATCCCAAAGATATCCAAACCTAGGCCCATCAAAACCCTGAAGTACGAATCCGCCAGCCCAATTCCTCAGAGGAAAAGCATGCGATTCTGGCGAGGCACTCTGCTTAGAAGAGATGTCTCGAGCCAGCGCGTTGCGAAAAGCCTCTCAGTGTTTCAGACTGCAATGCGAAAAGATGCCACAGAAGCATCGGTCTGTCAGCCATGTGCAAAGGTTTCAGCGCTCGGGGGGTGACTAGCTGACAGAGGATTTGGGGAAAGAAGCCGCGTAGCATTCGCAACCTGGGAGAAGCCAAGTAGCCGTTTCCCCGGTGTGCTGTCGTCGGTGACACATGTCAGCAGGTTTGCTTTGCCATGCAAGCTTCTGCTCGTACAGTGGATGATTCCGTAGCCGATCAACAACCTAGACAACATGACACAAGGAACGCAGGTGCGTTCACTGTTTGCAACATTGCGATGGCTTCTGAATTCGAGAATTGCTAACTGAAACAGCCAATTTGTACGTACGTCTCCGTGACTACCATATTCTCTGTAGACTTAGAGTCTGCTGCCCGTCATGGCAGCCACGAGTCTAGAAGTAGCTTTGAGCTGCCTGGACGAGAGCTCAGAGGTTGATGCCTGGCCGCCTCGTTTGACGTGCGGGGCGCAGCTTGAACCTCGCCTGGGTCATCGAAATCGCGGCAGGTGTCGTACCAGGGCATCGATGATGAGGGTCTTGCGCGACTCGCCAACGCCTTGAAGCATGGTGCTCGGCCGGCCTTCGTTAGTATGTGTGGTTTCTGTCCAAGCGGTCTCGGGCAAGGTGAGCTAACCCCCGCATTCAAAGACAGCGCAGGAGCAACCACACCATCGTCGACGTATACCTTGATGACAACAAAATCACGGAGCTGCAGTTTTTTCCGGCACATCTGGCAAACCATACATGTTTTCTTGATCCCCTTGGACCGGCAGCGTGTCAGGACGTTGGCGTGCACCGCGTGGCGGATTTGCTTGAGCGCGGCTCCTGAGAGAGTTCGTCACAAAGCCTTTCTAAGACCTAACACCGGCAGGTGAAAATTCGAAGGCCTCTAAGGTGCCAAGCCCTTAACCCAAATTCCCATCCCAGGTCTTCCAGAACATTGAGGCAAGTCTCTTTCTACCACAACTTGGTGACCGATCTCGGGGTCCGAACCTTGGCGAAGGCAGGGAGCTCATTCCGAAACCTCCGCCTCGCTCTCTGTGTGCGTGAAAGCTATAATATGACGCAACATGTTTCAATGTCCTGCAATCAAGTGCCTTCTATTCTGTATTAGTTCATAACTGGATAGAACATATGTGGCCTCTGGCAATATCTGGCAATGTGCATGCGCGTGCGAGTGGAGGCGCTGGTGGTCAGCACGCTGAACCTGCTGGACCTGCGAGAAAACCGGGTCGGAGCCTCGATCTCCCCCTCTGAGGGCGCCATTGGGGAGACATGATCGACAAGAGCCCCCCCCCCCACCCACAAAAAAAAAATTCAACAGCAAATAGAAAACAGAACAAATAGATTCTGAGGTGTTTACACGAAGAGTAAGACAAACATAAGCCCTTCTCCCCGAGGTCTCCGACGCGGGTGCCACAGCTCTGGCAGAGGCCCGTCTCCAGGTGTCAGGGTACATGAGGGTGATACATGTGTTTAGAGAATGTGATCTTTGCGAGGCGCTGGAGGCTGGCAGCCAGCTTCGCTTCTTGCTGCTGAAGGAACACGCCTCTCCCCTCTCCCCCCCCCCCCCCCCCCACGAGAACCAAAAGGTCAGTACGCGGCATACACGTATGCAGTCCGGTATCATCCGTGTACGTGACGCGGCCACCATGGTGGCTGCAGGACAACGAGATCACGGATGACGGCGCTCAAAGACTAGCTGCCGCTGTGAGGAAGTGCGGCCAGGACCTTGCGAAGCGTAGCGGCGTGTAGGGGGAAACCTCTGCACCCTAAGGGCTTTTTTCGTATCAAACCCTCCTGTTCAAGCCCTTGTTCAACGTCAGGAGGGACCCCTCAAGCAGCTGGACCTGGAGAGCAACCGCATCACTGCCAAGGGAAGCGTTTATCTCAAGGAGGCCAGCGGTGGTGGAGCATGATTCCTCTACTCCTCTGTTTGGCCTCATATGGCTGTTGTAGTAAGCACAAGCTGCGCAACAACGAGTTACTCCCTTTCCTGGCACAGCCAAAAGGACCCGGTAGAAGGTGCGAAGTGCACAATGGTCCCCCAGACCTTCGGAGGATTTTCTCACAAAGCCCCTCCAGCTCCGAGTCCACTGAACTTGTTCCAGGGGTGCGCTGTGAGGTGAGATTTGTCTGACTTGCTTTGCCAAATTGAGCTTGCTGCTCAGTTTGACCATTGTCAGGTAAAGGAGGCCCTCAAGAAAGAGATTCAGTTCGGCTACCAAAAGAGTCTGGAGTCTCAGGAATGTTGAGCAATCTTGCTTGTGGAAGATGCTAGTCACGAGTCCGCCCCCTTGCCGTTTCAGAAAGCGGACATGTAGGGGAAGAGTGATATACGGAGAGACATCTGCAATGCGAGAAGCATTTGAGAGAGAGTGTGTTCTGTGTGTTCTGGTCTGTGTGTTCTCCGAGGCAAAGCCCGTGAACAGCACCAGGGGGTCATCGACACACACAGCAAGGCTAGGGGCCGCACTGTTCTGAAAAAGACAGCTAAAATATCAGCATCTCTGAAACTCACAGCTCTTCAAACTGCTCAGTTCTCTGCTCGATTCTTTGCTCAATTCTCTGCTCAATTCTCTGCTGACTGCCACGTGGCTGTTCCCTCAGGACGGCGTCTTTGCGGCGCGGTAGGCGAAGGGACGAAGACCCGGACTGCAAGAGACAGAAACACGGCCGCGGAAGATGCCCGTGATTACGGTGCCTCTAATTAGGGAGCACCTCCCGATCCCCTCGCAGCCCCCTTGCGTTGTCAGGGGGCTTCTTCGCTTTTGGTTTTGCCTTTATTTGTGCAGGTGTTTGCGAGGTTTGAGGCTGGAATGTCGGAAAGCCAGATAGAAGCCTACAAGAACACTTGAACTAACTTAAACTGCTTCCTCTGGCTTGCCAATCTGCTTTGGACTGAAAGCAGAGGTCTTGCGAAGCTACATGTCTACACAGTTATGACTGTTGTGCCGTGTATTGCCGGCCTGGACCACCACTCATCGCAAGAGGTATGAAATTGCATCGGGCGTTTCAGGGATGCAGGGTTGATGCTTCAGTAATGCTCCTGGATGAGCAGACGGGCCGTCTTGCAATATCTTGCAGGCGTCATTGCTGCAGCATGTTGGCTCAGCACTTCCATTCCATCTTGCTCTCCCATGCCTGCCATCGACAGAGACTCTAGATTCTGGGTTGCTCATGAGCTGTCGTGCACTTTCCGCATGCGCCTGCGCAGTCCTTGCTGTTTTGTTGCTCGGGCTCTCCATCTTGATGTTTGCAGGAAAGCACCGGCGTTTCATTGTCGCGACCGTGGTGGAAGAGTTAAGGCCCGTTTTGAAGAAGTCTGGCGTCAACGCGACGGTGGGAGAGCCGAAGCTGTCCGGAGCGCAACAAGCGCAACATTCGCAACACGTCAGCGCGGAGGACTACTTGCAGGATGTCGGTCAAATAAGCCGACTCAACAGAGTCATCTTCGTGCACGTGCCCAAAACCGGAGGAACCACGATCGAGGAATCAAGCCTGTTCCGCGACGCGCGCAAGTTTCACGCCACCGTTGGTCACAGTGACGCTGAAACACTGAACCTTGATGCATCAAGCAGCCTCGAAATTTAGCAACATCATGTGTGCAGTACGAATGCTTCCTTGTGTGTATTGAGTGCTTCGCTGTTGGGAGGGGGGGCGGGGGCTGGTGGGCGTAATGTTACTGCTTTGCGAGTCGCCTCGGCCGGGGCTCGCGGCTTACGGCAACGGCGAAGGAAAGCTCTTTGGCCGGGCAGAGGGAGGAGGGAGGGGGGAGGGTAGCTGAAGGCGGGGGCGTGAAGGGTAGGGCATGGATGAAGGGCGGGGGGAACATGTGGGAAAGGACAATGAGGAGGTGTATATAAGGCGAACAACACAGAACCCCAAAGGTCTCGGCGGCAAAATATGTTGTAGAGAGAGTACCTGGAGGGAGCCTGGTTCAGGAAAGGGGTGGAGTTGGTGGTGCATGCAGTTCCGAGTCTCAAGGGACAGCACCCAATACTGCCGTGCTTGCCACTGAACACAACACTTCTGAGCGTAAAAAACCCCGAAGCTATGGCTGCTATTGGCTGCTTTGAAAGCCCGAGGAGGCGCCGTGCCCCTCGCTTTCGCAGCTTCTCCATCGTGCGGCAGCCCTGTGAACGATTCTTATCTGCGTTCACCTACATCCGAACAATTGCTCCCGATGCGGAGTACTTGTGGTACAGGCGGAAGCTTGAATGGATTATTCAAGGGTTCATGTTGTTTTTGCAAGGAGCTGTGAGATGATTCGGTTTCACTGAGTTTGCTGCAGCCAAGGAACGTGGCCGGAAGGGACCTGAACAGTTATGTGGCTTCAAAGGACTTTGGGAGCTCCACATATGAAAGAGCAAGATTATGTGTTTGGATTTAAGGGGGTGTTATAGGGCTGTTAAAGCGTGGCTTGGTGTGGTTTAGGGTCGTGTGGTTACCTCATCGATGTAGGATGGGACCGGAGCCCTGAATATTTTTCAGACCTAATTCCCAACATCACAGGTCCCGCTTTTTTTCAGTTTCTGCATTTCACTCCGCAGCACAAGTTTGTGTTCTTCTTGAACAAGACATTTGGCGTGGATCTGCTGCTCTGCCAAGACAACTGGACGAGAAGTGTGGAGAGACTACGTGAATACTTGAAGCCGACTGTACTCCCGGCGGACATCGTACGAAGGCACAAGCGACGCACAGAGCACTCGAAATGCTCTGGCCTGCCCGAGGAAATCCGTCGCAGGATCGAGGCGGCGTACGCAATGGACATGTGCCTCTTCTTTCCAAATAAATCTGAAACAGCATGTGGTCCTCTAACAGCCGGGCAACTCACTGGACGCTACAAGACGTGCATGGAAAGCATTGGGGACAAAATCTGCTTTGCCGCAGCTAGGTGCGTTGAACTGCAAGGGAGGCATGTTCTGGGCATCCAAACTCCCTTGCAGTCTGCATATACCGCATATGTCAGGATTGTTGCTATTCGTTTGGGGGGGTTTGCGTTTCCTGTAAAGAACAGCAATCGAATGATTCGTTTCCTTGAAAGTGTTCATGCGTTTCGATTCGACTCGTGTTGCGGTTCCTAGATAAGCCCTAACCCCTAAACCCTAAACCCTTGTGAAAATCTGCGTGTTTTACTCCCTGTATAGTGTGTTGCATGAGGCCAAGGACAGTGACGTCGCATTGACACTTGCAGCGACGGCGAAATGATGCGACTTCATGAGCTGTTGTGTTAACTCAAGTGTGTAGTGGATTCGTAGTGGATTTGAGACTGCAAGACACGAGTCCTGAAGCTCTCACGCCTTGCCACACCCCAAGCAGGCACTTGCAGCCCCGAACATTCGACGATTTTTCGGCTCAGTGCTCAGATGGGGAGGGGGGTGGGGGTGGTGAAATCGTCAGTGTGTGGTTTTTCGTTGGGGGGAGGGGTCTTGAAGACTTGTCTGCGTGTTGTTGTCTGCGTTTGAGTGACGAGCGCACCCCCGGCACTTGAACTCATGGGCCGCACAAGAAGCCGCCCGCCGCGGCATGTCCGCGAGGCCAGGGTGGCAGAGATCAGATATGTCAGAAGAATGTGGGTCTCTCGCCAGGCTGCCAAAGCCCCGAATGCGGAAGGAGGCGCGACAGGTGGCGTACAGCTCTGTACGTGTCCCGCCGGTCCCGCACCATCACCGAACCGTCGTCTGCACGTTGACGCGGCAGGGGTTGGCAGCTCTGCGGCTGAACCACTCCCGCCAGCGCCGGTGGGATGCACACGTGGGGAGTAACTGAGATTCAACGCAGCAGATGCGAGGAAGTGAAGCTTTCCCAACAGCAGCTCGCCCGGAAGTGGGAAATGCAGTGGCGCTCTGCGGCCGTGCACGGCACTCCGTACAGCTATGGTGCCCTTGCTGCAGATTGCAAAGCGGGTGCGCTGTCTCGGAGCCCCCTCTTCCCACGCTTCGCATGTGTCAAGTCAAGGGAAGAGCTGCGGCGGCTGGGTGAAGAAGAAGGACTCCAAGCAACTTGGCTCTCATTTTCTCAAAACTCAACAACAGTCTCCAAGACCGGTATTTGACTCTTCCAGGCGCGGAGTCGTGTACAGGTGGCGGTGGAGCACGGTGGCTGCCTCGATTCCGCTGACGGTTTCCATGCTTGTGTAAGGCATAAGACCCCTTTCTGAGCTTGGACTGCTGCTGCAAGTGACCTTACATTTCAATGCTTGCGAAAACTTCGTGCGTTTGCCTAAGGTGTTGCCCCTGAGCCAAGGGGGCACCCCATCACCTCCAGGCTGCACGACTGCTCGGGAAGCTGTGAAACTGCAGCGCGGAGACCACATAGACACCCGCACAGGAACCCTCCATCGGCACCGCTTCCGTCACTTCTCCTCGGCACGATTCTCAGACCTGACAGTCCCAGCCTTGCCACTTGCCAAAAGGCGCTCTGTTCCTTCCGCAGGCTTCTGGACTGGGATCCGCCCCTGCTTTCTCGGGAAAGCGGACTGTTTTCCACGACGAGCCTACAAAGTCTAGGCCGAAGCCAGGGAAGAAAAAGACTTCGCCACCGCGCGAGAGTGTGGTTGAGTGTGTCTCTCTGTCTGTCTGTGCGTCCGTCCGTCCGTCCGTCTGTCTGTGTGCGTGTCTCTGTGTGTGTCTCTGTGTGTGTGTGTGTGTGTGTGTGTGTGTGTGTTGGTTGTTGTCTTGGAGGGCCTTGTGATAGAGCCTTGCATGTTGCGTTCGCAGACTGCACCTCACAACCCCATTTGAGAGCCCCAGCCCACTGACCGAATTTCCGATACCAGCAGAACTGGCGCAGCTTGGCTCAAAGCTTCCAGCCATGACTACGAAGGACTGGATCATCAAGCGACGCTCTTACAAACATCCATCCGTGTTTGCTACAATAAGCTCATGCCCTGACCTAGGAACTTCTTAATCCTTGGCCTTCTGGCTGTGCCTCGGAAGAGCTTAAGTGGGATCAGGAGACTGCGTGTTGATGAAGTCTTCGTGATTTGACTGTGTCTCTTTGAGTCCATCGTCCACAGGTCATCACATTTGGCTTGGTTTGTCCAGCGCCAGGCTGAAGCCTTGGGTTTTTTTCCGTCGATTTTTTTTGCATATGGCGGGCTTTGTGTTTTTCGCGGATATTTTTGCGGAGGCGGGGACATGTCCATTGCTGTCATCTGAGGTGAAGCCCTAGATGGCATTCAGATCGGCAAGTTCCGTCTGCCACAGGCCACGCATGATCGCGTGGCGAGGGAACATGCTCGAAGAAACCACTCCTGTGCGATGCAGGTGGCCGTGATCGTCATTTTCATTGTCTCGGGCTTGTGCCTGGATTCCATCTCTGAGTGCTTGCAGTACAAGGCCAGCTCTCGGGCTATCTGTGCATCACAATTGCAAAACGGAGAGACGAGGAAATCGGATTTCCGTGCATCCGTGTGAATCAGTGTGAGACGCCGCTTTTGCCTGTCAGGCGCTTGCCTTGTCCATCGTGCTTGTCCTCGGTGTAACCCCACTCCTTGCGTATCCAATCCTGCACTTTGGGCCAGTGCCTGAAAAGGGAATGTAAAGCTGACGAAAGGGAGATAAAGGCACAGAATGGCCGTCACAAAGAGCAGCATCTCTGAGGCAGGGCTATGTTGAGGAGACCTTGCTGGAGGCACCCTAACATACTGTATGGCATCTCATGAGGAATCACGTGGAGGGCGCTTGGAATCCTCACAACGTTCCAAGGGCCTGGCGGTGTTCTGCGTCGTGCCCACCACGTTATCCTCCGGGGTGACCATGGTGACGCAAGCCAAGGCGCACAGAGTGGAAGCATATCAGGTAAGAAGGCATTAAACCCCTGACAAACCTGGCAAGCCAAAGTCGCTGCAAGAGTTTGTGGGGTGGCTATGGGTAGCTCATTATGCGCTCGACACGAATCATTGATCCGCGCGGAGCCTGTTCTGCCAGGGCAATGTGTCCCTGGCGGTGCTGCTGACGACCATCACCAACCTCCTAGGCATGTGAGCCGTTTCTCTCCATGCCGCGACTAGTTCTGGTGCGGTCTAGGAGTGGCCACGATGCCGTGGTCGGTGTCGAAAATCTTCGCAGCGAAAGTGCCGATCAAGCCGTCAGAGATGCTCTTCGAGCTGATTTGGTACCTTGGCTGTTGCCAGATGCGTGGTGTGGACAGTTTTTTGTGGAGATTTTTGTGCATTGAAGGTTGACCTTGGTGCCCTTGATCGTTGGCATGGGCCTTCGGGAGGCCAATTCAGAGAAGTCCCAGCCTGTGCTTACACTAATGCGTCCGCAGCTTGGTTCGTTGAAAGAGCTTGGCAGGTTTTGCCAGCAGCAAAATCTTTTGCGAAGACAAACAAGAAGGTACTTGGCCTTTGCCAAAACAGGCGTGGCCCCATCCCAGACCTTTAACTGCTGCATTGTTTCGCTCGGTGCAAGTTTCAGTTCTGGATAATTCTCGTGGTGTGCTGCAGCGTGCAGTTGCATCCTGCTTGTGGTCTTGCTCATGACGTCAAGTGCTCAGCCGAAAATCATCTCGACGGATGCCGCGGCCTGAGCCAGTCTGAGCCCACGGGGAAGCAACCCAGAGCTGTAGCCTCACTGAGCCGAGCCTCACTGATCCGAGTCCTTTGACCTGTCTTGCGCTCTGGGCATTGCTGCTGGCATCCACCTGGTCTACCGAATTGTGGGCACGCTGCTGAGACTCCCCTGAGTTTGCAAAACGCAGTGTAAGTCAGTCATTGGCGCCAGTGCTGTGCCAGGATACTTTTCAGCCACCGCGGCGGTGCTGGAGCCGCGCGAGTGGGCCAGGGGCACTCAGGGACACAGGGGCACCCAGGCACCCAGGACCTTAGGTGACCTTAGGTGACCTTAGGACCTTTCTGAAATACGGGGCCCTGCTTCCGGGTGTGCGGCCGCAAGATGTGCCCAGGTGACGGTGGTGCTCATGTCCAGCCAGAAGTCACTGCCCGTCTGCGTGGCTCAGCTGGATCTTTGACCCCTTTTCTTCCACTCTTTCTCTTTAAGTGCCCTTACAAGTGCGCTCCCTTTGGGCTCCCCCTGCGCCCCTGCGCCCCTGCGCTCTCTTTTCCTTAACAGATCGCCTCCGTCCTGGGGTGTCGCGGTGGACTCTGCAGACTCTGCAAAGGTCTCCGTGATGTCCGCGCTGCCGGCAGAGCTCCGGGCCAACTCCGGGTGGGGAAGACACAGAGACACGAGACATGGGACGACTCACGACTTTTCAGGGAGATTGACATAGTACACAATGTGCTCTCATGTGCTCTCTCTCTCTCGCTCTGTTGTGTGTGTGTGTGTGTGTGTGTCTGTTTCTGTGCCTTCTCCACTTTCTGCACCTTCTGCCCATTTCTGCCGCAGGCTGATGATCGTTCCTTGCATCATGGCTCATGCCTCACAGCTGATCATTGACTCTATCCTTGCCGTCCGTCGTGGGCCCGGGCTGGATTGGGCGCCTCAACTCGGCAAAGAGACCTGCCTTGTGAGGCTGGGAGGTGAAGGAGGAGAAGCAGGCGTCAGAGAGTCCATTTGGTGCCCAGCGACAGTTGCCGTTTGAGCGCAGCAGCGTTGTTTTTTTTTTTTTGCTTTCTGTCAGGCTCCTCTCCTTCCTTCCTGAACTGAGACTCTCTGCTGCGGTGCGGCCATGGCACGTGGAGTGCCCTCGCGAAGCAATTGAAGCACTTGAAGCACTTCAAGCGCGCCCTTTGAATCGCTCTTCGCTGAAGCCGCCAACCTTTGGGAAGTGCGGGCTTGAGCCGGCATGTCCCACAGAATTGTTTAGCCAGCGGCTTCATGTCTTCACTTTCTCCGGCCGAATTGGCCAAGACGTACCGAAACCAAAAACGAAGCGTGGCAGCGCTGCCTGCAAACATCAGCCCGGCAGCGGGTCAAGAGAAGGTCTTTGCGGGTGCTTTCTGGGGTGTTTGACTTTCCTTCATGGGGTCTCGCGCCAGCTTCAGGCACCTTGTGAAATTGAAAGGGCTCCCAAAGCACTCAAGCACTGGCACTCCCCAATGCGTTGGCCAGAACGGATGAGGCAGCCAATTCACGTTCTGGGTTGCTGGAAGTAACTACAGTAGAAGGCTGCTGTGTTGGGGAGTAGCAACATTCAGAAAACAGGGGGTACATTCACCCAGCAAAGGTCAGAAAACACCAGTGTAACATTCGGAAAACACCAGGGCAACATTCTGGAAAACACCAGGGAAACATTCGGAAAACAGCCGCGCCACATAGTAAGTCGACAAACAGGAGGGTCACGGTCAGCATACACCACGGACGCAGTCAGCAGACAGCAAAGCCACATGCAGCAACCAAAAAACAACGCAGGACTCGTGGAGAACACACATCCAAGCACAGGATGCTTGCAGATTAGCTTTGTATCTACGAGGAGACCCTTAAAACAAAAAAAGATAAATAAATAAACAAATATATATATATGTATATCTACCTACGGAATCCAAAACCAGCCTTAAAGCAGGTAGAGATTCAAGAGCCGGGGTTTTAGTCGTTTTTTGCTAAATACCTGGTTTTGGGCCACAAAACCAGGTTTCTGATTTTGCAGCTCACCCACACACCCGTAAAAAGCGCGAGTGTGAAACCCGAAAAAACCCGTGCGAAACCCGTAAACACCCGTGGTGGAAAGTCAGGTTTCTCCTTGCCTTCTGGAAACCAGGTTTTCTCTTTGAAAGTCGGGTTTTTAAGCAAAACCTACTTTAAATAAAGCAGGTTTGGGTTGCTGAAGGATATATATATATATATATATGCTACCCCGCCCCCAAAGATCCATGGTTTTATGGCCCATCTGGCAGCAGGAGAGCAGTGCGTGAGCGTAATGTCTTCGAGGTGTGGCCTCTGAATCTAAAGCTCTAATCCATCAAGTTGAGTTACAAACGAAGCTCGGATGAGGATTTCTCAGGGTGCGGCCTTAGAAGTGTAAAATTCCAAAAACATCTCATTGCGAATAGGTGACACAGGAGGATTTGATACGGTGTGGTCTTTAATGCACGGTTAACTAGATGTAATTGCGGGCCCCTTATTTTGGGTCCTTACAAAAAGGCGTCACCTATACTGCCTATACTGTTTAGGGCACCCAAATAGGGACCGTGTTTTTGGACAGCCCCCGTGAGCCCAAGTCGCAACAAAGACGCGGCATCATGAACTGGCGAGAAAGCTGAGGCCTTAATGTAGCCGTTGAAGTATCTAGGTCCCACTCTGTTAGCTCAGCAATGCAAAAAAACACTTTGACCCTTACCCCATCATTTTCATTCAGGAGCACCCCCACAAGGGGTCCCTGGCGCGGCGGATTGAACATAACATGAGACATGTCTCATGCGCAATGCAAACCTCCGGCGTAGTAGAAAAAACACAAGTGCAAAGCACATCCCTTCCGCAACACGTTAAAGACACCCTCAACTAGGTCCACTAGGTCCCTTTGAAGCAGCTGCTTCCGAGAGGGGCTCCACACTGCCCACGGTGCTGGTGGCACGGGCCAGGGCCTGGGAGGTCCAAAGCTCGAAGGGAGAGTTTGTCAGGGGGCTCGGCCGCGTGTAAAGCAGGCGTCTGCCTCCGGCCGTGGTGGATCGTGGGATCGTGGGTTGGATGGTAGGGGTGAACAGTTTGGGTGGGGGCCGTCCCTGATCCTTGGTTGTAGGGGGTGTTTTGGCTTCCCCACCACTGAGGGGTGTGGCTGAATGGATCCCTCAATATGATCCTCGACTTATAATGGCAAAAGGCTGTCGTAGGCCAGAGAAGGTCCGGTTAGAGGCCTGAGGCCTCTGCGTATTCGGGGAGGAGGCTCGAAGAGAGCTCTGAAGCTTGAGCTGTCCTCATTGGTACCATGCGTACTGCACCAACCTCACAACCTCACACGGCTCCCTTGTATGCTATGAGACTACACTTGTGGGCAGGTGAAGTGACGCCAGCTCGCAAAAGGTCCATACATTGGTACAGTTGCACTTCAGGTTTTTCCCCAAGCTACGGCCAAGCCACTGCCAGCCTCTCGCCCGCCCCTCACCGTGAAGACCATGTCGTTCCAATCGCTTGTGCTCCTCGTGACCATGCTCGCGGCCAAGGGCTCGCCGACGTCGGTCGAGTCTGGCATCAGCCGCAAGACCTTCCAGATCAACATCGAGACTGACATGGACAGCAATTGGGGCAATGACCCTGTCAGGGTGTTTTACCCGGGTCTAGGTAGTGTCAACACTGCCAGCAAAACCAAGCCCCTGGCTGTGACGTACACTGCCGGTGATCAACTGGGTGTCCAGCTCGGCCGCTGGTATTGGGCCTACGACGGTGGCTTGGCTCCGCGGCTTGCGGGCGTCTGCCCCCCGCATACACAAAATGCGAACAAGAATCCCGACAACTCTGGGGCGGAAATTTTCGTGAACAGCGACTGCACGCTCCAGCAGGCCAAGCTCCCCGTTTACGGCGTTGGCTTCCCCAGCTACATCGCAGCGGACTTCGAGCTAGGGATCAAGAACGGCGTCTGCACGCTGTCGGTCAAGAACGTCGCCGGCCTCACAGATGGACTCGGGACAGCAGACGCCTGCGTTTACCCCTGTAACGACTTCAACGCTAAATCTTGCACAGCCGCCCAACTGGACGAGACGGTCGGCTGCGGCAAGTTGGTGGCCAGTGACTACACCACGGCCATGGGCCAACCGATCACGGATTTCAAACAAGTCGCGGCCATCCGTAGCGGCTTGGTACAGAAGTGCGCTCCCGGTCCCAAATTCGGCGCTGTCCCGCTTGCCACAGGCGGTGGCCTGCCTGTCGTGACTGTGGTCAACAACTGCCCGAACACAGACGTCGTTTACAGTATTAACCAAGGCCCAGCCGCTAGCTGCAATCCCTCCGATTGCGGCTCCCTTGTTAAGGCCGACACATCCAACGCCTTCTGGATCGGCTTCAAACCTTTCAACAAGTTTACGAACAACAATTACGGCGCCGCCACCATCGCCGAGGTGACTCCTCACTCGGATGGAACAGCGGACATTGACATCAGCCGCGTGGAAGGTTTCAACTACGGTGTGTCGATGAAGGACAAGGGCGGAGACTGGAGTGTGGTGTGCAATGATGTCAATTGCAAGGATGCCTACTGGCTGTGCGACAGCTCATATGGGAACAAGCTCTTCCCCGCGACGGGAAAGTTTGCCAGCAAGGAAATCGTCATCACGTTTTGCCCCAAGAAGGAGGCCGACACGGACAATTTTCAAAACGTCAATCAGTGCGCAACAGTTGAGCGTGAGCAAGCCACCACAACGGGTCCTCCATACATTTGCCAATTCAACGAGTGGTATGACATGACCAATGGCGGGACATGCGTCACTGGCACCCCCGAAGGGGGAAAATGCATGGGAGCTGCACCCAGCCCGATCAACGCTTGCAAATCAGACTCGCGGAGTTTTTTTCCGTAGGATGTGCAAGGATGTGCATTTGCTAGATTTTGCGCTAGAATTCGGATCTGGGATGTGCGGCTGGTCTTGCGCTGGTCCTTCGCGCCGCCCTCAGAAGCAGGAGTTTGGCGCTCGTGCAAAACCGCCCTCAGAAGTAGATTGCATGTTGCCTTTTACCCCAGCTCGGACTGTACATGCTCCATCGGGTACACTCGTCCGCTCGGGCTGCTAGAGCTTTCGATTCCAGGCTGGTCTTGCGGAAAGTCTACTCTGCGCCCCAAAGCCTCCAGCTATCTCAAACTTTCAACTAAATGCAGCTGAGACCCTTGCACAGAACCATCGGCTTGGCACAAACTCCAGCGCTTTGCTGTAGGTGAAGCATATGGCCAGCGCCCTGGGGCCTACCAGAATATCGAATACTTCAAGCTGAAAACTGCTGCCGCGTGGGTTTAAGAAGCACGGATCTCTGAACGGATACCCTCGAATGGGGCACCGGATTCATTGCAGAGGAAAGATGAAGGCACGAACGGGGTATAACGGGGTCACAGGTCGCCGAGTGAGCCAAGTCTACAGTAAGACTTAAGATGCGAGTATGGCAACAGGTAAACAGCCCGCGTGGCACCATTGTCAAGCGTTCTGTTTCTTCCTTTAAAGCCTGATAAACCAACATGCATGCGTAGGGACATCGGGGCATGGGTGGATGGGGCATGGGACAGAATGAAACGTTTCGGGCTGTGCTGGGCTTTCGAGGTTGCTGCGAACTTTGCGGGCCAAGCGGGGATCTCGGCAAGCGAGCCGATGTTGCGATTGGAAATCGTCCAGATTCTGCCCAGCTCCAGGGCAGCAAGGCGTCAGTGTCCAAGCGGAGTCCGAGGCCGTGACCTGGGGAGATGAATGATGAAAGCATGTATAGGCTTCTCTGGCAGCCATCCTTGCGGGTCCTAGCGCATCATAGCGAGGACGATGCCAGGTCACAAGCAGCCTGGTGTGGGCCGGTGTGGGCCGGTGAGGGGGTTGTGTGGGGGTTGTGACATGTTTGCAATTTTTACGTCAGCTATTCTCCTCGCCCGGGTCTAGCTTGGGCTAGTAACTCAGTTGTGGACGTTGTTATAGCTGGCGAAGTCTTGCGGTGCTTGAGCTCCACTCCATGTCACGAAAGCTACTGGTAGCTCCTTGGAGCTTGCGAGAGTTGTCGTTTGCAACCCTTTCTCTCTAGTGTTCAGGTGGGTCAACAAGCGACCCCGACCCTTAACTGGTATGAAAATCAGTAAGTTAAGGGGGGGGGTCCCCTCCCCCCTTTGTTCCCTCTAGGCTCCCCCGGCTATGGTTGCTGCTTTGTTTAAGGTACGCTCTGCACTGAGTTTGCTTCTTGTTTGGCTTTGCCTCGAGCGTGTTGAATGTGCTTTCAAGAGCTTGTCGGCGAGGCGTGAAGCTGCCATGCGGCCTTCCTGGTCTTGCCCCTCTCGCCGTTGGCATTGACTTGAATCGCTAGATATCGTGCCTGTGCCCCGAATGTGCAAAATGTGGGAGCAGCAGCTGTGTAAGACGAGAAGCTGCACTTCCGAGTTGCTAAATTCTGGGCCCAAGCTACTCCGATTTTCGAGCTCCAGCCCCGATTTGATGTGTGCAAAATACTGCAACAAATGCTTTCCGCATGGCTTCATTCGTTGGGGATGATGATGATGATGATGATGATGATGGTGATGTTGAGTGCGGGGACATGTCTGCAGATCGCAAGCTCCGCAACTTCACCCGAAAATGCCAGGAAACTGCGTCTGCCTTAAGCATCTGCTTAGTGGAAGCCGGGCAGCTGGGAAGACCATATGCCTCAAGACCTTGTTGGCTGCTTTGGGGACTCTATCTAGTCAGGCGGGGCTTGTGGCAAAGGCTGACTGCCACAGACTAGCACAAACAATGCACACATGTGCACGGCACCTCCGCTTCCGTTTTATCCAGTGCGCGCCTCAAGCTGCGGCCCCCATGACGTAGATATAGGTTGGGAGCGTTGGAATTCGGTGCACGTGGTGTAGATGGGCAATGGCCAGTTGGTCCGTAGGGACGGGGCCTTGGCGCTGGAGAGCTACGGTAGCGGATGAATTTGTTTCTGTTGCAATGCCCAATGCACTGCCCAAACAGCTCTTGAGCACTTCCAAGGCTCAGGAGATCATATCCGGCGACTGAGCTGCAGGGATCTCTCACAAGCAAGCCGGTGAATTTTACAGCTTGGCCACTGAGACCTGTCCACCCATGATCTCCGGAACTACACGAGAATCTGCAGCTTGGTGCCTGAGTTCCCAGATAGGCCAGGGTGCAGGCTTCTCTGCAGCTCCGGCACACGAGGCGCAAGCAAAATCCCCTTGGAGGTACAAGAGCCAGCGGCGCTTTGACAAGTTCCGTGTGCGAAAGGGGGCCACGCACCCGGTCTGGGCCGTGGCCATTGCGGAGGCGGGCGAGAAGGTATAGGGTGTTGGACAGGGCGTATCATTTGTAAGGCTGCATGTCAAATATATTTGGTTATGTATGAAATGCATACCACGCCCGAATATCTGCATATCCATCTACATATACCCTCAGACATGCATCTAGTTCCTTGTATGCATGTATTTATACATCGACACATATACACATGTTTTTGCATAGGCTTGAACCAAGGGATTGCAGGGCACCTAGGTCGGGTTTGGCCGGGAGGTGAACATGATGATGGCCGCGGCCACTGCCGATCATGAGGCCCAGCCCGCAAACTTTCGAGGGCTCCGCTCGAAAAATTCGGAAGCCGCCTCTCTGGATCGTGAGGTTCACCTATGGGACCTGGAAGACATGGAGCTTTTAGTGGGGTGCCAAGTTGAAAGAAGCCCCGCCCTAAGGCATGTGAAAGCAAACTTTCTGAGGTTTCGCTCAAGGGCCACTCAGATCAAGTGTGGGAAGTCAAGTTCTCCACCAATGAGCTGCGGACTGAGTCGATGTCCCGCCTGTACGACGAATCGGAGGCCGAGACGTAAGGGAACCTGCCTGGTAGGACCACCTTGGCCTCCGGGAGCAGCGACAAGACCATCCGCCTTTGGGCCGGGCTGGCAACACCTCTTTGCAAAAAAGAACGCGCAGGGCTTTTCAGCACAGGACGCCCAAGACGGGAGTCCGCTGGGCGTGCTTCGAGGCCACGAGGCTGCGATCAGGCGCCTGCGGTGCCTTTGCCCATCCTTGTGTTCGAGTAGAGCGTAGCGGCGTAGCGGCGTAGCGGCGTAGCTCGAAGTTCGCATTAACTCGCATTCTCGCATTGCGTGCATGAGAGGTGCTTGAGTTTCTCCTTCGCGGGTTACTTGATCTCCGGGGACCAGGACTCCAACATGGCATCCCTGGCACAGATTGTATGGACTCCACGGACTCCACGGACTCCACGGTTTCACGCTGCTGGAGCAACATGCGACAAGCCTTGGCCAGTTTTTGTGGGAAGCTGAAAACGCGTCGCCCATCAAGAAGTGGAAAGCCCACCAGGGTGCAGTCACCTCCCCAGATCTGAGTTGCCACTGCCGGAAGTCTGGGACACGACTCGAGGCACAGCGAAGTAGCATGAAGGGTACGCAGACCACGTACACTCCCACATGCGCTCACTCACTCTCTCTCCTTCTTCTCTCCTTCTCTTTGACTGCCTGTCTTTTGTTCTGTCTTTTGGCTGGGTTTTGTGGTACTTCACCTTCCCCCCCCCCTCCGTTCTCATAACACTTCGCCGACAGAGGAGGAGCCCATGGAACCCCGAAACACTTCTCTCTCGTTCACATATCGCAGTTCCCGTGGTGCCCCTCTCTCCCTCTCTCCCTCTCTCCCTCTCTCCCTCTCTCCCTCTCTCCCTCTCTCCCTCTCTCCCTCTCTCCCTCTCTCCCTCTCTCCCTCTCTCCCTCTCTCCCTCTCTCTGTCTAGTCTAGCTTTGTAGTTTATCCTAGGTCCACAGCGTGGCTTTCTCTGCAGCCGAGCCTTTGCTCGCTCGGACCTCGACAGGTTGATTCCACAGGATCTCACTTCTCTCATTTCCTTCGGATTGTTTTTGCATCGAGGCATTGTCAGTTGGTGCAGATGGTTCCGTGGCATCTTGGTACGTGAAGCGGGAGGATGACGACATGATCCTTGGAGGGCGGTTTGCAGGTGCCTTTGGAGCCTGTGATGTTTTGATGTTTTGATGATTGCTTGTTGCCTCTCGCAAGAAGAGGTGGCGATGGCGGAGCGGTGCTCAGCCTCGCATGCCATCCCGTCTATCCGGGCATCACGGCGGTGGGCAATCAGGCACAGCCTGACACAGCTTAGTAGACTTGGGGGTATGCGGGTCTCTTTGGAGCATTGGAGGCGAGACTTGAGACCTAATGCACATTCATTGTACTGTACCTCTGCGGTCCTTTCGCTCCGATGGCTCCCTTCTTCCTCCATTTCTCCCTGCCATCTCCTGCCATCATCTTTTCCTGGAGGGATGGACAATTGAGTGCGTTATGGCACAGGATGGCGGCGTGTGGATCTGGGACTTTACCCCCGACTTCCAGCGAGGCGGGCCTTACGCAAGTTAAGTGTCTTTGCATTCGCTCATCCCGGATCCGGGCTACTCCGGACCAGAGCCGCGCCAGGCACGGTGGAGGTGACAGGCGGGGTCCTGTGAAAAAGCCATGCATCTGCGGCACAGAATGGCACGAACATCACCTTTCTCTGTGGCTTGAGAGGCCACCAGCGGCTGCGAGGCCACACAGAAGCCGTGCAAGCTCCGAGTTTCTGTGGAGTGTAGCAGTGATCTGTGGCAGCCCTCCGCTTTGTTGGGGCTCTGAGGTTTGGTTCCTGGAATTCTCACGAGATGCCTGCCTGCTTGCATCCGGATCTGCAGATTGCACCGTTCGGGTGCCCCTGCGCAGTGTGTCCAAATGTTGCACGTGATTGAATGTTTTTTGTGCAATGTCGTGTGAATACTAGCATGGCTCATGCACAGGTTTTGCCTTGGACAAATCACGCAGCGGTCACATCCAGTGCATGCGCAGCTTGAGACCGTGATGTCGCCAGAAGGGCCCTCTTGGGGGCCCAATGAGCTTGAAACCATGCTTTTGCCGCATGGCCTTCTTGGGCCCAACTTGAAACCGTGATTTTGCCGGAAAAGCCTTCTTGGGCCCAACGTGAAACCCGTCCATGTCCTAAACCATTCTGCTGTCAGAAGCTGTCCGGTTTCTCTTGCTGCTTTCTGTCGGCAGCTGTCCCTAAACCCTAAACGATTCTGCTGTCAGAAGCTGTCCGGTCTTTCTTGTTCCACAGGCTGAAAGCCCAAACTGCCAAGAGCATCAAGCCCGGGGGGGGGGGAGGGGGGTTCCTCGCAATCATCCGGCTGCCAACCTGTCCCCAAGTTCTGCGGTTGCACTGGGATGAAAGGTCTTGGTTTTTCTTGGGGCAGCACGCACAGGTGTGTGTTTGCATTACGAATTCAAATTGGGATTAAGGAACTTGGTGGGCGGGTTGGGTCTTCAAAGCAAGGAGCCCGGGTGAGAGTTTTATGGCAGCTGGGATGAAAGGACGTGGCGGCAGGGCCTTGAGGCAACTTATGCCAGGGAGCAGGGTAGGTTGCTTTGCCGTGGGATTGGTTGGGTGTTTCTTATAGCATGGCCCGGCGACCGATTCTTGGCACTCTTGCAAACCGGTGCCGCAGGTACCTGTTTGCATGGGGATGCAATGGCTAGGCGAGCTGGTGTGTCTTTTAGCAACAAGCCCGGGGGACATGGCTTTTTCATCAGCACGATTTCGTGCACCGCTGCTTCTTCTTTCAAGAATCAAGAAGGCATAGCGTGTTCGCTTGACTACAATCAGCTAGAAGAAGGCTGGCTGCTGAATGGGGGTGAAACGACCTGGTGGGTTGGGTGTGTCTGCAAACACCAAGCCAGGGGAAGGGTTCTTGGCACTCCACAGACATTTCTTTCTAGTTGCGCGTCTGCACTAGCAATCCTCAAAGCTGCCCCTAAGTTGTGTTCACACTGGTCGCGTTCAGTTCCAAAATGGTGGGTGGATGCATGTAAACACGGAAACGAATCATCTTGCTGGCTGTGGTAAGATCCTGGGAGATCCTTTGATCGCATAATAAGTGTCCGTGGCACGTTTGGGGAGATGGCCGTGAGAAAGGGGTATGGCCGTGGAAAAGGATTTGGCCGTTTGAAAGGGAGGGTGTGAAATTTCACGGTGTGGAGGGTGGTAGGTGTTCAGTCAAATAGCTGCTGCCGCCGGTACCTGCCACTTTGCGAGTGTGTGTGAAGAACGGAGGGCCTTTCCATGGGTTGGCTTTACCTTGTCATGCCGATGCTAAGCAGGTCGATCGGTCTCAGTTGCAGGTGTGGGACACTTCGTCCATTACCGTCCCTTCTTTGCTGGCAGTTTTCAAGGCTCATGATTCGCTTGGCCCCCGGCGAAGACATCACCCTTGTGTGTTCATCTTGGGAGGGCCAATACCGGGTCCCGAGGTGGGTGAAGCAGGTCCGCTGGCTCAACCAGCCAGGCAAAGGCCGCGGGAAGAAGAGGCTCCTGGTGCCTCGGCTCCAGGTGTGGGATTGTCGTAGCTGCCGTAGCTCCAGGCTTGTCATGTCATGTTTGCAGCACCTTGAACAGCACAGATTGATAAAGCCCAGTGTTGCATCGGTGCGAGGTGACATGCTCCACTGACGGCCGGATAGCAGTTTGGGCACCGCCTGGACGCTTGCGGAAGATCAACAAGCTGGAGGCAGAATCCATCAGATGACAGCATCGATGTGACTGTCGAATCTTCTCTCTCCTGTGGCATGAGCACATTGGCACATTGGAAGCATGCACAGAAGGACGCCCCATCCCTGAGCCAGAAGCTCCACGTCCACATGGATCCGGCAGCTGAGGCCGCTTCAGTCGCCTGTTTGGACGTGTGCATGTGCGTGTGCATGTGCGTGTGCATGTGCGTGTGTACGTGTACGTGTACGTGTACGTGTACGTGTACGTGTACGTGTACGTGTACGTGTACGTGTATGTGTGTGTGTGTGAGAGAGAGAGAGTGTGTGTGTGTGTGTGTGTGTGTGTGTTTGCTTCTTTTATGTGTGTGTGAGTGTGTGCATATGTGTGTGTGTGGCCGCTTCTTGCAGCTTGTTGTGGTGGCCAGAGCAGCTTCGAGGCCAACAGCGAGCTGATCCCCTTCACAGGCGCAGCCAACCTGGCAATCTACACCCTAGAATCTCTAGAACGCTGCAATGCCATCTAAATCTAAATTCATCCATTAGAGTCTGTACTGCAAAGGGCATGCCCATATGATGCCAACCCGCGCACGACCACAGGCGACGCCGGTCCCGGCAACGACGCCACACAGCCTTCGCTGCCGCCATCGCCTTGAAACTCGGGGCCTGCTGACCTTCTCTCTGCCTGTGAAGGTTGTTGTGTGGGCAATGTTTCTGCACACCTATGTGTGTGTGAGAGAGAGTGTGTGGGGGAGAGCGCAATGTCCGCCGCTCCGAGGGCCCCAGAGCCTGCACCGCAGCTGGCCTTGCCTCCGGTGCACACCGAGCCTTCGAAGGCTCCGAAGGCCCCGAAGCTCCCGAAGGCTCTCGCCAACAGCGCTCCCAGTGGTTCTGCGCCTCCTGGCGCGCCTGGCGCACCGGGCGCACCTCCCCCACCCGCGGCCCCGAGCCCAGAGAGTCGCAGAGTGGCCCTTCCGGACGATCATGCCCCTTTCTGAAGATTTCTGAAGAAAGCATGTGCCAAGGCGACTGCGGCTCCGCGAGGCTCGAGCGAGCTCTCGCTTGTGGCACTGGGCATTGAATGCCGGAGTAGTTCCACAGTCTTCCGCACTTCCACACCTTTTTGGGCATGCCTCCTTGCTAGGAGCAGCGCTGGGCCCTGTGAATGAAGGCGTCCGTTTAGGGTCGACCCTGACCTCTTTGAAGTCCGTGAAGTCCGCATCGACGCTCGCGTGAAGTGCTTCGCGCAGCGAACATCCGTCTCACAAGCCCTGTCACATAGTGATCGAGGGGACATCTGCATCTCGGCACGAAGAGCTCCAAGCGAAGAAAGCGAAGAAACAGCGGGGTTTGGCCAGAGAGAAGCCTTCCTATGGATTGGCCGGTGGCAAGATCTGACAGTATTTGCTGTGACGGCTGCAGGATCGAGAGCAAGCTTCCAGCAACAAAAGCACTGTCTTTCGCTACTTTGATAGAAGTCGCATGCTTCTAGTGACGAAAAAGCTGACAGCTCGGAGAGGCCCCATCGCAGCGTTCACAGAACATATCTTGCATCCAAGAACTTCCCGGCTGCACGAACGGCAACTTTGCACGTGAACTTAGTCTCGAACCACCTTCTCAGCCTCTCAGCGCCGCAGCTCTCAATGAGTACGCCCTCAAGCACTCGCAGGACTGGTTACGCAGCGCAGGCAGCTGGTTTGCCCACGTTTTCTTAGATGTCGCAGCCTCTTCACATCTCTTCACGGTGCAGGCGACTCCGGCCAGCAGAGCTCCGGCTGTGACTGGCCAAGGTGTGTCAAGAGTTCAGGCCCGAGCGGTGTGCGATACCATGCAACACTATGCAACACTCAATGCTCCTTACACTTCTGGCATCTTCCGGGGGGGTAGACCTCAAGAAGCTCGGATTGCTGGTTCAGGTGCCCCGAGCCAACCAAAATCTCGCTGCAACCAGATCTGCTCCGGCATTGGGCACTGAACCCCAAAGTACAGAGGCCTGATACCAGACGTGCAGCAGTGTGCAATACTTGTTTCTCGTCACATGGTGCCGTCCTTTCTAACCAGCATCTTATCGTCACTGCAAGGCAGCCCGTGCGAAGAAGAAGAGCAAGCCAAAGCCCAAGGCTGTGTCCTTTAAGGTTTCACGTGTTCCATGGTGAAGCTTTTTCATTCAGGGCTTTGCGCTGGCCCGTGGCCACTGGGAGCCCGCAATAGCTCGGAGCACATTGAACGCTCTTGCCAGCGCGAGGCGAAAGAAAAGACATTGTCTATAGATGAGGATCTGTTCGGCGCTTACTGCAGTTGGATCTTGTGTAGCTGTGCAGCCGAAGACGCGTATGCGACAGTGAATGCTTTAGACGTGTATGCGACAGTGAATGCTGGCCTGGCACTGGCCCCTTCGAGCATGTCATAAACGCTCCAAGGCTTCCAATCCCACATGGCCTGGTGTGCGTGATCTGCAGAGATCCCTTCAAGGACTTGGCTGATAAGAGCTTGTAGGCATGTAGGCATGTAGGCATTTGTTTGTCGTTGCAGGTCTTAGCACTGTGGCAAGGTAGACTGCAGTGCCTGGATCAGCCAGGACCCGGTAACCACAGACGATGGCCACTCATACTGCCGCGCATGCATTCTTGATTGGTTCAAAGCACACGATGCCAGGCAGCCATGCCGTACAATTGCTGCATGTTATGGGCGAGACCTGTCGAAACTAGCGGACAGTTTCATCCTGCCCCCTGAGGGTACGCGAGTTCTACGAGGTGCCTGGCAACATCGCGCCTTACAGTAGGACGGCCCAGAACATCTCAGAACATCACAGTTTTGCTTTCGGACGCCCTGCCCGGTTGTTACGCAGTTGCACGCCCAAAAGTGGGGCAGGAAGATGCCGCCTTCGCTCCTCGCTCCGATGACCCAGCTGCCGTTGACGAACCGCACCTTGCAGACCAACATTGCCCTCAAACAGGTCCGGGAAGAAAGAAAACTTGAACCCAGTCTGTGTTATGGGATGTCATGTATGGCCATGCCATGACCGAGAGCTGAAAGACCAGCTGTTGCTAGCTCTCACGGTTTCCATAGGGGGTCTAGGCATGCATATGGGGCGGTCTGAAGAGAGGTGGGGCAGGAGCTATTTTCAGTTTAGGGGGCCCGCGGCCAGAGCCGAGGCAAAATTAGAAGCACCATCTCACATGGGCAATTTTACTCTTAGGCTGCTCACCAACAACCTAGGAGTTGTTTGGAGGGCAATTTTTACTTGTCAAGGGGTCCCTGAAAAATCCGGTGCAGCGATCAGCACCTCGCCTACGCAGACCCAAATGCCTTTGAGCACTTTATCCTTCGATTGCATGACCACACATTTGGATCGCTGCTCGAGGGCACCTACTAGCTTTGTCGCCAACTGTTTGGGAGGGTGACGGACACTCGGCAACGCCTCATCTGACATATCTGACTGGATCCTCACCGTCTTCAACTTCTGATCGTCGAACTGTCGCCGAATCGACCCAATTGATGTTCCTAGAGGGTGCTTCGGGGCTCCTAAGGAATCCGAAGAGATCCCTGTAAAAGTTTATTTGGGTCTCTGGGACTTTGGTGAAGCTCAGAAACGGGATGGCCGACGTATACAGGCGCAGAGCTAGATGCCAAGGCCACAACTGCATCTTTTGACTTCGAAGAACTCTCGCAGGCGGTGGAGGCCTTCCGGTCCGAGAGGCCGGCTGAGGAGGCGCGCGAGCGGGAGCGTCTCCAGCTGCTGCGAAAGGTAGAGGACACCCCGGAGAGATCAATCAAGCAAAGAAATCTGATCTGTCCCTTGGCACCTGTTGGTCGTGTTTAGTTGTTGCATCTTTCCGGATGATCCCTGAAGGAAGCCCAGGCAGCGGAGGGAAACCTCAAGTCCAACTTCAATCAGGTGCGACAGTTCGTACATGGCATGTCGTATGTCGTATGTCTACCGAAGGAAGTGAATGCTTGCAGAAAGGAGCTCACGGTTCTTCATGGCAAAGTGCATCATCTAGAGGCACTTTCCGTGGGCCTCGCTGCGTGTACTCGTAGCTGCCGGAGAGGTTTTGCTTGAACGCAGGAGCAGCTTGGTCAAGCCAACGTGGAGCTACAAGCAGCAAAGGCCATTCTCTCCATTCTCCCTGCCTCGCGGAGCCATGTTCCCCCAGTTTGGCCCCTCTTCCGCCTCCAGGAAGAAGCACTGAAGCTCCAGGAGCACGCAGTGGCCTTCGCAGGCTCTGCTGGGATGCGCTCGCACGAAGACCGAATCGTATAGAAAGGAACAAGATGCTGAAATACACCTGAAGACTCAGGCGACGACTTTGATGATTTGGGCTACGAGTTGGAGCAGCTTGAAAGCGAGCTCGCGAACCAGAGCTTGTGCCCAAGATCCAGTGGTGGCATCTGCTGTCTCAGAGCTTTTGATCCGATTCCTTCCTCAAGGGTCTGCCGTTCTGTGGGTTCTTGCCCAGGTGCAGAGGAGTTGGGGCTTGTCCGACTGCCGTACCACACTGAGCTGCCTGGACAGAGGCCCCGATTTGGCCGCCCTCGATCTCAGTCTGCATAGTCTGCATAGTGGCATATCAGCATAGCTCGGCATGGAGTTGGCTGCACGCCTCTCTTCAATGTCTCCGTATGCGCCAAAGAAACAATTCAGCATGCATGTTGCATGTGGCAGGCGCATTCTTGCGCCGTGGGACTTGCTCATTCCCTAAAATTGACAGTCACGGTAGAACAATCGGCAGACCCTGCTTTCTGGATTTTAGAGCCCTGCCGTTCTTTGCCTAAAGGGAAGAAGGAGCATGACAAGTCCCATTGTTTGAGCCCGTTTAGCCTGCCAGGCAAATTCCAACTCATAGGGTCGTCCAAGCCGCCCGCTGACATGACAGAAGTCATTAGAAGTCCGTCAGAAGCTGGATCAGAGAACAGCCCTTAAGGAGCAAAGTGGCATGACCATGGAGGAAAAGATGGTGCCCATAATGTCTGTTTTGAGAGTCACTCTGCCGCCCTCCGTTGGAGGTTCAGGAGCTTCCATGAGATTGGAATGCTTCCTTTCACGTGCACAGCATCGCGTTCATTTTGAGGACCATGGCATCTGCGCACATATTTATTCTCGAGCCTGAAGCTTCACTGCGCTCCGCTTGCCTCACTGCCTCCCAGACTCCGAAACTTGCCTGGTTTTGAGCTGATGTTATGAGAATTTCTGTGGGAGACTCTATGACACCCCCAGCATAATTTCTTTGCGTATTATTTGCACATTTTTTGCACATGGGTTTTGGGCCCGGGAACTTTTTGCACATTGTTTTTGCACGTTTTTCGCACATGGATTTTGCACCCGGGATGTTTTTGCACATTGTTTAATTATGCGCATTGTTTACACATGGATTTTGCGCCCGGAAAAAATATTGCAAGCATTTTTTTTGCACATTTTTGCGCATTTTTGCATGTTTTTTGCACACGTTTTGTACATTTTTTGTACATGTGTTGCGAATGTTTTGTGACATTGCTGGTTTTTGTCGAGAAATTGCAGATTCCATCTCGCTCGACAGCTTACTACCAATGTAACGCATGTGTCGTGTAGTTCTGTTGCACCATGGAGGGCTGTCTCGAAAAACACACTTGATTAAAGAGACAAAGGCGAAGGGTCAATTGTGGGATGCAGCATGAACAATCCGAAACCGGGTTGAGGTTGTGGGAATCTTTGGAACAAGAAGCAAACAAAAAAGAATCCGAAACCATCCTGCGTCATGAATCATGATTCATGGGCCGGGCCCATGGGATCATGACGAAATGCGAAGAGGCTGATTCGGCATGGTGGGTGGACTGCGGAAAGCGGTTCAATACATTCAGCAATTCAGTAGAATCACAACATCGTAGTGTGCACTCAGAGGAGTCTAGCTCCGGCAGATTAGGAGTTTATGATTCAAGCTGAGCGAATTAGTCGGAGCCATGGCCGTGGCTGCCATAGCCATAGGCATAGTCAGATCGCTGTCACAGGAAATTCCGGGAAGTGTTCATGCCTTCCCGCATGCATCAAGATGGTTTCTGCTCTGGTGCTGGCCCAGGTCTCTGCCTGCAACCTCAGGAGCTGTATGCAAATTTTAGAGGGGAGGGGGAGGGGGTGGGGCGAGGGGTGGAAGAAGTCTGCAAAAAACACGCAAAAAATGTGCAAAGCCAAGAAATGTGAAAAAATGCAAAAACACCATGTTTTGCGCATTTTGTGCATCTGGCCGTGGCTCGTTGGTTTG